ATTTCGAATATAATCTAGTTGCTTACCGAATCGTCAGAAAGTTAATAAACCTATTAATAAAGTGCGTGCTGCCTTATAGAAACGAATTTGCGACAATCCTAAAATAATGATGTCGTCGTGAGATGACTTTCAAGTAATTTTCTAAGCCATATTGTATTCTCTCGTGTACAAAATGGGAGACATTTACTTCGTCTGTCAAGAATAAAGGATATGTGTGTAAATAACAAATAAAATGAAATTTGGCAAGAAACTGTAGAACAAAGGCAATAAAGAATGTACAGAAGACATGAAATTTATGGACTCACTTCAGTGGCACAGTTACCTGTTACAAAAAAAAATTGATGAAGTACTAATGGCTTTATTAATACATCAATTAATCATTCCACCAATTAATTTATATGATAAATATTGCTTGCACCTAAACTACAAACATACGCTATAAAATATGAGATTGCTGGTTAACTATTATAGCTGGTTTGTGACTAGGTGTAAATTGGGTGCAAACAATACCATTTGAATGGAAAATATATACTATATAAAAAAAATTGTCAAATGTATCCTTGTTGAAAATTCTGGATGTATGCACGTACTCACATGGAATATTTATCAAGGAAGACTTTTTTAAAGTTACACCGTATGAAGGAAGATTTTTATGGTTGAACTTTACTACATTTTCGTGACGCAAATCGGATATTTCCCTTGGTCAGAAACAAACATAAAAATGTCGTTAAATATGTATTTTCGTAGGCTCTTTTTTGTCGAGAAAATTATCAAACTGCACAGGTTTTCTTACTTTTATTATTTAATAAGCATCTGCGTAAATTTTTATTAAAATATATCGTTTACAGCAAATATTTTTGCTACTTTTATATTTTTTCTATTAGACAAGATTACTTGTAAAACAGCTCACTTTCAACAAAATGTTGGTGCGAAGTTCTCTAATTTAATAATAAATATTCTCGCTCGAAACTTTAAGACCAATTTTCTGCTTCAATTTTCAAAAGAAAAAAGAAAATTCACTTCACATTACGTGTGAACATTTATATCAATTTTTCCTCGTTTAAACTATTAAATATGGAGCTATGCATGCATGAAATAATGAAGAAATTTCAATGCTCGAGAACCTGTAGAAAAGCATGTACAACCCAAATACCTGTTTGCATATTTTATAACAAAATTACTAAACCGCGATTAGAGCTCGATTACAAAGGCGAAAATCGAATTAAATTATTGCAAACAATATACCAAAAGGGAATGTTTCTGAAAAAAAACTAATATCAAATAAATGAGAATATGTAATTTACCTACTCGTATTTCGTATTTAGTATGAATTTCAAAATCCTTCACTAAGCAAGCTGTAGAGAGCTTTTACTAGTTGAACAAGCATCTCAAAACTTTGGAAGCAACTTCCAATATGTAGATAAATATAGTTATATGTAATTTCAATGTTCATCCATGATTATTAGTTAAGTTTAATATAAGTAAGTACTTACATTATCGAATACTAACTTAATGGCACTTTGTACATTAAATGTTTTATTAGATGTGTACAGACCGGCACGAATAGCTGAAACAGCCCAGCTCCATTATTATTCTCTCAAAATTTCATATTTTTCATGTTGCGTTTTTAGTAGAAACCGATATCGAATCGACATAAAATACATGTAGGGTATGGAAAGGCATTCAAGTATACAAATGAAGTCTTTTATATGTTTTATATAGGTATGGAATGTTTTTGTTTAAAACAACGAAAAGCATGTAAAATCGTATCTAATCCTGACGCGCCACCAAGTTTCCATTTTCTAACTCTAAATAAATAAATAGGGTTTGTTTCCCATATTCTCCGTTCATGGATTTGGATAACAGCACATCTTGTGCATTCTGATCGATTTTACACTTTCTTTTCTGCGTTGCAGATACACAGAAAGAATGTAACATATTTATTCACCTAAAATTTTTGCCATTCCAATATCTTATTCAAACACTTAAAACATCCTAAAGTATGTACATGCAATATTTTTTTAAATAAAGACTATTTAAGTACCTATTTCACTTTAGAGAATTCTCGGCAGTTACTCGCAAGTTTCAAGCGACTAGTTGTAATTACTTTACAAAAAAATCAATGGCTCTGACTTTTCGAAACTTTGTGATTAAAAAAAGGATTTCTTTTACGTCGTTAGTTGAAAGGAAAATCATGTAAGTTTAATTATCATTTTTACGTTGCTGGTGCCCCAAATATTCCTGTCGCGTCGTGAGAAGGACATAAATAAAGTTTTTACGCTGTTTATAAAATTAATTTGAAAAGCTTCTGACGCTTCACACTGATAAATAAGAGAATAATTATCGATTGAAATATGACAAAACTTAACACCTATTTTGCTGTAATCTCTTGGAAGGCGAGCAAACTTATTTGCCAATAACGTACTTGCCTACAAAATTTATTGAATAGGTATCTAAAATTCCATAAATATACAAAAACACTTGAATAAATTCTTTTAATCATCATTTTTCGAAGTAAATAGATTAAAATTGATGGTCTGTTAATCAGTGAAATGAGTATTTTCACTGGATGTTTTTTATTTGAAAACGTTCACCCTAATTCAATAAGGATATATGAAGCGAAAATGACATGGTAAATCAAGCGTAAATTCATCGCATAAAATTTCGTCGTAAAAACGTCGTATTTGACCTAATAATAAAAATAATTCTAGCCAATCACGATAATCAATAAGAATCTTATTTAAGTATACCCTTTCCTTGTCGTGAACAAAGTACTCGAGAATAATCTTGTAATGAAGTTGTAATGAAACGCTCAAGACTTGGTTATTTCCTGAAAAATCGCGAGCAAGTATTTACTCGGCAATATTTTCCAGTAATAATTGTCGAGATTTTTAACGACGGCATAAAAAGAGCGCTGCGAAACGAGCCAGTTGCATTGTCAACTGTCGAAAATTGAGGGTTATCCGAGATATCCAGAAATTACCTTTCGTCGCGGTTTCCTGGCTTCGTTTCGGCTTAAACTTCCTGCCGTCGCGTAGAGCTCTCCACGCGATGGCTTTCGTCTAAATATTTTTTCAGTAATTGGCGAGATTGACGAGATATAAAAGGCAAAACTTCATCAGCTGCATGATCACGTTGAAACATCGTTAAGTGAGGGGTGGATACAATATGGGTAGAGAAGAGGATAGGAGATATAGAAAGTATGAGGTAAACCTCTCAAAGGAGATTACGGAATCGATTTCGCTACGTTCGAGGGTAGAACGAGGAAAAAGGCAAGTCCTTTTCCACTTTACGTGCTTGTTATTCCATCCTTCATATTTGAAGTGACCACTTAATGTGCTTTATATTTGGCCATATCAGATTACTTTCTATAAATATCGGAAATTACTTCATTAAGTACATTTGTACAAGACGTTCGACAGTACAATAATGGTGAAAAATGTAACGCTTCAACAATTTCAGCTAAATGAAATCTCTCCGTAAACGAATCGCTTTCTCATAGATTAGCAGGCGAAGTCGAGATTGCGGGTTCTCGTGGATTCAAGTATAAAAATTGATTCGAGGAAAGAAAAACCATCAAAATCCTTAATAAATATAAGAATGCATCCCACATACCTTTAACGAAAATCTATAAAATAGCCTAAATATAAAAAGTAAAGTAGGTATGACCTTTTATCAATATTTTATGGGTTATTCTCCTTTATCGTCAAAACCCAGTAAAGATCAACCGATCTCCACGTTGAACTTTCATCATTAAAGGTTGTAACAAAACCATTCTAACTTTAATAAAATTTACTTGAATGTGAATCGTCGAGTTTTTATCGCAATCTTTGTTATAGCTGGTATCCTTATATGATATTAACACTAAAGGTAGAAAGGGAAAATAATTAAAATGAACCGTACTTACTCCGAATCAACGGATACACATATTCATAAATCCCCCGTTTATAAAATAAACAATATCCATAATATTGTTGTGTGTCAGTAGTGTCAGGGCCCGCATTTTCTCCCTTTTTTACATACGAGGATAAACAATTAAGGGAGCTTGCTAGAAATATATGAAACATGCGTACTGTGAAACCGCCGCTCAAACACAATAACACAACTTGTTCGGCTTCCATGTAAGTTTATTTATTAAGTAAATAACTTTTGTTACTGTATTACGGCGCACAAACACAGTTACACTTTAGGTACAATAGGGGTGTATTTGCACTAAAAATATTTAAACATTCAATTACAGAACAAATCCAGAATGGAAATGATGAATGTCAACTAGTTAGGTTCTTGCTCTATTCAAGTTACAAAGCAGTAACAAGTGCCTCATCGAAAAGTATATAAAGTTTGAGAAATACTTGAAAGGATTTTTCTTTGTAACTTTGTCGTTATAGTGACTCGTAATATCTAATATGCCTCTGTTCAGTACAAAGACAAAAAATCACGTTTTGTGCGTATACTCGATATATCTGAAATAGTAGATACATATCGACAATCAATTTTTGTTTTTTTGTATCCCCTGAAAACCAACCTTCGAAATCGAATCAACTGGAACGCTATCAAAAGAATTCCCTATAAAATATTAGTATTTCGGGAAATAATATCGAATGTCAAAAGTCGATTCCCACCGTATACTCTCTATGACTCTATCTCATAAAGTAGATGGAATCTATATAAACGCCTTGTTACCTTCCTTTTCTATCGATATGTTTTCGCCGTAACAATGACTACAGAATCATTTCAACTATTTGTTATTGATCACCGAGGTCGAAAAATTGATGGAATCTATTGATACAGGACGTCGCAAAATATTTCCGATTCCTAATCGATTCCCTAATCGACTGTCGGCGTTTTTCTTCGCGAAATTAGGTACGTTAATTACCCCGTTAATTTTCGGACAGATTTGAAATTATAGGTAGACGTCAATCATGATCCGAAATGCTATCTACATAATATATCCAACTACATCCAGCGCACACATCTAACAATTTGTAATTTGCTTGCAGGTGGCTTGGATACACATAGACCGACAAATGATATTGACTATCCACCGGCATGTCATCTCCAGAGTGCCGCGATTTAGCGTGTCACACGATAACGCAAAGACGTGGTTACTGCACGTCAGTAGCGTCCAAAAAGAAGATCGCGGTTACTACATGTGCCAGGTCAATACGAATCCGATGATCAGCCAGGTTGGGTACCTTCAAGTCGTAGGTAGGTTACATTTAAAAAAAAATTACTATTAGATTTATTTAAATTATTACGCGCCCAAATAGATTTTAAATATTCATTGGTAAAATTTACTTGATAAATATAAATGTGTAATTCTCTGGGAATTAGAACGTCTATATTTAGTAGAAATCAATTGTATTTTATATTTAACATTATTGATCCAACAATACTAGACGAAATTATTTCACGTCAAATGTGATTTGATATTTCTATTGTTCTGTTAACAATGAGGCATTTCCAAGATTTACTTATCGATATAATGGAATATGTTTACAAAATAGAAATTATCGGGGCTTCGTTAATTAACTAAAATAATTAACAGCTGTCAATATAATTTTATTCTCGTTAAAAAATAACTTTATTGTATATATATCTCAAATATCCTAATTTTCATTATTACTTAATCAATTGATAATTGAAATTAATTCATAATAAAAAGCACGATTCAAAGAGTTTGGATCCAATTTTTTTATTCATATAACTTTATATTGATTTTTTGAATTGTAATTCCGAATTGGTTTTAAATAAGAAAATGCTTCCGTACGAGGAATACTAAATCGTGTAGCTTACTGAATAATTAAATAGAAATATACATACATATCATGCATGCGAGCTCTTGTAACATATGTATGTATGTATGTATATCTTCTAAAACGTGTAAAAATCGAATGAAATTATTTTTTAGTATTTTTAGATTGTAATTATAAATTGGAATTAATTAAATAATTAACTAAATAGTTACTTTAATCGAAAAGTACTACAACATAAAATATTGGAAACACCAAATATTGACAAAAAATGTAGTCACATATTGTCGCACTATAACCACTACAATATTTATTACAACTAATTTTAAATATAATTTCCTGTTAGAAATGGGTTTTTGTCATGGTATTTATAGGATGGATTGGTAATACGTAATCTGATTGCGATATTTTTCGTTTGAAAACCTTATATTGTTTTCCAATGGAACTTGTATTTGGAGAATTATTAGATTGGACTGTTCTGTACTGGGAAATCAGTTTAATTTATTTTTCATTATTTTCCTTCATCTGATCTTTGTCCTTGGTTTTGTTTGTTCAAAATTATTTCCGAGCATTCGGTTATTTTTATTTGAAAATTGAAACCTCTTGAACGATTAAACTGGCGATAAGCTGGAAAAGTTTTCCTTCGTGCAATTTTTTAAACTGCCTAAAACTCGAAGTTATACGACTCTTGCGGTAAATTTGATTGATTGTGTTTAATCGATGATCATCCACTTTAATTTAGCGATGACGTCATTATCGGATTAGTGTTAACAAAGTATAGATACCAGATAATAGATTTTTGTATCATTTACATTCGAATAAAATGCACCAATAAATGATAAAATATCGAAATTTTTAATAAGCAACATTAATTGATTTTTGGAGCTGTTTTAACTTTTAATTGTGTGTATATAACTTAATTAAATTAGTCGAATAAATCAACAATTTGAGTAGATTTAAGAGGCGATGAATATGATTGAATTATGTTTATTTAAGCGTGCGAGGGAGGCTTTTGTCGCGAGCCTGTTTTAAGTGTTTGGTGGAAGCCACTTCTTTTGTATCCTTTTGTTATATTTAGATTCAAAGAGAAAAGGCAACATAGTGAACAGATAACGTGTAATTTCTGGAGCATCCACTCATTCAATAATTCTTTGAGGGGAAGTCTAGAGAATCGAAATTGGGGAGCCGATCACGAAATTACTTGTTCGTATCGAATTTCCACGTGTTGTCAATATTAAACAATTCGATTAAATCGCGGCTTTGGTAAACCATTTTAGATTTATGTGGAGCTCCCATTCATGTTGACATTCTCAACGCGAACTCCTTTTCCAATAAAACTGCACTCCGGAGGATCCTTATCAGCTTTTATATTGACTCACTTCTGTGCCTTTTCTTGCTTCGACGGATTAAATAGTTTTTTTATTATTCGCGTCTCTCCCGGCTTTTGTCTTTTTATTTCCTTCTTTTACTGTTTATAATCCTAAAATATTTTAATGTGATTGGTTACCACAGTAAAACGTGGTTTGCCCCATCGGAACGAATTTTCAGCGCAGTAAAAAAACTGTGTCGGCAATTATATTATTTTGAAGGAAACTTTATGTCCGGTGAAAAGTTGAGAAAGCAATGGCAATTTCGAGTTAAGCTTAGGTATTCATTTCAATCGTAATAGTAAAAGCAAAAAGGAGAGTAATAATTCGTTCCAGCCGACTTTATTGATCAATTTTATTTCAAATCCTATGAATAAATGATGTGTCTATAGTGGTGTAACATGGGCCATCGTTCTTTTATTAATGGCCGTACAAAATTCAGCGACGCTACCGTCTTTTTAGGATTTACTCGTTTTGTGTACTGTTCCGAGTTATGTTTACAATTTAACATAGATAAAGTAATGAGGAAACAAATTAGAGTTTGAATCAATACAAGTTGTATACCTGCACGTTTTACTGCTGATGTTATCGCAGCATGAGTGAAATAACGTCAATTACGTTAGATATATAATTTTATACGTTTACCTAGATGCCAACGTAGAATTATTTGTTCTTCAAAAACCATTTATCGAGGTCAATGAGTTGTGTTAAATAAATAAACTTATTCAAAATGTTCTGGATTGAAATGTTTTTAAACCAGCGTATCAATCGTAAGAACCGTTTAAAATGACAGGTAGATCTTTAGTCTTACAAATGAGAAATTCCGAAGGTAAAATATGTTCTTTCAAACTGACTGAACTTTCTACACAATTGCTTATACATTTCAACTCCCACCTTAGAGGGTTCGGTTAATTAATGCATTGTGGTAACTGCTTTCCTACAAACTTAGTTAAATTTATATAGCTAACAACATCAACAATATGCAAGATAGTAGTTAGGATAGATAGTTAAGAACTTATAATGTGTGACTGTGGATCTGATATTGGCTATAAAATCTGATTCATGGTCCTCGAAAATGATTAAGAGTTTTAATTTAACCTATTAATAGGATGATATTTTATGAATAATTAATGCGCTAGCTTAAAATCAAATTCGTAACGAAATTTTCCAAGAACCACAAAATTTATTTTATAAATATTTATTATTCTGTAATTAATGGGTTCGTATTTCGAATAATAAAATAAGTGCGTTAATCGGAAATCATCATAAACAAGTGTGAGATGGGAAAAGTTGCTCGATCATGTTACTTGAAATTGGAGCGCTTGATTTCCAACAAAAGGGCATTTTTTGAATTGTACTCATAAAAAGCCCCCTTAATCGTTATTGCGGCAAGAACAATAGTCCTCTGCCGAATGAAATTCACCTCCGTTTTCGGAGGGTGCGGACTTCTGTCAGAAAATCTGCTTTCCTGCTAATCATTCTCATACAAATAAATGTTACGGTCAAGAACTATTTAGTTTCGTTTCTAAGCCCAATGTACGAAATCGATTTAGTAAACACTCAATCGGAAAATAAGCCACTCTCGATTAATACAACCAACGAACGAGGATGTGTTTGTCCTTTAGTTCTTTCGGTGTTACACAGAGTGTTCGTTATCGATTCGGAGAAGAATATAATTGAGTTGCTTCGAATTCGGATTAGGTATATTTCAGTAACGTTAATTTGAAAAGTTTTCCAAAATGAGGGCATAATTTCAGAAGGTTTTGAACGTTCAAATAAGATTTTTTTTATCTTCTTTTGATAAAAAAGTGTGTAATTCGATAGCATTTCTAGTTAAAATTTAAAATTGGTTCGTATCTACTTATATACATCCGTTAAAAACCATCCCAGTGAAAATAAAGCTTTAATCCCTATATTCACTACCTTTGTCTTATTCACGCTCTCTCTCCCAAAATTTCATTTCCGCCTTTTATTTTCCAGGACGTAACGCAGTAAAATGTGCTTTATTACGAGTGCACTAATTTCCCTAACAAAATCACAACATTGTTTTAATTTTAAAATTTTACAGGTCTAATAAAACCAAACTTTCACGCTCTCCGTATGTTATGAACTTACTTTGAAGATTCTTTAAATAACTCGGAACGAACGAGATGTTAAACCCGACCTGGGTTAATAAGTTTTATTAGAGCTGAGCTCGATAAAAATTAGAGTGATAGGAAAATTAAATATGTAAGAGCCGATTTATTCGGCTAGATTAATTTTTTCGCATGGTAGGTACTTTATTATGTATTATGAGATTCTCAAGTTTAATTACACGTCGACTTTAATTAAAGTCTACAAGTACCTACTAGAAAATAAATAAATGCTGTAAGTCGAGGAAATATTTGTCGAAGTTAATGTATACTAATACAAACATGAAAATTGATAGTCGTTAATCAATGAGTAATTTTCCCTGAGACGCCTTAACGACGCTGTAATTTTCGTTAAGGTCGAAATTAAATCGGTCCGTAGTATTTCATCGCAAGTATCGTTTAATCGTCACTTTCGAAATTCTAACCTTTACCATGCATTTATTTACAATGCGAAAGAACTAAAGGCGCAGGTGTCGGCCTCCTCTCCTTCGGTTAATTGGCTATTAACTCTTAAAAGTACTGCAAAGTGAAAGCTAAGAGTGTGCGAACGGTTATTTATTTATCTCATTGAGGCTTTATTAAAATTTGAAATACCCAATGAATCCTTTTTTTAAGGATTGTAGGATTTTTATGTGTAAAATTTCAGATATCTAATCAGTCACTGTTTGTTGCTTTATATTAGATAAGTTAGATTCAAGAGGGTGTTTATGAAATGATTATTTGCATTAGTATTAATAGAGATTCGTTTGAAAATTTCGTAACCTCCTGGATTTTACACGAACGGCACATTATCTGTCTACACAAAACCCAACATAATTGCCTGTTCCCTATATAATTAACGAACCGAGAAATAACCGGACACACTAAGTGTAAGTGCAAAATAATACAAAAGGTATAATTTGAAAGATGAAAAGGCTGGGTCGTATTCATCGTTGCTTTTCTTTTCAGTTCCACCGAATATAATTGATACGGAAAGCACGCAATCGACTGTGGCTGTACGAGAAAACCAGAATATTAGCTTAACCTGCAAAGCCGACGGATTCCCAACGCCAAAAATTATGTGGAGGCGAGAGGATGGCCAGGCGATATCCGTCGAAAAACGAAAGAAAGGTAAGCTTTTATCAACATATTTCAAACCACAATTCATTTAATTTATCGCGAAAAATATTTTAACAATTAGAATATTTCCCCTTTATTTTTTTATTAAAATAAAGTTCTAGTATAGAGGAAATTGTAATAGGAAATATGTGTACCAAATGTAAACAGGAAATTGAAATGTAAGTATTCGAAAATCCAATGTAGACGGATCAATTTTCGAAGGGATTGGCTATTATGTAAAAGTTGGTGAAACTTATATCAGAATTTCCCAATAACTTCGCATAATTATAAGGGTTTAAAATTTCCGGGGTGAATCGGGAAAAGTGAGGAGTGCACCCTTCATAAAACTTTTCTTTAGGGTAATAAAGGTTAAATTGAATATTCCACCGAATCTATGTCGAAATGTCGGATCGAATGAAAAACCAAATTTTCCCTTAGCTTTATTTCCCATTTAAAATTAAAATCCAACTTTTAAGGATGCATAAATTGAAAATTGGAAATTTATACATTAGTTAGAATTCACCTTTCTTTAATTTTTAGGCGGATATTGCTGTCCATCTTTCGCTACCGTCGACGGATCAAAATCATTTTTCCAATTTGTCCTCGCGAAATAAATAATAATTCCCTCGATAGAATCAAAAATTTATTGAGCTTTTAATATTTTAATACACAGTCAAATTTGCCCTCACAATGAACAGGAAATTATGATTAGCTTTATTCATCGAAAAATAAATTGCTTCATTCTTGTTGTATTTTTAGAATTTGTTATAAATAATATGTTATCAGGTAATGGCCATAGCGTACATCTTAAAATTATTTATAAATATATTACTTCAAAACATCATCAGTGAGATTTTGACGATATATGTTAAGTTAACCCGAATTCCCTAGTTTTGGAGGATATCTTACTTATTTAATTACCGGTTAATGGATACTACATACATATACAGAGGCAATTCTCTTTATAAATAGATGAATTTCCGCCCTTAATTATTTATTAAAGTAAAGTAAAATTATTCTAAAGTGCGTTATGAACATGTATAGGCGGGCAATTTATTTTTATGGAGTATGTCCCCTGGCGTATGTCCGCCACTACCCATTAGACACGCTATGAAATAACCCTTATAGGAACGGAAGCAACTCATTTTCGTTTTAACTCCTCCACACTAGCTTTTCGCTAGTTAATACGTCGTATTCCGGTAAGCATAATAACATTTAGCTTTTGAAATCCCACCATCGCTCCGTTAATAATGCAGCTCTTTAACACTTTATTCTAGATAGAAACAAATTCGGAATTTTTTTTGATTGATCGTGTGATGTGCGTATAAAAGCCGAAAAATATTTCGATGAATTTAAAGTAAGCCGCATTTGTTTACCGGTAGACCTGGGGAGGCGTAATTCAAAAAGCTACTAAAAAATCGACCGAAAGTAAAGACACTAGTGATACAGGGTCAGGTTGATAAGGGCCCTCTGGAGTGCACTTTTGTTCGAAAAGTGTCCGCGGTGAGAACGTCAACTTTCTCGAAGCCACATAAATCTCAAACGGTTTTCCGGGGCAACGATATAATCGAATTGCTTAATATTACCTCGAGGTGCCCGGGTTACTTCCCAATATCCTCCATAAATATTGTGCAAATATTGCCTCAATTAAAATACTAAATATCAATCTCTTCAATGATTCTTGCTAGCTAATTTCTAGATTTGTGATTTACAAATAAAAGTAAATTTTTAGTTCTCCAACGAAACTACCTAAATTGTTTCATGTTTAAATTACATTGTACGAGCTAGTTTCGCCAGCAGGAACAATTTGTATAAGTGTTGACTGGCCATACAAAATGTCCGCTTTTCTGAAATAATTTGTTAAAGTAATGATGAAATATAATAGTTTACACATAGCTAAATGCGAATAAAGTTTATCAAACATACAACATAAGTGAAACTTGGGTGAAATATTCGCATCCGCATAGAACGTACTATATGCTGGATACCAATGGGGATCAAATTACGATGTTGCACTTAAGTTTTGTGAATAACTCAGTACAAACTGTTGGTAGCTGGCTTGGGCTGTTTGGGCTGACTGGCCTGAATATCAGACCGTGTGTTTGCGTCAGCGCGTTTGAATATATTTCTTGCTAACTATTCGCCAGCTACAATAATGCAATAGCTAACAAAATTCAAAATGTCACAATTTGTTAATGAGACCTAATGGATTTAACTTTGCAGAATCTCAAGCAACGAGCTCGAGCTGTCCGTGTATAAATAATTTGATTAATCATCCAATGTTTTTTTTTATTTTTTGTAATCTTCCAAAAATCAATCAAATTCACACCCTGATGTGTAGCAAATTATTACCAATTTGCTGAATTTAAAACTGAAAATATTGTTGGATTTTCACGACTGATGATTGCAACGGATACTTAATGGAATCATTGTAATTCTATTTATCAGATAGATTTTCACACCGGATTAATTTGCGGGCGGGTGAATCCATTGTTTTAATGTTATCAGATGAGTTTATAAGTATATATCATGTCCGATATACTTTTATTCAAACCTATTTATGTGAATAAACATTTTATTTTAATTCCACAAATAAATGTCTATTGTTTTCGTTGCGATTTTCACAAAAATCGTTAGACTGTAAAAATGCAATGCAATTGAATAGTTCAAAAACGAAGTTACAATAGATAGGAATTATTATGACGTAAATTATTATCTACGATTCCCGTAACTGGAGAAATCTAAAAATCTAACGAAGAAAAATATATTTTATCGAACAATTCACCCTTTGTAACAGACACTATAAGTAATTTTACACACTTAATGGTGATATACGCCAGGCTTCATGTAACATTCATTATTTTATTAGAATTTCACGAGACACCGACGTAACGCTATCTGTGCAATATTTTCTAGAAATTTATGCTCTACTTTTAAGGATTTTTAGTTTATTTTTCATTGAAAAATATTGGACATCTCAGAATAACGTTTGCATTATCTTTTTTTTATTCGGTACTATTAATGCGTAAATTCGCAGGAGGCTTTCTTTTCCAAAACAGAAGTAACGACTAAGCGGAAGTGTGTGATCATTTCTTATTAGATACTGGAAATTTTTCACTCTAATAAATAACCGATTCACTGACTTACTGTCAATGTTCTAACACTTAACTCTTAATGACGGATCTCTTTCATTTTATTAAAGTTTGCTCACACAAGGGATAAAAGCGAATTTATCCGGAGTAGATATCTCTGAAAAGCGCTTTATTGTCGAGATTCCACAACAATTTTATAGGATCGCGATCGCGGTGTTTATTGCCCCAGATGATATCTCCTCTTAATTATAAACTTTAGATTTTCTTACAAGAAAAAGGTTTATACAAAGGTGTTTAATTTAATCTCCCTCGAACATTTTTAGTTTTACCGTAATGAATTTTCTAATTTGAAATTATACCTCTAAAGCTTTCATTAACGAAAGTTTTCCACTCTGCATCTGCAAAAAATTGGCTGCACTTAAGTCGACTGCCAGTAAAATGATAAGAGTAAAGTATCGTGTCCGGTCGATACGGCGTGCACTCAAGTTTTCGGGCTCAATACATTTCATCCGTCTAAATTCTACATTGCCGAAATAAAACTGAAAACTTTCCGATTCAATAAGTAGAATTTCAACTTTTCGTCCAAACTTCGTCAGTTGCCAGTGGTGGAAACCGTTAACAGACCATCTAATACCGCACTTTATGCCGAAACAAAGAAACGGCATTATCAATAAAATTGTTCCTTCGCGCTCTACTCAAGAAGCTAATAGGAAACAAAATGAACCCATTTCAACTTGTTAAGTAAAAGGAACGTCCTACTTACATACTAAGAAACTAAGGATTCCAAGATGTGTGCATACAGACATACATACATGTACACTAAACTAAGCATATTATAAATTTTTAATTTGGGATAACATTCGTAGCGCAACAGTAAAAGCTACTATACAAATTCTGATACTAAAACGTTGGTACCAACTAATGATATTTACTCCCACATTGTTTTGTAGCTTCAGTAGATATATTTTATTTCACTACTAACTAGTAATTAAACTGTTGTGATTGTTTACTTTAATTATCTCGCATCAGAGGAGTTCGATTTGATTTGATTTTGAAATCGAAAGAATTCAACTAATTTCTCTGATCATTAATTGTGATTTTTGCGCTCTCGTTTACTGAAAACAGTTTCAGCATGAAAATGCGAAAAGGAAAATAATTGGTCGCTTCCAAGATAAATTGGATAAAAAAAAACGATTAAATGTATTTATTTGTTATCGATGAAATAGAAAAGTCGTTCGATTGAAAATTTACGGTAGAGTTCAACAACAAAAAATAATGATAAAATATTTTTTTAAGTGCAAAGAAGTTTTGTTATTAGAGCAAGAAAGCAGGCAGTTATAAACTTAGAACGAAAAATAAAAGAGCAGCATCTTTTTCCACTTTATCTGCATAACTGATAGAGCGCAGAGAGCACGGAATGTGCGCTTGCTCGTCCCACAACCCCAGTGCTAGATTAGCTGTTGCAATATTTAACAGCCAAGTGGGGTTGTAAGCCATACTACCCGAGTCGACAAAAGCAGAGACACCTGATATCACTTCCCTCTTCGGTCTCGTTCTAACACAGACACCAGTGGTCTCATAAAAAATTGCTCGATCCAGAAGTTGACAACTCAGATATTTTCACGCAAACACCAAACTAAATTATTTTCTTTTCCTTTGCGAAACTTTGTATATGTACTCTTTTGCTCTACTGACTAACAATTTTTATTCTTGAAACAAAATAACTCGCTTCATTTTTCTTATATAAGGCAGGACTCATACGACACCCTTGTTTTTCTTCACGCGTGGAAAATACGGTATCCGAATTAATAAATCGGCTTGTTTGTGTGCATTGGCTATCTAAGCGTTGATTATGGCTCGTTTTCTAATATTATATTTGTTAAACGAAATCACCTGTGTGTGTTACCTACATAAAATTCTATTATAATTTAATTATTTGTAAACATGCGTGGCAAGCATTGTTGTTCGATAATTGATGATGCATAATTTATTTTAGAAAATAAAAAACGTATAAAGCGCCTCTATTATCAACCTATAATAACATTTTTTTTACTGATTTATTGACCAGTGTTATAATCCAAACATTCCCTATCGCACCTACGCTTCAATAGGAAAATATTACAAATTTTATCCAATAAAAACAGAAAAGTTTAATAAAATAATAACAAAAGCCAGAAGAAGTCCAGCTATTCTCATCGATCTGTGGTCGAACAAATGTATTAAGTGAATTGTCAGTTGGTAACCCCTTAAGCTTTACAGTTGTTTGATGAAGATAATTTAAAAAATACGTGGAGATTTTTGAGGATTTATGAAATTAGAACCTCTGTTGTAGCAATTTATTTTTAATTCCGCTGCTGGTAAACGCACATGTATCTCACCACGGAAATAGTAATTTTCCGACGTTCTCTCAACGTGCTGCGAGAACTAAAGTCTCAATTGCAATTAAATTAGCGAGTAAAATTAAGCAGATTGCATACAGAAATCAATTTGTTTCAGTGAACGTCTACGAAGGAGACCAGCTAAATCTTACCCGCATCAGCCGTACGGAAATGGGAGCGTATCTTTGCATAGCCACAAACAGCATCCCCCCATCTGTTAGCAAGCGTATCATCGTCGATGTTGAATGTAAGTAAATGTTTCAAATTTCCTCAATAATTCACAAATTCCATTTACCTTCTTTACCTATAATAGGAACTGTTATTTTGGCATTATTGGTACTTACACGGCGTTCTTCCAATTTAATTGGTTCGAATGCATGAAGGTAAATGAATAGATGGGTGTAATAAAATCATTCACTATGCAAATTAATGAGTTTACCCATGCGGTTTTTTGTGCATACAGTGATTTCCATCCGCTATCTCCCTTTGGTGAATTTACAGCTTATGAACCGTACTAATCCTTACTAACTTCGCTTAAGTAGTTCGGAAACACCGAGCATTTAATAAAGATTTGCTCAATCGACTCACACTTGTTACGTTACATTTCGTACAAAATCTGCTGTATTGAATGTAAATTTTGTTTGTGCTCATACCGAAAGTTTCGGTGTAAATAAAATTGGAGTTTCAAACTGGAGCAATTTCAGACACCATATTAAATATTAATAATAATTCTCATGGGATTTTGACGCTTTCGGTTTAACCGAAAATTGCGACGAAAAAATTTTATTTATTTTTTTTTCGCCTGTATTGTTTTTGTATTATTTACGATATTTGTGTTTTAATTGCAGAATTATTGCATTTTTTTGCCACAGCCTTTTCGATTAGCTTCCGTTCAATCAACAATGTAATTAAATTAAATAAATAAATTAGTTGTCAATAAGTAAAAAAAAAGTTGTTCAACGTACATTGATCAAATAGGCTTTTGTTTATTAAAGGTATTAAATTAAAACATGTTACAAAATGGCATTGATGTTCACTTTGTAAATATATTCGAGCCTCTTTATAAATAAAACAGTTTATGGCAGTAACGAAATTAATTTAAACAACTCCGAATGTTTGGCGATGTGAGTTTTGATAATTTAAATTTTCTATGCAAATGCTACAAACGTGTCACATAAAAATTGATTCTATCAATTTCTAACACTCTTCATTCATTTCCAATCCCGTTGTTGATATATCAGATGAAATATCAATAAAATTTCACCCCCAGAGTGAAGATTTATTTTTTAAATTAACACACCTTCAGTTATATTTATTCCTCTTCGTCATCCACTAGAACCAGCAAAATTAGTGTACATACTTCACGTAATAAATTGTTTTAACGTTAAAGCGGCGACTTGAATAATGTGTATATGTTGAACTTGAAGAAAATTTTGAAGTGAAAATTCATTTTATCCAACAAAAATTATATTCCGCTGCTTGCTGCTACAAAACAAATGCGAATTTTTATGACGTTAAGGAAGAACGATAATAGAATTAATTTTGTGAAAAATAGCATTTTTCCGGAAACAATTTTTATTACAGCAAATTGAAAAACCTTTGAAAATATTTCCTTAGGTAAGTTTATACACTAACAGCTCGATATTACAGATTATTTAGGTATTTAAAAAATGCTTAATAAATTATTTATTATCACACTCATCACAAATTATTTAATACTTTTAACTGAAAATTATAGTTCTATTTCTATTTAGTTGGTTTTGAATTGTTAATGGAACTTAATCAGAGGATGTAATAATTTCTGAAGAACTATTAAAAGTATAATAATACACCTGCGTTCTGTTATAAAACTGATAAAATTTGTTTTGCTTAAACCTGCTAATTTAAAACACCGGTCTAAATCTATATACAAACAAATTTACCGAGGGTATGTAAGTACTTTCATAGTACATACAAGCTTGTGCTGCAATATTTTGCAATTAAATATCGAGCCAATCTAAATGAGCTGTACTGATTGGCTATACGATTAGACTAAAGATTGCCACTTTCGCATTTCATAGTGGGAGAAAAAATATTGCAACAACAATCAGCTGTTATTAAAAGAATCAGTTCGAAAATGGCATGCAAGTGACAGTCGACAAAAATGGCGTTCTTATCGATTCCAATGCCTACGACTGAAACTCAAGGTAAATTTTGTGGTGTTCCTGGGCATATTTGGATGATTATTTGTGTAATTGCTACGTGGTTTCTCGTCGTGCTTTTGGTATACGAAGATTTCATCGACTATTTTAAATGAAATGTTTTTTTCATAGCCAATGTATAAATTAAGTATCAAAAAAATTGAAATGTATACACAACTACTTTTTTTCTAATTTGTGGATAATTCACATGTATGCATCAAAAGAGCATTTTGTAATGAAATAATACGCTAATATATTTTCTTATTTTTTATTACATATTTTATTTATATTTAAAATATATTAATTGCTGATATTTTGGTCCTTTATCGGTAAAACTGTTTTTCCATTGGACATGTATTTGACGATTTCTTCGTACATCAGAAGAAACAGCAAAGCTAAGCTGGCTAGAAAGCAAACTATTATCCAAGTACTTGCTCTTATCCAGCAAATTGTTTTTTCTTCGTCGTTCGTTTGATATGCTGTCGATTTTATTTCTTCGAACTCATCTTCTTCAGATTCATCTGCATCGGGTTGTAATCCGTAGAGATTCGGGTTTCGTTTGAAACTTACGACAACGAGTTCTGGATCTATTTCGGGTTTCGCACTAGACAATGTTTGTTCACTTTCCATACTAATGATTTCGACACAAAAATGTATATACAGGTCAAAAAGGCTTAAATATTAAAATAATACTGTCTTATTTGACAAAACCCTACTACAAATCCCCTACTATAAGGATTGATTCAATTACAAGAACAATTACTTGTTGCTTGTATTAACACATAATCAAAGCCATTACTTATCAAAGGTATTAAAAAATAAAATAAAGTATATGCATGAGGATAAGGGAATTCTTGGTATCAACATTATTTATGAACTCAATAAAAACGCGTCCAAACTTTAAACATGCAATTTTAATAACAACAGAGTGTTCAAACTCAAGGTATGAGGAGTATGCCAAACGTGTTTAGTGAAAAATTAATTTTCATCGCATTTCAATATATTTACAAATTTTTTAAAGTGAAACAGAAGTTAAACGAAAAGAAATGCAATTTGCGCGTGAAAACATTAAACTGTTTTTCACTTCGAAATTCTTGCAATATCGCTCACCAATAAGGAATAAGTAAAAATGGAAACTTATTCGCAAAAACAGGAAAATTAATAATTTCCTTGAACTTAAGAAAACAAGAAATATCCAAGTTAAAGTAAAGCTCATTTCATTTTCGAATATCAAAATTTTAAACTACTACCTATATAACGAGTATTCCATCATCTTATACTATAGAGTATGGACTTTGGTAATAACAATAATATATTTAAACATTATCTTTTATAGATTTCAATTTCTTAGTGTAAGTAGTTTTGAATGTAAGCAATGTAATTTAATATGTTTACTATACAATAGTGTTCATAAGTATACGAGCAGCACAACGTTTGTTGCGATAATATTAGCATGTTCTAAGAAACTATCTCCCTTATTGCTTCCACTATTACGATCACTATAATATTCATGTTGCGAATATTCCATACAATGCAACGTATGGAACCCTTTTTAACTTAGACTTTAACATCTTATTATTTCAATGAACGAAGAAACCGAGCATTCGACGCTGTGCTATTTGATAATTTGGTCCTAACTAATGATAAAAAATGAATGAACATTCGAGAATACGAGCTTTTAACTAACCAATAGTTCCAACTATGCAGGAGTTCATTATACCGTGCACGGGTTTAAATTCAAGGAATGCACCATTGTCCACCTCCGATGCATATCGAATTGGAGCTTCGACGCATTTAACTAAATTATAATCCGTATTAACTGTTCTGACTCCATATTTTACATACTTCACGTGTTTCATATCATCTCGGCGTATCGGAAATTTCCAGCCTCTTTAATGAATTTCCCGTCAATCACGTGCAATAATAGGTATTTGCTTTTAAAAGTTTAGATCATATTGAATGTTTCGTTAGAAATTATCCCCTCTTTCACTTTTCCGGACACGTGTGGAAGAATCAAGGTGGGATAAGGAAAAAAATTGAATGTTGATTAAGTATTTTCCGATATTGAATAAATGGTGTGGTAGTTGAGTGAATTTTAAGTTATCCGGGGTAGTTGAAATGCAGTACACCCTCACAACCGCATTAATAATCTAAGAGAAATTTAATTTCTTCTCTTAAGCGGAAAAACGATGCTTAAATTGTAATGAAACATAAGTTGGAGGAATAACAAGTAGTTTTGTTGTGTATTTTAAAAAACATTTCTTGCCTCGAATTTAATAAAGAGGACGTTATTTTTATATAAACAAACATTCTTAACATTACGAAATCATTTTCGAATAGAAATTAAAAATCTTATATTTCTGTAATTTTAAGAATTTCACATTTTTAGAGAACAATTCATTGGTAAACAATGCGTTGAACTGACTTCATTGTGTTCCTTAAGAAATGAGATTTTTTTAGCTGCCCTTTAGAAGAAAAGACCACGCTAGCCAGTTCAATGAAATGGGAAATTTATTAGTTCGGGAATTTCAAATAAATAGAAAAAGTTCTCATTATTTGTTTTTAGTTTTACTCAAGCTCCTTATTGAAATAACAGTCGATCTAAAAATTCGAAACAGAATTACTTAAATTCCATATTAACCTGCATACACATAGTTTGATAGAGGAGTAACGGGTGGGATATTTCCAAAACTCTAAACGATTTCGGGAAAATTGCGTTGATAAAGGAAAATATGTTTGAAACCGGCAAAAAAATAGTTCCCGCATTCGTTTTAAATGAAGGGCTTGTATGTGTGTATGAGGTATAGTTAACACGATCTCGATATAGGGTACATATATAGATTCCGTTATAATTACGACGGTGATACGTGCTTAACGACTAATTTTGTTAATCAAGCTACAAACAAAATACCATTCGCAGCAAGAGTGATCATGATCAAATAAAATGAAACTCGTTTTTCGTTATTTTTGATTTTGTTTATAGTGGAATCGAAACAATTAAATAGAGATATATTGTTTATTTGGAAGTGTTGTTGCTACAAGATAGACACGTTTTGTTTTATTTGGGTATTTGTTAAAATATAATTTTTATGTCAACAAAAAAATATATTCAAAATGCATCGCCCTAATGATAGTGTAGAAACTTTTCAATTTATAAAGGTGTATTAGTTCTACGTTTTTTCCCTTTGCCAACAAGAAATCGTGACATAAACATAGTAGAAACATCAAGGGTTATTTTATATATCCACTTGGTTCTTCATCAGAGGGTCTGCATCATAAAATATGCATGCTCTGTGGATTTATTCGATCAATGCCCGGCATTACCGGTGGAGAAAACTTTATTAATTTTAATGTAATCATCGTAACTTACACGCTGTATTTATAGAACGTAAAATTCGAATGGCCAAAGGGGTTACAAATATTTAATTCAAACTTCAAATAAACATTCATAGGCAACTAGCAAAATAATTCATCATGCGAATTGATTCAATTATTTAATTGTTGACAATTACCTGGGGTGGAATGGAACCGGCAAAAATTAACAAAAGAATTAATTTACTATTAGGTATATGTATACACGTTTAACTGTATTTCCTATTCGCGACGGAAATTTCTGGCAATATACAATATTCGAAATATTTCGGGGTATTTGTTTTCGTATTCAAAAAACATACAATATACATTTCAGTGATCTATGCTCGGAGTTTGCTCGATTTTTGTTTGGTAAATATGAAAACGTGTTCCTTATATTTTGTACGGGCTATTCGTCAGATTCCCCCTAACGCTTAAACGCCGTTGCAATATTGTACATGTAATATTTTGTGACATGTCCGAGCGTGTAGATATTTCTCAGCGGAACAGGTCACTCCTCCCAAGTCTCCTATATCTACCCAAGCAATAAACTTTGAGGAAACTTCTTTCATAGCGTAACTTCTTTATGTTTACATCAAATTCTGCACTAGGGTCAAGTAGGGTCATTTCCAATGATTTTTGAATTCGCAATTTTCCGCTGCCTTCAAGGCACATATGTTGACGAAGGATTTCCAATTATGTTACCGTTTTCGACTCAAAAAGAACTTGTAACTTTTCATGTGCTTACGTCCACGTGGTACGTGGAATAACTATGGATACAATTCCATCAGGATTATCGTCCTAAAATACGCTATGAATATTGAATTGTTTTGGAAAAATACCTCCTATACCAAGCTGATGTTACGAATAATGATGTTTGGGATAAAGCATACACATACACAGAGAATATAACAATTTTTATATACACAAAGAATTTTTATAAGAATAAAATTGTTATTTTAGAAAACGATAATGGCGAAAAAAGGCAAAAATACAGCGTGCATTGCTGACACAGAATCAAACACAAAAGCCGAAGGAGTTTTTTTTTTGCTAAAAAACGTATTGCCACGTAGTAACAATTCTACATAACGAGAAATTTACGTGTTGTGTGTGTAGTTACGTGATCTTAGGAGGACGGGTACTGAATATAAAACAATAAGATCCACGTTATGCGTGTAACACCGTTTCCTTGCTCCTTACATTCATCTTCATGGTAATTTCGCCAGTGAAAGTAAGGCCCGAAATACGGGATAAATTCCTTGTCTCCCAACCGAGGATGTTATGGAAAACAAATTATGTTAAAGTTTAAAGTCCCTGATCCCCGTTATGCTCTCATTTCAAATACACTCGCGATCCAATATTTTATTACTATACGGGAAAACTTTAACAAAATTGTTTATTTTGGAATTAAAAATGAAATTGAAGTGGGGTTCTGGAACCAACGTTAACAAAAATGTGATCACAATTTAACACCTTTTGTATTCAGCGTTCGTACATGAATCCTCCAGTTGAGATTTCCGGAAAATACCAAAATACCAAACGGCTCTCTCGCGTTTATTGTTGAATCATTTTTCCGAGGTCTGCTGTAATTTTTGACCTTTTTGGGTGAGAAAGATATTTAGATAAAATGGGAACATTCTTAAACATAACAATACTTTATTTTTATTCCTTTGCATTACTCTGATATTAACTTATTTCAGAACTATATGTATATATTCATAAAATCTATTTAATCACCAACAAATGTTCCGCTCTCTTTACTTACATTCACTGTAATTCACTAATAGCTTTTATGATGTTTACGCGGAAGTAAACGTGTTAACGCTAAATATATTTTAACTTTAATATATGCATAAGGGAGTATAATTTTGGTCAGAATAGAAACACAGGATTTCCCGCTTGGATTATTTGCGAATCATGGCGTATCCCCGCGAAATGTATATCTCTGTTAGGCTTAAACCATTTCCCTAAAATTAGAGCAATAACTACGTTATTGTCATTCAGAAATTTCATGAAACATCGTTCGTTACGTGTACATCTCTGTGTTATTCGCGTTATAGAAGCGTATGTTAACGCATTTTACGCTAACAATAAACGATTCCGTACTTAATTATTGTTTTTTTGGTCGTATGAATCGAATTAAATTTTGAAACTAAAAACTAAATTAAATTTAATGGATTACACTAGACAATAATCGCTTAGTGCTAGAACTATTTATATGCCAGAAATGTCAACAACATTTTTCACGTATAGACATCATCATAGATTATCAAGAAGTTGTATTCTGAAATAGAAATGCAGTTTGAAATTTCTATTGAATCGTTATGATGCGACAAAAGGGAAATATATCGAGTAAAAAACATTTATAGAATGGTAACGGCGAGGCAATGGAGCAGTCGAAACGATATTATGCACTGATATGTAATTCGAGCAATGGACTGTAAACGATAGGCGATATAATGTTGGAAAAATCGAGACCGTAAAGAAGTTGCTCAAGTGTTTAATAAATCTGCACTAAACAACTTCCGTGCGTTTTTCGACGATTCGCTTAACATTCATTTTTATCGATTGCAAGTAAGGAAAATGTAATTGCCGAAAAAAACTTCTTTTACAAGGCACCTTTGAGGAGCATTTACTGGTGTCTGATGTATCGCGCAGCCTGTGTAACGAGTCCAGTCCTGTTTAATAGGGAATCTTAAGCACATTTTCTCCGACAATAAATTTCCTACCAAATTATCCGATGTACGGCGTAGCAGCCACATATTACGCGAGCACACCTCCATTGTTACGAATTTAAGCTAAAGTGTAGTCGGTGTTCAAGGTTCCATCGTCAAAGGGGGTTAAAGCTGTTAAATGAGTTCAACAGAATCACGCGGTAGGTGTAACAATCTTGATGAAATTGAAAGCGATGTACTGTACTGTACTGATGTGTATCATTAATGCATTTCGTTAAAAAAAATTAACATAAAGAAGTGTATTTCTTTCTTATTTTCATCTAGATACGTATATCTAGATGCCAATTTTATTCTAGCAAAATTTTTCTTGCCTCGCGTTTTCCCGTGAGGTTTAACACTGGGAATATATTATATTTATAGGAATTTCCATATTTTTGTTATTAGCTTTGAAAGCAGAATAAAGCAACACAACTTTATTGACAACATATTTATTCTCACGAGAATCTGTTTAGTTTTATGACGCTTTGGAGCTTTATTGCAAGTCATATTTCAAAATATAATTGGAGAACAAGAACATTAATTTCAGGTACCTACTTGAAAATTCATGAGAAAATTTTTTGTTAATACGGCGAACTCCACTCAGAAAGATGAAGGCATTAGTTAATAATGTATGCTGTAGTTATTTGTAAGTAAGTGTCAAAATTGAAAGGGAAATTTTGTTACAGTTTCACCGATGATTTGGGTCCCTAATCAGTTAGTAGGAGCCCCTGCTGGCACAGACGTCACAATCGACTGCCACACAGAAGCGTATCCCAGAGCCATTAGCTATTGGGTGTACGAAAATGTCATGCTCCTTCCTACTAAGAAGTACGGGACTGAGACGATGGAGAACAGCTACAGGGCGCACATGAAATTGACGGTGCGAAACCTACAAGTAGGAGACTTTGGCAACTATCGATGCATCTCCAAGAATTCTCTAGGGGAGACTGAAGGATCCATCCGTCTATACGGTAAATAAAATATAGCTTCAGTTGCTTTTGCTTTTCTTTGCCGAATTCCGTCTCACGAATCAACTCCCTGCCGTCCTTTACTTCCAAATATTTCCTACGGTTTACCTTTATTTCATTTCATAATTGCCGGTATCTACTACAAGCGATTTTTGCTATAATTCGAAAAAGAAAATACAAGTTCGCGACTGTTTTCAAATTACGGAAACGCCTTAGGTAATTAGAATTTCTTTCCTGTTCTTATTGCGCCTTACACTTAATAATGCGTTTCTTCACAATTTACCATCGAGGGAGCATAATGTTGATTAATGATTACAATGTAGCGTCAACAACACTAATCGTTTGCCATTCGAAAAATCCGCGAAAACGAAAATTATCTCGTTCCATTTATCGAAAAAAATATGTAATTTCAGGCGAATTAGATTCTATTATTTATTCCAAATTAAACCGCAAATGAGTTCCGGGCGTTCAATAGTTCCCACTACTAAATTCCTAAACAGGCCCCTAATGGAATTTAGTTAATTATTTTGCTCATCATCTTTCCACTTTCAGATTAGTCTTCCTAATCTTCCGCGGTGATCCATAATTTTGTCACGGTGAAAATATTCTCCTCGCGTAAACTGGTTTTCAGCCAGATTAGAAACGTGTATTTTTTTAAAATAAAATTCTCTTCTTTTCTACCGGCTCACCATTAATTTACATGTCGCTTTACTACAGTTGAATATTACGTATTTATTCAAAATATTTGCAGCTTTTATTTCATACACTTCCATGCTACCTACGCTTTATGTACAGTACCTAAGCAAAATAGGAATTGGATAAAAAAATGTTGCAATTGTACATTATCCCGTGTTCCCTGTAGGGTCTTTAGTTTAAGGAATTTGAGCACGCACGTGACATGGGACTAACATCAAGATGCCACATTAAAAGACAATATCTTGATTACTTACTCGCATCTATCGAGTTTGGAATACGTGAAAAATTCGAAACGAACAATGCATTAGCGGTAAAAAAACTTCCCGTAAATGAGCGTTAAAGCCTAGGCGAGAAAAGAAAAATTTCTGGGAGATTTTCTAGATTTCCTATCGGCCATTAACGAAACTCCGGAGATAATAAAATTTCGCTTTCCATACGGCCAGCTGGCCATATTTTCCCCGTTTCACCGTACACGCCGCCTGTTCGAGACATTATACGTCTCTTCAACTTTTCACAATGAGTATCGATAATTGATAGAGAAAGTTTAAGTTATTGAATAAAACCATGACTATCGAGCGAGCGGATGTCCTTTGCATGTTTGGGTAAAACAAAGAGATTAAAACGTATCACACAGGGCATGTCTCGATAATTGAATATCCTATTTTTTCGAGTTTTTTTTTGTCTGTAACTGTCGATGAAAAGACGAACTTTCCGGTGCTTGACAAATTATGTTCCGATGAATAAGCGTTTAATTCTGATCTAATTAATGGATTCATAAATAATCCGCTATTGTTGCATTGTGGCATGATATTAAATTTCTATGCTTGTCAATCGATAGAAACGACTCTTTTATTTTAAGCGTCATAAATGTAATAATGGGTTTTGTTTTGTTCGAGAAATAACTTCATAATTAAAATAAACTCCATAACTACAGAGCTTTAATACATTTTTGACCCTACAGAATTTGTTTGTTATTCTAAATTGAATGTTCTATTTAAACAAAATCGGAAATTGTTGTTACTATAAAGCTTTTGTGCCTTCAATCGCCCTAATCTCGTTCTTTATGTATATACATGAAAGAAAAAATAATTTAATTTTGTGTAACCAGAGCAGCTTCATTCTAACTTAATACCTAACCTGAAAAAGTCTCTTTTCTAATTACGTTTTCCCGTGTTGATATTCCTGAAGTAAATTTACACTACACTCTGGCGTTATGAATATAAATAACCCAAAAGGTTCCGGGAGAAATAAAACTATTAAAGACATTGTTTTTGCCTAAAGAATAGATAATTTCCTTTCGCTTCAGGAAATTGAAATTTACAAAATCTATTTTACGTTTCTATTACACATAAAACTGAAATGTTGATTTTTCGATTTGTTTAATAATTGCAGACTTAGAAATAGCCAATTTTCTAAGAATGTATCATAATAATATTCAACTCTTTAAGAGGACGAAATAATGAGAAAATGCGGAATTTTCACCGAGTTCATAGTGCGGCAAAGTCTATGTTAATTAGCAGTATTTCAAAAATATTACCTGTTTTGTAGAAAAGGAATATTTTCTGGGCAATTCAAGGAACTAATATCTGTTTTCTATTCTTAAATGTGGCGCATTTATATTCTCAATGAAAGGCGTTTATTCAAATATTTAATAGTTCATTAAAAAAAATTAATAATCTATATAGACCCTTGTGTACTATCAATTTTTTATTTACAGTTGTTTGGTCTTATGATATATTTGTATTAAAAACAAAAAGTTACTGTGTTTCTGAATAAAGCTGATCGAGAATTGTAATAAACGAGAGTGTTTATATTCGCAAAGAAAATCCTCGGAAAAATAGTTTCGCACAAAATGGAAACCGTCTAGAAACAGTGTGAAATGAGTATGAGATCTTGTATGTTCCGCCATTTCGTTTTGAACTGAAATTCATGTGAAAAACAAATACACCAAATTATATTTAGTTCTGTTATTACGAATAAAATTTAGAAATATGCTGGAATTTCTAAATCAAAAACCGTAGAGGATAGCGGAGAAAATATCAAACACTATTGACTTTATGATATTAAGGGAAATTGAATATTTATTCTAATTCTTTATGATCTATACAAAGTACATTTTTTACTCCGCTAATATTGATGAAGCAAATAAAATGTACTCATTTCTGCGACAACAAAATTTCAATAATGATTTTGATTATATTTGTCGTGTAAATAAGAAGTTTTTTTTTGTTTACAGAAATTCCGATGCCATCGACACCCCCGAGGGCAACTGAAATGAAAAGTAATTCAAACAAAGAAAGTAAGTAGCGTTTTGTGTATTCGATGTTAATAGTCAAGATGCTCTCATTTTGCTTTAAATGTTAATTTTATTAATTCTTCTCGTCCGAATTGATACTTGAAAAACAACAATCCTCTCCTAAATAGATTGGTGAATATTGTAAAAGTTGATCCAGTTCGAGATTAAAAGAAACAATTAATTTCCAAAAGTATTACCATCGTAAATGTGATTCCTGCTTGTGAAAAAGAGTCACGTTTGGTCTTTTTGAATTTTACGAGTTTAGGTGTAAAATCTACACTTTAACTCCGCTATACGTGTACTACACGGAGTTTCCGAGGAAATTGCATCGAAAAACACGCCAAATAAATACTTATTCCTGCCCACACTCCATGTAAATATAATTCTAATTAAAACATTAATAACTAAAAGGTGTTAAAAGAGCCGTGTCGTCACCTTAAAGACAACAAAATGTAAAATTTCATTATGTTCTGAATGCTCCGCCAAGGAACATAACTAGGTAGACACTCGCATTGCGAACTTTGGCCATTCTGTCTGTTGTGCGTTATTATAATGCCCCGGGAAAGTCTTCTTTCTTCGGCGAAAGCATTTATCACAAAAGTAGGTAGGTAGTAAACCATCATGGGCCGTTCCTGCGGAATATGTTTCGCGATACTGCCGCGCACCACTACACCCGTTTAAAGAGCCAACTTCCGAAAGTTTCCCAACTCATGAACGCAGAATATAATTACCTTGTTTGAATAATTTAGATTTACAATATATTTATTTGGAAAACTTACTTTGTTTATCCTAACTTCGGTCCGGAAACTTTCAACATACTTAGAATATTCACTAAGTTTCCAATGATCAGAACGAAGAATTTTAAAGTTAAATATTATGAATTATTGCCGACACGTTTTCTTGAATAAATTTTCTTATTTACAATAAAAATAGATAAAGCGTAAAATGCAGATCTGAATATTGTTAATAAAATTGGTTTACATTTAAAATAACTAAATTCAAGAAGTAAGAAAAAATTGAATATATCGAGCCTTAATATCATTTAATATTAATTTTAATTTCAAAGTAGCATTCAAACGGGGATCAAATTTATTTAGATGGAATAAAATTTCACATTATCTATATTAATTAATATTCATAACTTGAATTGAATTGATATTCCTGTTTGGGGAATAAATTTCTTGATAATTATATACCTAAATACTTGAATATTAAAATCCGAGTGATCCTCTAAATTAAAAAATAAATTGAAGATCCTATTGTATTTCTGCAGAAAGAAGGAAAAAAGTCGACTGAATGTGTCAGTATTCTCAGGCACGCGAGACATTTAAGACGATGATAGGAACACATACACGATATGTAAACTATATGAAGAACAATTTATCTTGCCGCGATGCTGATCGACAGTTAGCAATTTTGTTCTCCTCCGCTCGTTGAATTCTCATGACATGCATATTTTAACCTAAATGCGAATAAATCGAATTTTATTATTTTTGTTTTCTTTTCCGCTTTTTTATGTGCGGAGCGACGGAAGCAAGTGATACTTTTAAGACAGTAACGTCGGACGTTAATAGGAAATAGATCCCTGCACTGTGAGATGAATAAGTTTATAGAGAATACTATAATGGCCTTCTTAGTATTTCATATACCTACAACTTTTCCCTTAGCTCATTTGATATACTTTTCGATAACCCCGGAATTCTTTATAAACTTACTGAATTCGTTTTCGAACTTTTAAGTTTTTATATCTTCTTCAATTTGAAAGAAAATATTTGTTCTAAAGTACCTACAGCATAAAAATATAATTACTGTAGTTATTTTTAACATAATTTACAAACTTTCCGACTCATGTTTTCCAAGTTTGTATTTAATCAAATTTACCTGAACAACAAATTGAAACATTTAACTACGTGAACCAATTAGATAGTGAAGCTATATGCTTATTTACAATTCACTTTCTAACAATTAATCTGACTAACTTGAACAAATGCATATTATTGAAAAATCAAGTTTAAATTACTAGTTTTGAAGTTTATCTTACGTCAGCGAAATTAAATTAGAAATGAAATGGAAACTATTAAGGCAAAGTTTAACATACGGTAGATTCGTTAAACGGGAAATATCTCCGTCATTGGGGAGTTACAGTTACTTTAACGTAAAATCAAGGACCGTAGTAAATTAAGTCCCATTATGTCAAGACAGCTTTCTAACGACTGTCAAATCCTTACCACAATTACACTTACCTAAAATCTCTCCGATATCACGCAGAATTACTTATTCATTCGATCCAAGTCGAATAAGATAAATTTTATGTAAGTATTACATATCAAAATGATTTGGATTTTTTTTATGTACTACTGAATTATTAAATTGACTCTCGATATTGAGTGACGTGTATACGGAACGATTTTTTTATATATAGTACAAAAGTGTTAAAATTTTCGATTCTAGTAGAAGATAGACGTTTAATTCACGAAACAATCCTATAACAGAAATCAATTTAATAAGGATTCCAGTGTGTGTGACATCAGTTTATTCGGTTGAGATTTCCATTAAAACAGAGAGAAGAAACTGAATCTCTGGTATTCCAGCGCACACACCATGGACTTATCGAGCATATCATCAGTTCGCGAGTTTGATTGTAATTAAAATTAAATCGACAGAGATATAAAACTCAATTGGGTTTCTGATTACAAGATTAGAAGCTTAATGTTAAGTCATATATCTTCCGCTTATAATTAATTCAAAAGCCATATACATAGTTACATTGAACAGAGGTATAACGCGAATTTTATAGCACAAAGAATTTATTGTCTCGTTAGAAACTAACATCCTAGGGTGTTCTCGTATGCAATCTGAATTTGAAATGACTGTATAAATTGTTGGAAATGCTTATGGAACAGTGCGCCATTTTTAACTATGCATGTTGAAAGATTAAATTAGATATTTTCCCGCAGATGTAATCTTTACACACACTCAAAAATAATTGCCAAAAAGATAAACGTACCCACACGAATGCAAGATGCATTCACTCGTTTTGGTAAAATTATCACGTGTATGCGGGTTACTTATATTTATCCCAAAGGTATTGATTTTTTTTCCATGTAAAGTACGCGGGACAGCCTCACAGAGATAGAAAAGCGCTGTAACATTTTGCATTTTTATACATTAGAGCATACAAATTCATTATATGAAATGTTAATCTCAGATTTTAAACATGTTCAACCGAAACGCAACCCTCCACCCAGTAGAAAGCATTCCACACACGCTGGAATGTTTGAAGTTCGCTATGTTTTTCCCATATTCATACGAATTTATGACATTACTTAATTAGACGGCTCCAACAGTTGGACATTAATCTTGGTCTGATTCTAATGACGCTGTTACTTGTGCCAGGCAACCCTCTAATTGTATAAAACCCACATCTAATGCAACTTTGCTACAGCTCTCTTTTATTTCGCACAGTCACCCATGCTGATGTATCATTCGCATTCCCATATAATAGAAATTTAACATTGATTTCTATACCGTTCGAATGCGTATTTATTAATCATTAAAAAAATTCTAAGCGGAGATCTGCTTACTTATATTTCCTTCATTGAGAAAAAGGCTTAAAAATCGACAATTGCAGCAATTCATCAAGCTATTACAACTCTAAGTAACTCATTAATTAAAGATGGAGAAATGGATGCCGTGTGTTTAGATTAATTATCTTAAACAGCTGAAAATGATGAATATGAAACTCTGCTGTTAGTTAAGGACTCTAAATTTAATGTAAGCTAACTTTAATTATAAATTGTTAATTAAATATTTATTAGATATTACATCAACGTGAGAATCTATTTCTGTCCTGGAAAGTGACGAAGTAATTTTTGAATTCGTTTTTAACTTGAAATTAAATGAAGCAATTATTGCTAGATATTTTGGCGTACGATTGCTGAAAAAGAATGGCCTTCTGAAATAATAAAATCGACACAAAATCTGCAAAATAAACAAATCTCTATACAGCTGTTCAAAATGGAGTTTCGATAAATGACATATTTTTATAAGTGGAATCCACGCCAATTTTTGATTTTTATTTCGATTTGAATTGAAATTTATTCGCGATATAAGTGAAAAACAATGGGGACTACGCCGAATATTATTTATTCCTTTATTGTTTTTATAACACAAATGCCAGATTCTCTAAAAAAACATCTTAAGTATAATATAATCCCTCGGTATAACTAATTAATAACTATTCATATACTACACATACACGAATTTCAAGTAAATATAACGGAAATTATGAAAATTAATAACAGAATTTGTATCACTACAATTATTTATGACACCGAAGAACCATAAACTAAACCGATGAATTTCCATTAAAAGTTCAAATTCATTACTGCGTAACGGTATGAAAATTACACCACAATTCCGATAATTAGATAGATACCTATCTGGTATAATAACAATAATAGTGAAAATAATAATAATAATAAGAGCACGAAGCTCTCAAATAACAATACGTAATAAGACTAGCTCAACAATAAAAGTAACGATTTATACAATTAAAAATAAATTGCATATATTAATAGTAATTTATTGTTAATGTGATTAAAAGAATATAGCATTTCCTAATAAGATTTTTAATGTAAGCCGTTATTGCAGACAGTGGAAAGCGTAATCACAGCAGACATTTCAATCAAGAAGATCAAACCAAAGTGGTAATGGTGTCTTCATCTGACAGAGACACCGTCAAAGCTGGTCCAGCTTACGATTCAGGTGTTGAGTTTTACACTCCACCCACTCCTCCGAACTCAGGTATAGATCACTACTATCAAACCCACAGAAATGCTTTTTATTGCACCAGCACGTTTTTTGAATTATGCATTAAGAATATTTTTCAACTTGTGGTTTTACGCCAATAACCAACCGAAAATAGCAAATCTGATCTTTTTAGCAGATGTTTGAAAAACCCCACGGGTTTGATGAATAAGTGTATTGGCGGAAAATCTCACTTATACTTTAATATTTTTAATTATTTGTCTTTGCTGTCTCAGTTGTGTTGTCGTTGTCATGAAAGTACGAAATCAATTAACCAAAGTGCTATGGAAATTTTGGTTATTTGGTTTTGAATACTCGTATTTTAATGTTTCCAAAATGATGGTAGCTCTTTTTTAGTTTTAAATATTCACGATATATTTTTCGTCAACAAGAAATGTTTTTTTTTAGATAATTTGTCCGATACAATTTTCATAAAATCTAATGACTTGATAGACACACCTGATCCTTGTACTAAATAATTCAAAGCTTTCTTCCTTGTACCTGCAAAGATTGAAAAATAATTTTAGAAACGTGCTGGATTTTCACTTGGAAAAATTGATCTATAACCTGGCGAAGGAGTAAATTCATGCAAATTAATTGACCGATCTACGACAGATTAGATTAAATTAATTTACAAAAATAAAGAAGAGCTATTTCATTAAATTTCTCAATACGAGTATTTTCAGTGCGCTGATCGAGGAACATCAATATCAAATATCTCTTCTAAAAACAAAATTTGTTTAAGATTTTCCTCGAAAATCGAATTTGAGCAATAGAAAATCTGCATCAGTGGTTCGCATATTGGAAACTAAGCATGGAGATTGTTTTATTAAAAACATTAACAAATTAAATTTCTTCGAAGCACGTACCTAATTGAAATAACCAATATTACTTAATATGAATTCAAGGAAACTTTTTAAGTGACTATCAAGCCAAGAATTTTTACATCAAACTTTCAGCGACGCCTGAGTAATTTTAATTGGTGTGTTCCAAATCAATAGCTTCGAATTGCGGTAATGCAATCTTGAGATAAAACTAAAATCGCCCGTTCTTCTCAACTTAGACAAAAGTGCTTCTTCGGTTTTATAAAAAGTTCCAGCATATACGAGGTCCGTCCGTAAAAACTATGCTAAAGCTACAGAGTATTAGAGCAGAGAGGGTGCGATTCGTGAGTTCCGATTAAATCAATTATGTATAGTAAAGAAGGATTGAAGAAATGGTGCGTGGAGCAATCGAATCGAATCGAAAAGTTCCGGCTTCCTTTCAATATAAATTCGACAAAATGTTAAATAATCCAAAGGAGAGGACGGCAGGGTCGGTGAATAATCGCAAAAGCCCTCATTTAATTAAACGAGGTTCAATGACAGAGATGTGTGAAAATCCCAAACATTCGGTCGCTCGGACTTTAACAGAGACAATGTGAGGTGGCCCCTCGAATCAGCTATTGAGACCAGTTTGGATTCTTGCGGCTACCACTGCCAGATTCGCTCCAGGTTTTGTCGGATGCCTTTCAATTTCAACCAAAGATTCTTGAATGCCGCACATACTTCCACATATTACGTGTGTAGGTTACAATTTTTCAATTTTTTTCGGTCCGCAATCGCCGACGTTTTCGTCTAATTTAACGGAATTCAAGAATGTAATTGGAATACCTATTGAATAAAGATGGATCGTTAGATTTTTTTCCGATGCTTGGAGTTTTCCCCCTACTTTATTGGTCACATATTGAAAATACGAATATATAAAATGAAATTGAGAATGCACGTCAAGTGTAACAGGTGGCTCAAATTACAGCGGTTTACAAGTAACACTTCGAATGAGGATAGAAATATGGATAATACTGTAAACGATCGATATTTGCTGCTTCTCGGACCCGGAAAGTTTACTACAGACGGTGAAGGGGGACAGAGAGGTATTTCTAAAATTTCTAAATTTCCCGATAGCAATTAATCGGGATTAATACCAACGTGACTACCTAGTGGCTTTCGTTTGAAATTCTTCTATTCAAGTGAGATAAAAGTTTCACTTCCGCATTATTTTCCAATTTAGTGGAAAACGATTTTTAGTTGTCATTGATTACACCTACCCTACTAGTCGTTGCGAATCGTCTTCTATTCGATATTGGTCGCGGTGGTTTTATACGTTTTTCACTGCGAATTCCACCTAGAAAAATCTATTTGAATGTTATTTGAATTTAGAAAACCAGAGGAATTCCTTTATATTTGTGGCATGCACTTATGTAAGTTGAGGTAATAAATTGGAAAAGAAAGCAGTAAACTTTTTACATATTTTTATATAGCGAGTAGAGTATTTTACCCTTACTTTGAAATTTTAATTGGAAGAAGTTATTAAACAAATTGAAAAAGTAGATCAGAATTGGAAATCTAATAAAGTAAAATTTGATAATAAAACTGGTTCTAATGCGACCGTTTTCTCGTTAGCGATTTTCCTTGATATGCAAATGAAGTTGTAAATCGTATGGTTAGCGTAATGGGTAAGGCGTTAGCTAATAGAAAATTAAATTGACTAGTTTTTGCTACCTTTCAATGCTCCTTCCTTCTAACTGATAACGGATAATGAAGATAAATAATTATAAAGATAGCAAAAACGTTCTCCTTTAATCGTTCAATTTATTTCATCGATGTAAAAATAGATTTGCACGTTCTGCTACTGCAATAGCGATTCCATTCGCGAAATAAAAAAGGTCGCACGAATATTATCAATAAATAATACTTTTTTTTATTGGCCCCTGCGAGGAAAGAATCTCACATTTAAGAAGTCAGGTTTTACTTTCACCAGATGTCCGAGCCATTATGTTCTGTCCCTTTAATGACGGATTTTTCTTTTCGAACGTCCGAACAGTTTTGGCTGTGTGTTCAACGTACATGAAATATATCTTTAAATTCGTTTCGATTTATACAGACTGTTTTTCAATTACTAAACTTCGGTCTGTTGTGAGTTTTATTATTGATCCTTACATTGAATACCCACTTAAGGCTAGAGTTCAGTAATACGGAAATGTTTTTCGTAAATGTGCATTAAGAGAAAATATTCATGATATTTGAGAGAAAATTGTGTGTATAAAAGTAGAGATAAAATTTTCTGTATAAAAGTAGAGAGAAAATGTTGTGCATAAAAGTAGAGAGAAAATTTTATGAATAAAAGTAGAGAGAAAATTTTGTGCATAAAAGTAGAGAGAAAATTTTGTGTATAAAAGTAGAGAGAAAATTTTATGCATAAAAGTAAAGAGAAAATTTTGTTGTTTTTTGAGTTGCCTTTAAAATACATTTCAAATTGTGTTTAAAAGTTAGAACTTATACTTTTTTCACTTTTTCTGGTTGCCTATTCCCAAAAAATATTTTGTGAGCACTGAACTCTAGCCTTAATATGTACTTGTAATATCGACTGAGGTATAGAAATCGATTTTTATTTGGTACATGTGAGGATACCAAAATTACTATGTACATAGTTCGAAAAATCCAATACTAGCAATAGGCTAAGGATATAGAACATGGCAGAAATTATCTTTGTTATACCGTCGGCACGTCCACTTGAAACTCAACAACGCCGAATTATTGCAGGAATTAACACTTCCTGACAAATTTGGGTACAGTTGGGATAATTTACTCGCTTTTGCTATCCCTCGACAACGATTTAAACTTATTAGAGTTGTTAATAGAAATTTGATCGTTACTGGAAAGCATCTGCAATGTTAAATTGTTTTTTTGTGAAACCTGTCCCGCATTATAATAGTTTTTTTTATAATTTAACGTTAATTTATGGTCCACAATTTTGATTACAAGTACCTGGTATAATGCGTGTAAGTCAACTATTAACAAAAGCCTTAAATAAATATCCTTGCTTTGCGGTAGCCTTTTGTATTTTATGCTCGTAGAAATATTTTAAGACGGCGAGTGAGCAGACATGGGAATGCCGGTGCGCGCATTTTAAATAAAATAAAAACTTTGGCCTAAGCAAAGAAAAGAAAACTTTATTACAACATAAAAGAGAGCAACGGGGTATGATACGCTGGTGTGCAGTAAAAAGAAGTTAGTAGAAATGTATTATAAGCCATCTGCACTCAAAAAGCGCACATAGTTTTAACCTATACCTGCTACAGTAAATCTAGATGAAAATATGTTTACTCGGAACGTGCGCCGAATGTCGACAATAATACTTGGATTTGCAGGTATAGTTGCTGAATTACCCTTTAAAAATAATGACTTCGGTTTTTGGACGGATGCGAACACAACATGGCGAGGCGCAACGGCTCGCTCGTAAATATTCTTACAGAGACATATCATTCCGAGAGATAATTTATTGTTTTCTTTTCCCCTTTTGAACTGCTCTCTATTACATTCACAAAATTGAATAGTTATACAAGGTGGATTTTATTAATATTCCTTCTACTTTATTATCGCTGCGAGCTATTTTTATATTCAATCGATATCTACTAATCTAATCTAATTCTTAAGCAGGTTAATATCGAATTACCTAAATCTTATAAAAAGAAACCTACTAAATACTAAGAAAAGATGTTACCTATTATCAAGTATATTCCAATTACAAACTTCCTCCTTTAGAAAAAAAAAAATCATTATATCTACTAAAATACACACTGTATATCTTACTAAGTAAAGGTAGGTATTAAATTAAAATACAAGTCTATTAATAATTTCCAATTCCTGCGTGCCGATACTCTTGTAAAACCAATTGTTTGATTATCGCTTTACCATAGGATTTTGCGGTAATTAGAAATTTGCGGTCATAAATTTCATTGTTGAGCAATCAATCGCGACAGAATGTTGCCGAAGTGACAGGGGAATTAACACTTGCAAAGATTGAGCCGCGCTAAACTTATTTCCTTGTTAGAGCGAGAATATCATTTCGGATACAATTTCATAACCTCAGGTACTATTCGACTAATCTTCTTGTTATCCTGTTTCACTAAAACCCAATTTGTATCTTCGTATACGTATAGAATATCTATTTAATCGTTGAATCGTTGCATTTAAGTCGGCTCTCGTTCTCCATCGATTCGATTTTATTAATTATGATGGATCATATAGATTAATGTATCTACCATTACTGCATAATTCTCGTTAATGAGGCGTAATGAATTAGTCGTTATGTCGATAGGCGCTTAATATTGATATTTGGAAAGGAACAAAAGATTTTTGTTTAGTAATGCATGATTTACCAAATGGTAAAAGTCCTAGGTAAATTGTGAAAGCAAATTGAAAAGTTTTAGTCAGCAGATGTTAAAAATTCATAAGAAAAATTGAATATTGAAAAGTCAATAGAAGAAATTGTGCATGTATCGAAATAATGGTATCTAAGTATAATAAGAAAATGCAAGAAAGTTTGACAAAATATTTATGGGAATAACCGGAGAGGAATTCGTGAATGCATAATAAATCAGTTGAAAGAGTCATTTATTGACATTCTACCGTTTATATTACTAAAATTTAAACGACTCGCTTTCCATTTAAATGCTTCTTTTCTGGGGTACTTGAATATGTTGGAACGGAGATGGATTTTTAAATAACCTCTTAGCCCTTTCCCGACTTAATGTTTCTAGTTGAAGCACTCTCTGTGGTGAGATGCGGCTTCCTTTTTTTCGGATTTTTGCGGCAATCGCCATTCATTTTAACTCCTGCTAGAGAGATTTATCTTTCCATTGCTCCTGTTTATCTTTATACGCTATTTTCGATTTCGGTTTCAATTGTATTGTTTCAAAAACCAATATCCACCTGCACAATGGATAGCACGAAACCGATACAACGGGTTACTAAAACGAATTGCTTATAAATTCAATGAATTTATTCTTTCCCAGCCAGGTTGCGGGGATTTTGTTTAACTAAACGCACTCTTCGCACTCTTCGCGGAGAATACAGAGAACAGAAAAATCGGGGGATCCTTACGACATTTACCATCGGCAAAAGTTAATGGTTCTTACAGAAACACCCCTTAAAGAAACGCTTTCCCAGTGTGGTGGTAACAGTTTGATATCGATCACCAGAGAAGGTTCAAGCGCTTTTCTAACAAATTTTATCATTTCGCCAACTTTCCAACTTACCTTTTGTATACATTAATAAAATATCATTGTAAAATTTGTAAAGTATGTAATTTTAATGCAAAATTAATGAGATCGATAATAAGTATCTCATTGTATCAATGAGAAGAATGAAGTTATGAATACGTAAGCTTATTAGAGCTTATAATATTAATGATTCGATTGCAATAGATAGAATTGAAATAATGCAATATGCCTGAGTATTAAATCGTTTTTTATTGGACGCAGACGAAACCGCCCCTGTCGATTTCGAATGGGAATAGCGTAATATATGATTGTTTTTGTTTCAGGATGTGTCAGCATAGTAAGGTGGGCAGCGCCACAGATTGCAGCTGTGATTCTTCATTCCGTTTTTTCGGATACGCTTTTTCTCACTCAAAATTAATATACCTACCATATCAAATATCGAGATTAAAACAGGAGTAAAATTGGCCTCAGAATTTACCAGTTCTTTCGGTGGTTTGTGACTTGTTGGTCTCTTTGCAGTCTAAAAAATGGCCATTTACCGAAGCTAATTCAAATGTTGAAATCAAGTGGTTAATGTAGGTCGTACTACCTAATTCGAATAGGTAATCATGAGTAAATTTACCGGTTTTCGATGTGAAACAATTAGTGTACTTATTAATCAAAATAGTCGGTATATTTAAAGTGTGTACACAAAGTGTGCATTTTGCATTTTAAATAATTAATACAATCAGTTCAAAAATGAATTATTAATTTAGAGGCAATGAGTCACAGTTTTATTCGTGTACATAATTTTAATTAGATGTGAATTATTAAAGCCTGGCTCTCGTTAATGTGTGCAATACGAAACTTTCGTCATAATGTCATAGTAACACATATCCGGTATTTTTCAATAATTTAATGGGGGCCTGTTTTTTCGTTGTTAGGTAATTTAAATTGTAAAATCTGTAAAACTAATTACATATCCAGATGCAAATTGTCTAATTCAAAAGTCATTTTCAAGACATGAGACTTTCTCTATCTCGTTATTCCTTACGCGGGGTTCGTTCGGAAGAAGTTTCTAAAAATGACCCATCAATAATAATTTCGTTAACAAAACATACCGTCGTATGAAACATATCTACGCGCCTTTGTGACACCACATTTGCGCTGAATAATATGGAACTGAAAGTAAATATCAGCATTCTCTCGCATATACTTAAAATACATTGGCCAGACAAAAGGGATTCAAATCTATACAGGATTCTCTTCTGTTTAATATTCACAATAGAAGAGCCGCCTCCAATTGATCACGTACGCTATATTAAAACCGAACAGATTTTAAATTCTATCGAGAAAATTCCATTTTGGCCAATTACACCTAATACAATTGCTTTGATATTTTATTATTTTCATTAATTATTTAATGGGAGAGAAGCTAATTAGTTTTTTAGCTAATATTCTTTTTTATTTGTTAAAAAAATTGTATCCCTTAGGTATACACAGGACGCAAATTTCAGTTTATACTTAAAAGGAACAAAATAACAGAAATTTTGTGCATTAAGAAAATATTTGTATATAAAAAATTAATATGAGGCTTATTGTAATATATACATGTATTTAGAGCTGATCTATTTAATTTCAAACATAATATTCTAAGATCCAACTTTATATGTATATAATGTATCATAGTTATCAATTAAAGTTTTTAAACGTGAATGGTTTGTTGTGCAGCGGGGGGACATAGAAACTATGCGGTTTCTATAATATAACAAACTCACGAAAGACAACAAACCGATTATAAAAAAATTGTTTAAACAGACATTTTGCATAAAAATGAAAAAGTTTTCCGCTTTCATAGTGAGAAAAATTTTCAGTTTAAAACATTGTCGTATTATTTGAAGTGCCAAATTAGAAAATAGATAAATTCAGGTAGCTATACTTGTATAATTTTAAGAATACCACAGTTCGTTTAAAGCAGAAGTCTAAAATTTTTATTTAAAAAAAAATCAGATTTAGCTGCAAGTATTTTTTTTAAATTAATCGTAACTTACTTCGTTTCTCTTCTCGACATTAATTGTCATTCCGATCTTGAAACGACTCGTTATCAGGATGCGAAGTTCCCTGAACGGATGATTTTATAGTTCCATCCAAAGTTTTACTGCCAAAATTATCCTGAAATTGCCGCCAATGTTATACATGAGTGCACAAACCCCATATAAATCGGTCTTAGGTTTGTTTCAATTTTACTGTCTACCTGAAGCTAAGCGAAGGCTTCGTTGACCTTTGAAACCCTAGCAGGAGCAGATCGAATTGCAATAAATAACGATAAAAATTTTAGACATTCTGGTCAAACTTTTCTGTTCAACTGTACTCGTAGAGCATTGTTAATTGACACTGTTCATTGTTCATAATTTTTGTTAAATGTGCCCATAATTCTATATGAATTTTGGATTAATAAAATTATTTGTCAAAGATTTACTTTTTATAAAACACCTAAATATTACTCACTTCAGTTTGAAATTAGATTTTGCAAAAAGTTCAGGTAAGTGTACATAACTTTTCGATCTCTTGTAGTGAATGATTTATTGTTCTATTTGCATTCAAATAAAGTTGATATTTTGACGCATAAATAAATTAAATTTGCCCACATTATAATGGTCGGTTATGCATTGGGTTAACAATAGAAACATATAATTTATTGCATAAATGTTTCATGCAAAACGGCTACCTAAATTAGGAAAACGTATGAATTTTTTATACATTAATAATAATTTCAGTTGAAATGTAGCTACACACCGTTAAACAAGACTTTCATTATTAAATATAAACTAGAAAATGAATGTAATTTCGATTTGACATTTAATAAAAAAATCACGAATAGGCACGAGAGAAAATTAATAATTGAGAGAACAAAATGCCGAAACAACGAAGCAATTCCTATCTAAAATAACAACATTAGAATCTCATCAAGTGCATGAGAAAGCGGCAAACAAGAAAATACACGAACAACAAAATTATAAATTACTTATATCCTTTGCATAATAGATACAATATTTTCAAATTAAGTTCCATTAAATTTGCATAATTTAGAATTCACGCTGTCACAGATAATTAAATTAGTACAACTTTTCTCATTACAATTCTACTTCATTCCGACTTGTGTGTTTGATCGAGAAAATTACCTTTTGCCTAATAACAATGATGGTGTGCTTGGGCCGCCTGTGCATCACGTTGTTCAACTGTCACAAGCGAGTTCGAAGGACTTACTTCCTGTTCCGGTTTCAAATTACCGATCTATAACTTCCGAAATGTGGATTCTGCTCTAAACTCGTTCCCCAATAATGTATCAGGCGATCAACTTCAAGCGATGATGGTTAACAACATTCTTCTACTCGAACTTGCTCCGACTGTGTATTCCATTTCGTTTCCATTATCTACTATTTCCATCGAGTGCCTAATTTAATTGTCGCTTGCAATGTAAATACAAATACACAAAAGTTTTATAGCGAAAATATTTTATTAATTATATTTACTGTAATTTATTATTAGTTGTAACTTGAAGGAATTATTTTACGTTCATTGGATTGTTTGGCTTTGCAATATGGGCACGTAATCGTCGAATTGAGCTTGATAATAATTCCCAGCAACAGGCTGTCCTAAACTATAATTCACCGCGAATTTTCTTATGGAAAAATTCAATCGACCTTCCCTAGACCTGTGGAGTGTTAAAAAAAATTATTAAAACTAAGCGATTTTGAAATTATTAGACGTTCCACTCACCTGCTGTCGATTTTCTTCTCCTTAAAATCGATTTTTCCGTTTTGTTGGTAAACAAGGAAGACGTATCTGTGTAAGCCCGTACCTTGCGGTGGGCCGGATCCTCTATATCCCGCGATTACTTCGCCATTTTCAACATCTCCTCCTTTTACATTCCCTACAAGCCAGTGCAACACTTCTCTGAGTTTGGGGTCTTCTCTGCTGGGTGCATCCGGGTCTAAACAAACAGCGAATCAATGGAGAAATCAGTGCAAATATTTAGTCAACTTACCAACCATCGCGACCGTGTAGAAAGTATTGGGATCAGCCGTCCAGTTAACAGTAATAGGCTCATCTTTCACCTGAGTCGGGGTTAATTCATTTCCAAGTTCAACACTTGCTCCGCTGGGATAAATCACCTATAATAAGCCCGATTATCGACCAAGTATAATTGTAACGCAATTAGTTAGATTACAGAGGAACATGACGAGCTAAGCATATTAAAAAATGAAACGTAAATCCGTTAATAACTGTTATTATTATTATTAACATGTAGTTATTTAACCTCTAAATTGTGCATTGTGGTTAAAATTTTGTAGGTAAATAATTAAATATAGTTATTATAATACACACCTTTAAGACTTCTGATGGAATTTTGTCGATGACATCGGGGACAATTTCTCCTTTCTCCATTTTACCTAGACCGAGCCGTTTATGTAATGCAAGTCAAGTAGTTACCCGATTATATTATTATCACAACAAATACATACCGATATCAACAGATTCAACAAATGCTACAACATACACGAAGGTCAAAAGCAGGCAAACACTTTTACTAGTCATTCTGGACGAACGATATGTATGTAACTTATTCGTTGTGTTGCTGGTTATAATGTCGCTGGTTATTTTTACGCTTACCAACCGTTCACCGCAGCATCAGGATTAACTGTTTCTACCTACTACCTACCTCTTAATTACCGGCATTGAAATATTTAAATTTATGCGACTTGTGTTATTGCTCTTGTAGAATTGAAAAATCTCGTCTTTCGCTAATTAAAAGAAAAATGCAGGTACTTTTTGCGTCAAGAAATTAAAGATTTAACGGAAACCGTGCGGGATAGGTGTACCATTCCCCGTTACTCGGTGTGTTTTCCCGAGCGCATTTGTCTTCAAAGCCGACTTCTAACAGAAAGTATTTAAAAAGCAGATGTATACGCGACTTTTGGAGGGCTCTACGGCTCGAGTGTACTTGCTTTTTTAATCTTCAAAGTTTCTTTTGGCATTGTGTTTGCCTACGAAATTACCTCATTAGTCCCCCGGGTTGTAAATAAAAATGTTGAAAATAAATTCGAGTGCAATCCTCGTAATCTCCGCGATCCTTTAAGTATGCGCTTAGGTAAATATTTACGCACACATTTGGTCTCACAACCGCAACTTAGCACTTTAAATGTTACTGCCCTTTAATTTGCGTGGCTTGCTCCTTTATGTGCTCCATGCTGATAGAAACAGATGCGGTTCTTATTCGAGATTTTTTTTATTTGTTAGTATCAGATTTGCGGGAAATGAAATTAGTGCGTTTAATCAATGCATTGTGCCAGAACCTGTTGTGCCGTTCCTTTCAGCGATCAAACTGTTTTTCTTCGTAAAATTAATTTCGTCTATAGAAAAGCGCCTCCTCGCAATTGCCACCACATATTGTGTTTATTTTCCGTTAATTTTCCGTTATTTATGATCTTCTATCGTTCACTTTTTTTTTTTGTTTCTTTACCTGAGTGTGTGTGATTTATGATTGGCGTATTCCTCTACGCGAGCGGATTCTGTCCAGCGTGAAATTGATCTACAATAAATTAATTAATGACATCTTTTTGTGTTCGGTGATCAACAACGGCCGGGCATCAGTATACAATTCCATATTCTATGAAGATATCATTAGGGCCGTTTAATTTTCGCAATTAGTTATTATTGTCGGCGGTTTGTAATTAATGTATCGACATGTCGTCAATGTGATAATGTACATAGTAGATACCATTGTTTGGTTGACTTTGTACATTATTGCGTGTCATCCATGAAATCCGCGATCAAACTATCCCGATTTATGTTTTCAATAGAATATGTTGATCGATTAATAATTGAGCTGTACCTAACAACGTTATTCCACTGAATAATTTCTATATTTAGGTTGTGCAGGTGTATTCTTGATGGTTTTTAATTCGATTCGATTGTTTCGACCGGGCAAATCCGTTCGTAACGTGGAATTAGTTGTGTTTTCTTCCGGATTCGTTAATAAGGGTCAGTTGGACCCTCAGGATTGTGTATGAATATTTATCAAATTATGTACCTAGCGAACTTTAAACTATATGGTTAACCGAGCAAGTCGACCAAATATCTACTATGCAAGCAGTTGCCGCGCCGTGTAATATCTTATTCTACATAGTTTCGGAATGTCACCTGAGAATTAGTGCCTCTCAGTTTCCTTTGGATCATTCAGCTTTACGTGCGAACGATTTACATGTCAAACAATCGTATATTAGATTTTAAGGCCTTGTTGATAACATTCTAATAAATTTATGGAATAAATTATAATCTCGTGTACGTACAAAACAACGATTGATTGCACTTAATTTAGATTTAAAGCGTTTATTGACCGCGTTTATATGCATAATTTTTATTACTCCTGGGTGACAATGTAATGAATTAAAGATACAAATTATTTTAATGTTTATAACGGGCTGACACTAAACCGGGGAGATTTCGAAATTTATTCATTTTCGTTAGGCTACTTCGACTTTCAGATATTTTTATAAGTACCCGAGTTCAAACGTGATTCTGTAAGAATTCAGAGCCACGGACGCTTCTAAATGCTGTAACTTGTACAAGGAGGATTTACGCGTGCCATTTTTACTTGAAATGAATGCTTGATATTAAATGAAACGTATCTAGTTGAACTAACAAATAACGAAGTACCTAATGAATAATACAGCATATATTAAGTATTCGAGTGCACAGAAAACCGCACGCCAAACTACCAGAGTTTCTATATTTCTAACGTACTTATGAAGTTTTAACAGTCCAAGCCGCACGGCTACTGTTGAGTTTTGTGTAGCTCGAATCACTGCGGAATTATTATATTAAATTACAGAAAGGTCGATGTTTTGTAATTCTGCAAGCGTTTTCATTAATTGATGTTTATTAAACATAATCTAATACGAATTGGAATATTGGTAATTGGATTAAATCAGTCTAACAAACTATGTGCAATTCAAGAGCGCACAGTCTTCATAATCAACCACTGCATTTAATCAGGAAATGTAAGAGAATTCCAAATCAAAAAATTAGAATAATGGTACTCGATTAAAATGAGTTAATAAAGACATAGTTTACATATTTTTATTTCAAACGCTCAGATAACCCTTGACCTTAAAACCTCCACTCATTCACAAGAATTTAATAGTATTCCAATAGTATTCGAATGAAATGGAACGCCTTCCGGACATTTCTCGTTTGATTTTCGCAATTAGTGCATTCACAATCATCTGCGCGAATCCGATAACGGTGAGCATCGATAATCCGAATTCCCTTACGAAAGTAACCACGAAAAACGTCACTCGTCCGAAAAGTATGTTTTACTCGTCCGGCTGGTTAGCCGTTCGTTTGATGGTCCTTTTGATGTTTCAGTCGACGTAAAAATTTTGGGCAAGCCGCACCATTTGTTCATCGGAAGATGCAGCCCGAAGGACGAGATCCTCCACGAGGAGCACATCGTTCTCACTAACGACGGCAAAAGCCACGTGTCTGCGAACATTCGGGTGAGCCACCGAAGGTGCTCTTGCACCATTACATTTCTGCGTTTTTAGATGAACATCGAAGGCCCGGTGAATATAACCTGCGTGAATGTCTACGATGAGATGCCCAACGGCGAGGGCGGGTATCCCAGTTTCGCTGCAGGAGGCGTCGGGCACGACTTCGTTGAATTTAATGTTATGACTAACTACGGGAAAGGATTTCACTTTTACACCAGAGTTCAAGGGTATACGAAAAAAGATATCGTGTAATTTTGGTCAATAAAATGTTATTCATGCATCACTTGAATCTTACTCCATGTGTTTTTTTTAATTACATTTTACTATTAAATTAGTAGATTAAAAAACTAGCTGGTAGGTTTTCCTTTTAATAGAGAATATTACATCAACTACATGCGAGTAACAAAATATATTTTAAATATCATTAAAAATATTAGAATCCAAATGTGTTGAGATTTATAGTTTTCCAGTTAACTCGGGAACAGCCTTAAATAAATCGGCTACAAGCCCGTAATCCGCCACTTGGAAGATCGGCGCTTCAGGGTCCTTGTTAATAGCTATAATGGTCTTGCTGTCTTTCATTCCAGCTAAATGTTGTATAGCTCCAGATATACCAACAGCTATGTACAAGTCCTGCAATAGAAAATTAACAGTTACAATCGTTTAAAAAATAATTCCGTGAGAAAGTATATTTACAGGAGCTACAATCTTTCCAGTTTGACCAATTTGCATATCGTTCGGGACGTATCCAGCGTCGACAGCAGCGCGAGAAGCTCCAACAGCTGCGTTCAGTTTATCAGCAAGATCGTACAAGAGCTTGAAGTTATCGCCTGATTTTAATCCACGACCTACAAAACAATTTATACACTTGTAAATGTTTTAGTTATATAAGTTTCGTTCGACTTTTCCTACCTCCGCTTACTATAGCTTTGGCGCTGGTTAAGGAAGGCCTATCAGATTTGCTGAGTTCTTGGCTGATAAATGTAGATAAATCTGTAGCGCATCCGTCAGATGAAATATTTTCAGTGGTTGTCGAGCCACCTTCGAGGCTGGCCGGTTCGAAATTGGTTCCTCTTATCGTTAGAACTTTAATACCGTCACTAGCAGTCAACGTTTGAATCGCGTTTCCTTTAACAATTAATTTATTAAATAAGGCGCTTAAATTGAGTGAAAGAATTATTACCGGCGTAAATGGTTCTGACAAACGTATCTGGCGACTTAATGGAAATAACGTCTGATACAGGAGAAACGTCCAATTTCGCTGCGACTCTAGGTAAGAGGGCCTTTCCGAAAGCCGTGGCTCCAGCGATGATATGCGTGAAACCGAATTGCTTTTGAGCGCTGATTATTAACGGAGTTAAACTTTCGGCTGTGAAGCCCTTAAATGCTTCGTTTTCTGCCACGATCACCTTCGATAAACCACCGGCTTTGGCTAAAGAGGCGGAGGCCTGTAAATGAATGCATTAAGAATCTAGTAAGAGTGTAGTATATAAAGTGAACTTACTGGTCCACATTTTGTACCAGCAACAAGAACAGATATATCTCCTCCTAATTTCTTGGCTGCTGTTATGGCATTTTGGGTTATCGGATTTAGAGCTTCATTATTGTGTTCCGCAATGACCAGTGTACTTTGAAATCTCCTGAACTGTGAAATTTATTAACATATTAAATTGGTTCTGAAAGGAATATTTACAAAACTTACCTGACTTCCAAGAGTTCGCGAATAGCTAGAGAACATTATGAAGGGTTTAAACTTAAAAATATGGGGGCTTATTGAATGGGTTTTAATCGAAATATTGCAAGTTCAAAGTACAAATTCAAAAGTAAACTAACACAACATTCGACATCAAAAAACTAGTTACCAAATTATAAATAAAAATGTAGATTATAATACTCTACTTTTTTGATTAAATAAATAACTCTACCTGCTCAATTATTCAGCCCGTAATTGTAAAATGAATGTAGTGCCTGTAGCATAGGCAACCAAGTTTACACATACATTTTCTCTGCACTACATACATATTTGAATCAATAAGAATTGCATATTCATGGGTAAAAAATGGGAAAGCTCAGAATATTTAAATAAAAATTCAATTAATAAACATTTATTAAAGTCAAGTGATCGTGTAAACACATAAATAAGTTATTAATAATTAGAAGTTTACCTTGAATACTTTGCATCATAAAGTAATCTTAGTGTATACCTAAAACAGTGCAGGTTTTTTAATACATAGAACTATTAAAAATAAATATAGTTTTTCTAATTAATAATAAAATTGTCTACTGGTTTAACAATACTGTGCTAAAGTATATACTGTAATATCAAAACTAGATTTGAAATTGAATCCATACCTCTGTACATTAATTACTTTTAACAAATTACATATCAAAACTAGAGATTCTGTAGTATATTTTATAGGCTACTGTACAATGAAGTATTAATTCATCATCGGAATGTCAACTAACAAAGTACCTATTACTAATTTTGATTACAAAATGTCATGGTCTTTTGTGCGTTTACCCTGAGATATTTTGCTCTTGCTCTGTTCACAAATAGTTCAAATTACATGTAAATTTGTAAATACTGAAGTGGCACGTCCGCAAATTTAGATATTAACCATCAAGTCCACATGTCTAAGAAACAAGTAATCATATGAATAAGGCGTTCCGGCGTCTCCACCATGGGCAAGTGGCCAGAATTGGGTATCAATTCCAAAAATGCTCTAGGTATCGTCTGTAAGAAAACAAAATTTATTACTCTTTCCATTTCGCATTCGCTTTCCAAAAACTTACTCTTTCCATTTCACATTCTTGGACCAAAGTAACGTGCTTGTCTTGCAAACCGTGGATCAAAAGAGTGGGCGCAGTAATACGCCTGTGGAAAGCAGTATCGCCTTGCAACCATTTTTGGCCATTAGCTATATTATCAATAACGTGCCTGGGCAGACCGTTTTCTTCATCGCACGTTTTGAAATGCTTGCCTCTGATTGAGAAGAAAAGGCTCCTGAAAAAAAAGGCTGAATGTTAAAAACAAACTGTTAGAGGCAATTTGTGAAATTTAACCTTTTTACGCCGCAGTATAGTAAAGGATTCAACAGTGTGTAAATACAGCCGAACGGGGAGATTTCATTGTCCTTAACAGGAGGTGCCAAAGGCGTAGGCCCGCCACTGCTTATTAAAATCAATTGCCTGATTTGTTGGACTCTATGTGGAAACAATGCGGTAATAAGGCTACAACTGGAAGAGAGTTAAATGAAATACAATTCGAACAACTTTGGTAGGTTCTTACCCATACGAATGTCCAATCAGTACACATTTTCTTTTACTGTCTGCCATGTAGTGATCGAAAATGGTAAGTGCCTGGAGAAGTAGATTATTGAACGTGTAATAGCTAGGTTTCATTGGCGCTGAACTAAATCCATGCCCCAGCATGTCTGGGGCGACTACTTCGTAGCCCCGGGAAGAGAGAGCGTTTATTACTAAAGTCCATATATCTGCTGAGGTTCCAATGCCATGAAACAGCATTATAAGGGGCTTCTGTGGAAATTACAATAAATAAATTCATTCAATTGTAAGTAAGTTAGTGTTAGTGCCTACCTGATTCTTTTTGTGCACACAACTTTTCTTTGGAGAAGCTCTTCTAATATCAGTCCTAAAACTAGCTGCCTTCTCGTTGCTCTTCAGCTTTTTACGAATGGTTATCACTTCATTTTCTTCGTCTGTTATTTCATATCCTAAGTTTACTTGACCGGTGCCCTTTATTCCTTCGGATTTAGTTTGTAGCATGTAATATTCATGAAAAGCCTCTAAAAATGTCTCTTGAATGAGGCGTTCAACGAACGTAGTCAAATTCGTTATCTTTATAGGCGGCTGTTCGGTACAAGAAACACTGAAATAATATAAATTTAATTAAAATTTGTTTGCAATGATTTTTTTTAAACACTTACGTTTTCCTGGAGTTTTCTGCTCGTACCGAAGGCTGATTAGAGATAATCGAATATCTCATTGATCTTCTAAACGAGCAGTCGCAATTTCCGATTTTAAATGGTCTGTTCCATTTGCTAAACCAATATTCCTCAGACAGAGAGCACCTTTTTGAATTTGTCGAATCATATAGTACAGGCTGAGATAAAATAACAGATTTTCTTATAAAACCTGGACACATATGTATCACTCTTATTTGTATCTTAGAATCAATGACAATAAACTCACAATCGGTCGGTGGAGTTTGGTCCAAAGGGTGAATTCGATGACCTGCATTAAGGGTCGAAAGAAAGGTGTTCCAGGATGTTACCACCTTTGGAAAGCACCCTTCGACACCGGCGTGTTCAGTCATGATTTAACATTAACTACGTAACGCCCATTCTCGATTTAGCTTCATTATATCCAATTAAACATGAATCATTTTTATTGTGTAGGCTTAGGCTTAAGCATTATCACTGCTCGCGTAAAATCATTGGAAAACACCTAAAAGCAATTGTAAAACAATATGTTGAATATTTATTACCTTTTTTGTACTGAAAGTCACGTTTACTTACCATAACTGTGCATTGGATATTTAAGCATAATCATGTTCGTGTAAAAATTGGTTATTTTCTGATACGATATAGCTGCTTACACAATCGTAATAATCTACCACCCAATGCCCTTTTCAATTTCGAAATTTAAACGTTTTGCTTGAAATTTTTGTTGTTATTTACAGTTTCGTTCACTCACAGTTGTGTTGTGTTGGCCTTCGAAACTTCGAACACAAAAAAAGTAAATATAAATAGAATTTGACCGGACTATATTTAACATAGTTATCTACCCACTTGTTTCAATACTTTCTTAATTTTTCACTAGGTGGCTTCAACGCATAATAACTTTTAGGTCCCTAATCAAGTAGACTGATTTTGAAAGGTAACGCAAGAATTAGGAAAATACATTTTAATACAATTAAATTTTTTAAGCTGTTATTTGTAATGATAAAAAAAAAGTTCGTATATGTAGAAAATTCGAATATAATCCACGTTCTTACTACTTGTGCCTACTGTGATTTAATCCTAGGAAACTATATGGTAATTTTCATTGCTACCAACATAATTTTAGGTACTAAAAGTGATAAACATAGTTCGTTATGAAAAAAAATTGAAAATAATTATTTTATATACTAAAACTGCCGGGCCCTTTTGACTTTTTAAATTATCACCTTTATTGTACAATAAAGGATTTGCAGCCACTGAGGTGACCTATTGTATGTAGTGGAAAATTTGCAGCTCGATTTCAAATTATATTATATTTGACATGTAGGTAAGCAAAATGTAGTTTTTTCCCCCAAGATTAACGGTCGAGTATTTTCTATTAACACCGTGAATAGATCGTTATTTTGACCGTGAATTGTTACAAAACCCGCTCACAATGAATTGAGATGGAATTTTCCAAAAAATGTTTCTATTAGACGGAACAATGCCTACCAACTTATACAGTTAAGTGCAAATTTGTATGGTGTATGGGTGCAACAAAGACAACTTCTATTAGTCTCATATATAAAGGAAAAAGAAAGGAGTCCCATAAAAAATATTATGGGATTGCAACTTTCTCACTCTAAGAATTGTTATTTTAAAAATCTTTCGTTATTCAACTCATAGAATTGACCATATTCCAAACAAATGTGCACTTACCTGTATTCATTTTGTTCGGAAATATTTGAAGAAATATAATAATTTTATTATGATTGATTGGATGAAAAGAGCTTGAATTTTCAAGGGATTAATTTTACGGAATAATAATAAAAAATTTGACTCATGTCATTAATTAATTTTAGAATTTTTTAGTAAAATATGCTAAATTCTAAAAAATACTTTAAAAAAATTATGTTTTGTTTGTGGAAATCAATGGAACTCTTTCAATGTTGATGTTAATATTCGAAAAATGCAGAAGAAATTCTTTCTTTCGTTTTTTGTGTCCATTCAATGAAATTTTTATTTATGGAAAACATGTTTTTTTTCGTTTTGTTCATAGATATATTGCCTACATGAAACATTTATTCGCATTCGTAAAAATGTGTTACTAATAGTTTTGTGATAACGGTGGTACCAATACATTTTTATTAATTTTTGACATCAAAAATAATAGTAAAATGAATCTACTATATAAATAATTATGATAGTCATATTTAAGTAATTTTACTGAAATGTAATGTCCAAGAAATTGTATCTATTTTTCCTATAGACATACAAATAAACAAAACAGTCGCAAACAGAAGGCAAAAATTATTTTTATAAATTATAAACAAGTATTGATCCAATATTAAAAACAAATAATTTTTCCAATAACATTTTTTCCAAACGTCGTTTTCATTAATTGGCGAAAGATTTGTAATCGCCTTAACGATTAAATTGTTGTTCCGTTGATAAGCTATCCAATATCTAGCAACTTCGCAACATTGAAAATTATCCAAGAATTCTAAAGTCGATGGAAGGGAAATTTCAAAAAGAAGCTACAGGAAAATTACTGAATTAACAGGGACAATTTTCTAAGAAGCTCCATTCGCCACACACCCATTGGGCCCCCTCTCTGAAGTGCCTAAGAATAATGAAAATCATGTGAGGGCCAAACTTTTTGCTCAAAAATACGCGATCGGGGTTTAACAGTCGTGCGGTGTAGGTAGAACGGAGAATAGCGTTTCACTGAAGTATCGAGTGATCGACCGCAAGTTAGGTGTTGCATCAGATCTCAGTCATGAATATAGCGGAACTCCAGACCCAAGTTTTCTATGAACAAACTAATTCGTTGTGGGTTTTCGCATATGGGTCCTTGTGTTGGAGACCGGGTTTTCAATTCCGAAGGGCTGTTATGGGCCATGTCAAGGGATTCCAGCGGAGATTTTGGCAAGGGAACACTCAACACCGGGGCACTGAGAAGAAAGTAAGTTTAAGTTATTGTTATTTTTTTATTTATCGATTAATCTACATAATCGTGAATATTTTGTTGTGCGGTTTTTACACGTGATTTTTTTGTATTATTTTGGCGCCAAAGGTATCTAATATAAAAATAAATCGGCCGCTGATTCTAAATTTAAGTAAAATAGTATATCGCAAAATTTTTAAACTATTGAGTTGACTATTTTTCAATGGTGAATTGGCTAGCAATCGAGTTGATATTTAAAAATAATTAATTTCAATTGTAAAAAAAAGTTAAAATACTTATTTGTTAAAATATTTTCAAGTAGGTCACTGAGAAGAAATTTACTCCAAATTTTAATTAAAATGCATTTTATAAAAACTTTTTTATTGTATACAAAATTTGTATCATTTTTTAAAAATTGCTCATCTTGTCGTGAGTACTTTATTTTTTAATTAATTTTAAAAAAGTGACTACAATGAGCGAGAAAATTGTATATTTATATAACCTACATTTCAAAAACCTAGAAATTTATCACATCGTTAAATTCAATAATAATCATAATTAAAACGAAACTTTTGCATTTGATTTAAGTTAGTAAATTATTTTTTGAATCAAATTAACCAAACTTAAACGCAAAATATTACATAAAATAAATTGTTTTTAAAATATAATTTTGGCTGATTAAGAATAATATTTGATTACTATTTCTTTTTGTAGATAAGTTGTTTGAAAATGTTTGATTTGAATTTTTAATACGATTTAATTTTAATTAAAAAAGTTTGAAGTGATTATCCAAGAAATTCATTGCGATGTTCTACCGCTTTGGACAAAATTCAATTTTTACATTTCTTGGTACATCATTTTTCCAAAGCTTTGTATAATTACTCGTAATTTACCAAAATAATTTGAAACTAATATGCCATGTAATTCCATTTTTTTCGTTGATAATAGTTCTTTTTATTCCTATTGCGTGAAGGAACTACATACTCATGTAAATTAAACGTTGATTAAAATTTCTGAATTTTTTTTATTGTGGTAAATTGGTTAATAACGGTTTTTCGTTTTTTGGCGGTGTTTTTTTTTTAATTTTAGGCTTCGATTAATCCGTCGCGCAATTGCCAAAAATATAGACTACTTTTTGCCATCTCACGTAATTATAGTGAGAGAAAGTTAAATCTGCGGTCTTTTAGTTAGGTACCAATCTTGCAAATTGTTGAATTGTCGGTGCTTTTGTTGCAATTACATCATAATCTTTTCAGCGAATTAACGTTCTTTATTGATAGAATTGATGGTTTTAATAAGTTTAATTTTTGTTTCAGCCGGGACGCGTGGCGACGTTAGTAGAAGGACAGGTAAGAACAATGCATTATTATTATTACTATTCTAATTTATTTAAAGTGCAAACAAAAATGTAGCACCTTGGATTCTTGATACTTGAGATGGTCAGTTCCCGATTGTACTCCTCACTATTTTTAAATTTTGATACTACATACACCAAGCGGAAATTCGTTATCATTTGCACGTGCTGTTATAATTTATTTCGCTGTTAATTACTTTATGGATTTATTACTTTGAAAACACACAAATTCAATAAGGTCTCTTCAAACCGATATCGTAAACATGGATTTTAATGAATGAAATTTATTTTATTGGCTTGACCGGAGGTTAATTATTTTCTGGAATTAAATTATTTACTACAACACAAGATACGTATTTGTATTTGCTCAATACTAAATCACAACTTCGGCAAAATATTTCAAAATTTGATTTAAAATCGTTGCCTCAACTATTCGTTAATAATAGATTATTTTGTGTCTGCCCACCCAGTACACGGAAATCAAAGGTGATTGTAAAAATAATTGGACAATTCGCCTAACACGCGTTATCGTTTTCGAAACGTGGATAACTCTATAAATGTAGCCAAAAAATTCCGCAAAGGTTCCAACTCCTAAGCACTGATCAAAATAAATAAAACCGACGTAACATTATCAGAAAAATGAATTTACGCTACTTACAGAAGGAATATTTTTATTAAACTTTCGATTGACGCATGTGATAGATAGTATCAAAACATTTATTTACTTTGAATTAATTTCCTCTTACCCGACTACAATGTATATAAATACGGGACTTATTTTAAAAAATGTCACGCTATCGTAAAGGAACTAGGTACTTCGTATAAACATTACTTAATATCAGTAATTCACATCGTGGTAATTTATAATGATTCGTATTTTTAAATTAATGTGTATAAATAAAATCGAGTGATAATACAAAATTTGATTAATCATTGTAGAAAATACTTAAACCTACAGACGGCTTATAAAATAAATAAAACGAGAATTTGGCAAAATAATTATGAAATAATCACCTTATATCGGCTTATAAATATTTACCATTTCCAATTCGAGTAATAAGCATAAATTAACACTTATCTAATTTTTAATATTTCAACTTCTTAGCATTGATGAAAAGTTAATTTATTATACCTACATACCATAAAATTCTTGTAACATAACACTTGTAACATGTCCTTTCAAACAGCATTCGTAATTCGATACTTATTATACGCCTAATGAATTTGCGTATGAATTTTTAAACCCAAAACATTTTTCAAATCTTCAATAAGATCAAACCCTGGAAAATGAATACCTCCTTCTGTTCCAGGGCAAAGTGCATGGCATTGCGTTTGCGTTGCACGGGGAAGCTGCCATTCCGTATCTCTCGCAGAGGGAAGAGAAACTGGGTGGTTACGTTTCTCATTTTACTACCTTTCATCCCATGCAAGGGGAGCCTTTCCAAGTGCTGGTATACATAGCAGACTTCCGCAATCCCCACTGGCTGGGGTACGCCGACGAAAAGGCCATCGCCAACGAAATAATAAACTGCAAAGGACCGTGCGGCACAAACGTCGAGTATGTCATTAGGCTAGCTAACTTCATGAGGGAACATTTCGCCGAAGAAAACGACGCGCATTTGTTCACGATAGAAGAGGAAGTGCTCATGATAATGGACGATAGGAAAATATGCCTGAGCAGCCTCATGGGCACCGGGGAAGGCTGCGTGACGTTCGTCAAAAAGGAGGAGAAAGAAGACAGCTATTGTTATATCGACGACATTAAAAGTAAGAAGATTGATGCGTTTCAATTCGCGATGAAAATCCAAGGGACGCAACTCCGCTGCCTGAACTTATAATTGAATTCCAAACGTCCTTTAAGGCAAGCTTGCTGTCGAAGGGTCGAACCGTGCAGGATAAATACCAAAGTTTTTTTTTTTGGAAGATGTTAGTAGATACGGATCAAGACAACAAGTAGTTTTTGCATCTAGTTTTTTAAGGCCCACGTCATACAGACAACGAATTAGTTTCAAAACACTTTCTTCATTGATATGTCAGCTTAACTACTTTCTGAATTCTAACAAGTTTTTAAATATAAATCAGTCATTGAAATGCCAAATTAGGTAAGGCTGGTCCTTACCTCCAATGTTAAGCAGGTCATGAATTTTAATGAATAATCACTTTCTTATCAAGGAAAACTATCTGCTCCATATTGACAAACCTTGCTTTATTGTTTTTAATAGGCGACTCCATTACATGATTCAGTCACCAAATATATTTTTAGTTTAAGGCGATTGTCATTTAAGAGAAATATTCATTTTTAGATCGTATTATTAGTGTGAATGCGAGTGGCTCCAGTATTACCAATTTTTTAGATGCAAAAATTATGGTTAGACTTAGTGCATTAATTTAATTGTTTCTTAAAGTTAAAGACAGTTATGTTTCAAATCGGTTTTCATCAAAAATTGATTCCATTGTATACGTTCTAACTATTTTGATGAAGGCTGGTTTTCGAAGAATTTTAATAGATATTTTTTAGCTACAGTGTAGTGCAAAAATGTCACTTTTGTATTGTGATTGTATTTTTATTATGTTATTACTATTTTAATTATATTTTTTTAAGGACAGCTAGTTACTATTCTTTTAATTTTATATGCAGACTAGTTATGTTTTAATTGAAACTAATCTGTGATTTTATATTAAAATATAATAAATGCGATATATTTTTTCTAGTACATTTCATTGATCACTTAAAACGACTAAACCCTATCGAAAATTTTATTTTTAATCAAAGCTAACAAACAATATATAAACTTATTACTAATATGGCTTTTTAATTAATGAACCAGTTTCGCACCGTTGTAAGTGTAAAAATATTTCGACTCGTAATTGTAATTGTAAGCAAATCTAGACCCAATTGCAGCCCTAACGGGCGTAAGTCTCTGGTTTTTAAACATGCCACTTAAATTGATTTGCTGTCTGTTTGACGGCGACGTGTTTATGGCATAATCTGGTTCGTTTTTGCTAGGAGTTGCTGGTGGATATGCTTCGCTAGCACCACTGGTCGGGGACCCGCTAGCACCCTGCACTAGATTAGCACCACTGCTGACACTGGGTGGTCGGTTTGCTCTCCCGCCACTCCCACCGGAGCCTTGTTTCGCGGGGTTTTGCACTATCCCCTCGAATATCACGTTCTTGGTTTCCCTGTCGAATATAATGAAAGCGAAGGGCCGATTCGCTTTGATTTGCACTGGTAAGGCGAAAGGCACTATCGCGGCACTGGTGGAAGCTGCAGCAATCGAGCCCTGTTCGTCCACTTCCATTCTCGTTTTGTGCAGTAAGTTATTCACTGAAACGTTGCCGTGGATAATTCCGCTTAGATTTGCGTTGGTACCGAAAATTTCTTTGATGCCTATCTAAAAAGTGTATAAACGTTTATATAAAATGAGGTTTGAGGTATACGAACTTACTGAATTACGACTCAAGTATTTTACCAAATCCACTGAATAGTCCAATGTGAATTTGGGAATTTCTAAGTTTATTTTCGTTTCATTTAAACCACCAATTATTTTGTCCAAACTGTAGAAGGGTAGATTTCGGAGGACTTGCTTTACGTTGGTCTCTGGTGTTGGTATAATAACTAACATGGAATACTTTTCCTAAAAAAAATGATTGTTAAAATAGTTATCAGGAAATGTTTGGATTAAAAATTTACCTGATAGGGTACTTCTACGAATTGTGCCTGTAACGAGGTAACGTAACTTATGTTGAAAGTTTGAGTAACACTCATCATGTCTGTGGGGATACAAGTATCCGGTGTAGTTTGGAAACATTTAGGTTCTGGTATTTGTTGAAACACTGTTTTCCACTTGCCTTTAAAGTATAGAGTGTTCAAGAAAATTAACCTTAATTCTGGTTCAATCAGTTCTGAAAAATTCCTATTTTAGGTACAATTTGATCCAAATGAATGCTACACATAAGCTTTACATTTTGCATCATCACGAATTATTAAGATACCTACCTTTCATACTCAATTAAATTAAATCACTCTTCCACAAAGAGTAAGTAGTGGTAATTATCAAAGTCCGTTTAGAAAGAAAATAGTTATATTAAAAATTGTTTCATAATAAAAAATGTTTGTTTACAAAGTCTTCAAAATGAGACTGATTACAAATAAAAATTTTACTGGTGGCTGTATCGTGTTCGCAAATTGTAGTTAGAAGGCATCAAAGTCTTTCGAGGCATGGAATGAGGTCGAGTCGCAGTGGCACTCGCCGGTGGTTGCTGTGCAGGGTTCTGTACAATGCCCTCGAATATGATGTTCTTCGTGTCCTGGTGGTAAATCAAAAAAATGAACGGACGATCGGCAGTTATTGTTAGAGGCTGCATGAGCGGTATGATCATTGCATTGGTGGCCGCTGCGGCAACAGTCCCTTGTTCGTCCACCTCTATTTTCGTTTTATGCAACATACTATTCACCATAGCATTGGCGTTTTGTATGATTCCAGACAAATTCGCATTAGCACCGAAAACCTCTCTAACATTCAGCTAAAAAAATCGCATTTTACACACTGTAATAATCGAATTATTTTGGCGAATTACCGGTTCTTGTTTCAAACGCATGGCTAAATCTACGGTATATTCGAACGAGAATTTAGGTATTTCCAATACTATCTCAGAGTTGTTCAGCATGGCCAATATGTCGTTCAACCTGTGAGTGGCGAAATCTCGGAGGACTGCTCTTACGCTGGATTCAATCGATGGCAAGATGAGCAACATGGAAAATTTATCCTAAAATGCAGCTTGTGAGTTCGGGTCTAATACGAATTTTACTCGCTCGTACCTGGTAGGGAATGTCGACAACGTACGAACTTATTCTACTAATGTAGTTATTGTAAAAATTGTCGGAAATATGCATCATGGAAACGGGAACGCATCCGTTAGCAGTGCGGAAGCATTTGTTCGGATTGGTCATTCTCTGATCAAATCTGCTCTTCCACTTTCCTTTGAAATACAAAGCATTAGAGATAATTACGTACGTTTCCGGATTTATCGTTTCTGCAAAAAAATTAAAACACTTTTTAGGTTATAGTTGAAATAAAAAAGAGGTGAAGAATTTCAAGGGAGCAGTTAAGATATGAGCATATAATATGTACATTAGCCAGGCAGTTAATTAAAATGGCACTTTCAAAATATATCCAATAATTGTGAATTTCATATTCGCATGTACATGACTTAGTTTTTTACTCTAGAGGATGCAAATCCAGAAGAAATTTACCGTCTCCAACCTCCACCCGTCTCCGGAAGCATATTATACATATTGTATTTTTAAGCAGATAACGTATTTATATTCGTTTGGTTAGGCGATGTGGTTATGCTAATAAATAAATGGCAGCAGAATTTAATAATTTGGTAGATACTTAGCTTAGAGAGGTCCAACGCGAGCCACTAAATTTACGCGTAAAATAATTAATACACCGATTCGCACGAGCTGTACGAAAATTACTTTGAGGAAATGAGACACCAAATAAATCACTAAAATCAATCGTTTTCGGTGTTTCTTAAATGTTTCGAGAAATACGGGGGACAAGTGATAAACATTAAGCATTACTTGGGGTACTTACGCGATGAAACCACTTCTTTTATGACTCCATGAGTAGCATCTGAGGCCCATTGATTGATTTCGTTAGCTGCGGCTTCGGGGTTCGAAAAATCCAAACTTCTGACATTGGCGTTGTAGTAGCGAATTACTGTTTCTCTATAAGCATCGACCAATTTGTGTCTGTTAGACGCGAAAATGCCGTTGCGGCTCTCTAAATATGTATTTGTGGTTGCTTTCTCCTGAAATTTAAATTGCAGTGCTTAGACCTTGTGGTATTTCTGCGTGAAAATCAACTTACATTTAAGTTACTCAGTAGATTTAATACGATATCTCTCACTCCTCTTTGGTTTAAACTTTGTATTCTAAGGGCTTCTTGGATTTCCAAAGCGCACTTTCCTCCGGCCCCTTCTAAAATCATCGCCAACGTAGTTTTAATACTAGCCGGTGAAATTAAGACGTTTGTTTTCGAGTCACTGAATGTCTGCGAAAGAGAATTTCTTAAATAATCCAGTCTCTAAAGATACTTGTGTAATTTGACTCACAGATAATAGTTCTACGTCAAATAAATTAAATCTATAAGCTATATCTTCTGCATTCGGAGGATCATAAGAATCGTCCATGTTTGATGATATTGATGAATCGAAAACGGGATTTTGCTGGGGAGGTTGATTTGGAACATCAAATCGATTAGTTGGTAAATTGCCTTGATTATTTGAAAATCTTTGAGTATTATATTGTGGTGCAGGATAAACTTGAGAAGTGGCATCGTCCGCTAAAACAAAAAAAACCGAATTGTTTCCATTAAAAATTCATATCAAATGAGATATGAAAAGCCAATCGAGAATCGAAGGTATTTTTGCATTATTTTAATAAATGGGTTATTGGAAAGGCGTCAATATGTGAACATACTGTATCTCCGACTCTTTACTAATATATTTTATCTGTATAACACAATTACGAACAATAAAAATTAAATAAAACAACCTATATTACCACACTTAAAAACCAATTAGTTAATAGTACTTAATTTTATAACGAAAATTCCTCATAAAAAACAAATACATTTTAACACTGGGAACTTAACAAAACTGATTATATCAAAAACTTTACCTGTTTTTAAAACGTTAACAATGTCAAAAGGAAAAAAGTCAAAAATCATACAATTCAAATTACAAGTTTCCGTTTGCGGAGGTAAACTCTGTGATGAATCTGAGCACGCATTACCTGTTAAGAATATAACAAATAATAATAAAACAAACATTTTCACTGTAACTTGTAACTTTCGTTTCGATTTTTGTTGTTGCACATCACTTTTCAAATTAAATATTGAAGTAGCAAAGTCTCATGTGGAAGCTAATTTACAAGATTATTATATTTTGAAGGGGCGGGTTAGCACTGGTTTCTGAAAGGTATGATAAAGAAGCAATTAAATGCCGATTAAAAATGAGTCACTCGCTAATGGAAACTCGGAATTCTATATTGTATATGAAACTCGAAATTATGCAATCTAAAAAAAATTACTCGTAAAAGCAGTAACTTATTCGGAAAACGAAATTGTTTGATAAAAATTTCGTTAAATTAAACCGACCAATTAATTTGTCTTGGTGCATTGGCTATTATTTTGTGAAATATAACGTTTAAATGTAAAACAAGAGATTATATACATTTGCCAATTATATCGCATTGGTCAATAGTGCACTAACTTCAGATTATTTTAATCTTTGTTTATGTTCTAAATGGCCATTTTTATGATACGCTTCTGTTTGCGTGAAGACTATAACCGACAGTTAACCTTGGAAATCCCAGTCTGGTGTAAACACACGATTCAACAGTTGTAACCTTTGAAAATTTCCCACTAAAAGCCAAGAGATTTCAATGCATCACAATAATTAATTACAAATAAATAGAACTGGTTCCAATCAATTTGCTGCTGCTGGGAATTGTGCTAGGCTAGGTCCGAAGTGAATACTCTTCCAGGCAATGCTACTGGTTGTAATTTAATTATCATTTTTGTTAATAAGTGTTTGGGTTATATTATTGTGTTTCAGATAATTGTTTTATAAATAACACAAATAACTGATGAAACATCGAAATGTTTTTTCGAAATTTTCTCGAAAGAAAATTTACAGTCAAACTGTAAATGGATTTGATAATGTTAATGAGGAATGTTACAAATTACCTATGTACTATTATTATGATCTAAAGTTATTTTAATAGAAAAAATTGAAATAAATTATACTGTTTATCAACTTTTGGAATTCCCGTTGCCTGAATATCTTTCGCTTCCTCTATGCTTGATATTGTAAATTAACATAAATTAATAATTCACTATAGTATTAATTTTATTCAATTTCTTCAGCGATTCGTAAATAAATCTCTAAATTAGAATTATCACCAGAACGGATGGTTAACAGGACTATTATAATATTTTCTAGAAAACCATCTATACATTGTATCTATTGTAAAGAAAATAGAACACTTACCTTCTTCATTGGTATTCCAACGATTCCCTGATTCGGCCCCTTCATCTTCATATGGATCTTCATATTTTCCAACAAACAACACAGTATTGTTGGGGCCTTCAATGAAGAACAAAAACGGATGGGAGGCATTGAAAATCATTTTGTTTTCTCCCATTTTATTGCCAACAATAATTTCTATAAGAAACAGTAAGATTTATTTATGAGGTATTTAATAGGGATTGAGACACTTACCGGTCACGGAATATGCTTCAGTTCCTTTTTCATCTACTTGTATTCCAGTTTTCTGAATAATATTCGAAACCACAAGTTGTCTTCTTATAGTATTATTAGTCTCAACTATGCCAGTTAAACTGTTTGTGTTTTGAAATAATTGTTTCAAGCCCAACTGAAAAATATCACAAGATATAGATATTATATACACGTAATATAAATAAAATAACTTACCTTTTTCAGTATATTGACAAATTTTGTAGAAAACTTGAAATTTATTTTGGGCATATGAACTTCCACTAACTCCTCTTGTAATTTAAATTTCATGTTTAACACGGAAGTTAAACTGATCTTTTTAATTAAGGAGTTTATACCTCCCAGTGAATTCGGTAAAATGATGTACATTGAATGGGAATTGCCCTGAAATTAAAAAAAAAATGCTTAATTACAATACACCCATTACTTTGTAAAAAAATTACTTTGTAATCTAATCTGAGAATTTTAGCTTCTAAATCTTGATCTTCATAGTACCAAAAATTACGAGTTGTTTTCATGTAATCCACGTATTTTGACATAATCATACGATCATTGTTATCAGGGACTGTAACAAAATGTCCTCTATATGAGTTTATCTTTGGAAAAGGATGCTTCCAAATGCCTTTGAAATATATTATATTTGTTACAAGCATTATTGTTTGTTGAAGATCATCTGAAAATATTCATCAGTGTTAAAATACTGTTTTGATAAAGTTTTGGGCGGGTACCTACCGGCGCTAACAATTTTTGGGACTTTTCCCCTTGTTAATAATTCCACCCATCTATTAATCACTTTGCTGGCCTCTTCTGGTTTATCGAAATCAACAGGTTCGACGATAGTTCTAAAGTTTTGCCAGGCAGTTCGATTGAATTTGGGAAGTACGTGTAAATTGTCATCTACAAACATCGAACTGCCTATAGTAAGTAAATTCCCGCTTTTCTCGTTATCCTGAAAATAGAATTAAACCGCAAACAGGAAATAAACATATCGAGAAAGTGAGCACTTACGAGCAAAGTACTTAACAACTGGCTATATTTTCTTCTGTTTTCATCTTTGTTTCGGAAATTTAACGTCGATTCAAACTCCTTCTCGACAATTGACGACGAACCTTGATACAGTAGAGACAAAACTAATTTCAAACTAATGGGAGATAGAAGCAAATTTTTATTGTAGGGCCCGAATTCCTGAAAAAGTATACGTTTTACACCGAAGAAATGGCTGCAAGGATAGTCGCTTACTTTTAGCAATTGCCAGTCAAAACTGTTCATTAACTCGTCATCTGAGATCGAAAAAGGAAATTTATCGGTAGCGAATTGTTGAGTCGAGCATAGAGCCGCAAATAAAACAAGAGGTGCTGAAAAAAATGAGGGATTTGGTTAGTACAATTAAAAAGTATGAATTTTTCTATAAAGTTATAAAGTAAGTAAATATTATTCTTCTATGTAGATACTAAAAGGTTTGGAACACTCGAACAAATATTTACTTTGGTTAAAATCTTACGAGAGCAAATTTTAATTGGAAGAAATGCCATTAAAAAATTTCATATGTACACATTTCATTAGGTGACAAAAATTTGAATATTTTTTTATCTTGTGACGTGGAATCGACTTCTTAAAGGTTATCAAAGCCTACGAGCAAATAATCAAAAACAACTAGGAATCTTTGTTTGCTTACCTACTTGGGAATTCAGATTCAATATTAATTCTAGGTATTCCGTAATGATAGTACAAATGCGTATCATTAAGATCTATTGATTTGCATTCTAAAATATTTTAAAAATGATTTTCATACGTTCAATATATGAAATTTTTGCTTGCTTGAGTTGGTTTTTTTTATTTCTTCTGCTTCGTTTCAAAATTAGACGCTCAGATTTGTTATAGGTATTTGGGTTTATTATCTACCTCTATTTCCTCTTTTTATCCTATTCTTCTGTTGATAATTTCTAAGGAATTTATTTGTTATTCCTTCTGATTTTCCTGTCATTTTTTTGAGTTTAATGGGTTTATTTTGGAATTTTAACCAAGAAAATTTCTACTTTAATTCTTTTTCTGGCAGGTTAAAAAACAATTGCTTAGGGAAATGATGAAAAGCGCAATTTTTTGCTGTTAGTAATTTTCAAAAAATAGAAAACCAGGAATTTTACTTAATTAAAAGTATATTTTAGAATAGGTAATTGTTAATTCATAATAACAAATGACGTTCACTTTAAAACCGGTAGTGTATGTGTTTAAAACCAGTCTTTCCAATAATAATTAAAGTCTATCAATGAAAAAAACAAATTACAAACAAGTTTCGCGAAATCGGAGAAAACCCATACTAATAGCGTAAAATTTGCCTGAATTAACAAAAATTATACTCACCTATTGTATTGACTAACATTGTGGTAACAAAACAACTGCTTCACTGCATGAGGTTACCAAGCTGATAATTTCTTGACCCCCCTTTTGACACCAACTGATGGGATATGGGATCCGGTCAGTAGCCACACACCGCTATTCGCACAGCCACAAAATCGAATTTAAAAAATATTTTGAAATATTTCGTGAGCACATACGAAAAATTTCCCATTCCATAGTAGGATTTCTGTAGATTATAATAATTATGAGGCCGGTGGCCGCGGCTTTAATGGATATTTTTTTAATATCTAGATAATAATTTACTGTAGTTCGTTGATGATCTGTTTGCTCAAAATTAGCTTAATGGAAATTTTGCTACCATAAAATATGCATAAAACTAGAGAGAATTGTATCGTTCTGCCCGCATTAAAACGCTATATACGCAGTTCAATCACCACCTTTTGTTGTAAATGCAAAACGTGCAAAAAATAAGTACCTGGGACTTCCTGTTTTCGTCCAAAATCCAAGCATTTTTTTCAACGGTAATATTTGAATGTCTATAGCGACGACTAGTCACAACATTGCTAGAGAAACGGCGGTCCTCGTGCCGCCTCCACCGCCATCTAGCCGCCTCCGCGGGTCGCGATTCCACGTTGGGGCTCTAAATAATATTGATTGGCATGTTCTCAGCGGTGATTGTTTAGTAAGTCAGCGGAAGCTAAAATGGGCAATTCGTTTACGATTAACATGGAAGAGAATTTCCGAAAAAATCAAGAGTTCATCACCGAAATGAACACGATAAAAGTACTTGCTGTCCTCTCGTTGAATGTGGTTGTTAAGTGTTTTGATTTTAGATCGAAAGGCAAATCCAGATGAGGAACCAAATGAGGGAGAGACTCGTGGCTTTGGAGATTGCTAAATCGAGAGAATTGTTCTTTTGGTTCAGCGCTTTTTATTTGACGAGTTTCACTTGGGCTGTTACTTGGTAAATGACCCACCATTTTCTATACTTGGTGTTACGCATTTTTTTGCATTTTAGCTACAGATATAAAAGGAAGCCGGTATTTTTAGTACCATTAGTGCCGTTAACGTTCATCATCGCCTATCAGGCGGATCTTGCTTACGGCACAAAGTTGCATCGTATTATAGGTAAATTATTGGTTTGGAAATGTGCAATTTTGTTGATTGTTGGTGTTTTAGTTGAATCTGAACATATTTTAAAATTCGAACGTGATTTATTGCAATTACCGCTAGGAGTACCTACGGCGTCCGCACTTGACCAGAAACGCATGGAGAATGATGAAAACAAAAAGTTGCACCTCGTAGTGACTTCGTGAAATAATATAAATTTCAATTATGCATTTTAAACGTGAAATTTTCGACTTGTGATAAAATTAAGCAATTCCTGTGTCTCAAACGTTGTTTCAAATTTCGTCTTTTACTGTGTATTACCTTAAAATTATATATTCTATTATAATAAAAAACTTATTATAATATTAGTTGGGTCCATTTAAAAATGTAGTTTATTAAACTTAAAATGTGCATTCGTTTGTATTCCTGTTTGCGTAATTACCTAGAGTAAAATAAAACGAAATATTGCATGGGTATTCAGATATATTACAATATAATACTATTATTTACATACATTTTTAAAGCCATTAGTAAAAAATTAAAGTGAGTAAAAGATTTATTCGGATCTATGAGATTAATACTAAAGCAATAGGTAAAGTAAAACTTATAACGAATATGATATCTACAACCTACTGTATTGCTAGATTATATTTTATAATTTATGAACACCCTACTCCAATGGCCACTCCTGCGGTAAATGATAAAATAAAAATCTGCATTTCAGTGATGCCATTTTCACCGTAATACCATTTTTTAGCTTTCTTCTGGCCCTTCTTTAAAACATCCTCAGCTTGATTTAGTTTTCTGTCAACAAATCTGTCAGCCTATAACAATTTTAAGTACTTATAATTCTTGCAATTACAAACGAAAAATAATGGTCGCACTTTATTTACAATTCGAAATTCACAAATCATATCGTAAAAACCCCGTTAAATACTTGAATACATCCGTTATATTAAATACATTACACTCTATTGATAAGGAAGTAGTTCATTTTTTACATCTAATTATAAGTTCATACAAGAGTAACAACAAGTGTTGTAATAAAAGATATTACATAATAGAAACAGGCGCGAAATAAGAAAATTTATTGAATATTAATACACACAATGAAATCATAAACAAAGTTGTTAAAGTTCAGAAATTCATCTTCGATGTGAGCTTAAAAGTAAATCTTCAATGTGATGCTAAACCAATTAAAAAGCCACCGAGGAAGCCAGAAGTAAAAGGAGTATTATTTCTAGCAAATGTCTTTACCTAAAATTTATTGTATATACAAATACGTATATGTGGTCGCAATTAAAAGGTTATTTAACCCTTTGCAAATAGCTATTTTGTATCCAATGAATATTGGAGAATGAATCTATGGGCAAAGGATTAAATAAAATTAAACTGAACTAATCAATATGAGTATACAAAAAAAACGCCCTTAAGCCAAAGTAATTATGAAAGTTATTGAAATTTAGTAAGTGAAAATGAGAAACTTACTCTGTCAGCCCAGGTTGAAGATTCCCCAGTTATCTTTTCCTCTACTTTGTCTGCAACTTTATCGAGGTTTCTGTTTACTTTGTCCCAATTGACTTTAATGTAACCCTTCTCATTAGCGATTTGAAGCAAAATTATTCCACCTCCTAAGGCTAAAGCTGCGGTTTTTCCAACCCGCATAGCAAGGAAACCAGTAACCCTTAAAAAAAGAATTTCAAATAGCCAGGAGATAAAAATACCTCAATTTTCTATAATTATGCATTCGTACTATTTTCATCATTTGATAGACAGTAATGATTGTTTCACATACCATCCTGATGAAGCACCAAGAACAATTTGTTTCGTAGCAGAGGTCTTACTGACGTCCCCCAATATTCTTTCGATTAAAGATTTGGCTTCCTTTCCAGCGTCATCCATGGCTTTATCAAAGTTTTTCTTCTTGGGGTTCACTATTCGAGATATACCGGGCATGTCACATGCACAGAGCTACGCACTAGAATAAACAAAGCATAAATAACTCGACTGCAATAAAAGAAATTACTAGAATGTTACAGAAATAAGCAAGATAAGTAAGCAAAATGCTACCATAAAAATATTACCTTTAATCTTAGCGTACGTTTTAATTCACTCGTATAAACTTCTTAAAATAAAAATGATGAAAATTTTATTACAAATTCTTGCAGCTGATCTCTGAAATATTGACATAGGATCGGATTCGGAATTGCGACATATGACATGGAACGTAAAATTCTTCTTTTGTATTTACATCAAAAAGAAAGAGAACGCGCAACATTTGACAAACTTGATATTAACTTGACACATGACAGTCATGACACATTTGACATGTGTAGGTAGAGAAGCTCAACGCCAAAAAATAAGAGATTAATTTAACAGATCTTTTAAATTAGTGAAATTGCACTTTGAAAATAATATGCTAATGTTAAACGCACCGCAGTGATTATATAGTGTAATCTATTAATATAATTTAACAATTCGATATTTGTAGATGCGATATGAGCAAATTTTCCTCATTTATTGAACTTCTAGTTAAACAAACGTGTCGACGAGCTTCACATGAATTTGAAATGGGTTCGAAACATTCGTCGGCACCTCTACCGGTCACTGCAGAAAGGGATGCCACTGGAATATATTCTTTAGAATTCCTTAAGTCACTGCACGACAAACCTAAAGAAAATATTTTTAAACTGTTGAAGGTAAATCCTTTGATTTTTGCACAGTAACTCAAGCAAGCACTAGTTAAATAACATTCCTAAAGCGGATGGTATATTTAAAAGGTATTTTTGAAATTACAATTAGCTACTGTACGCTTTGCAATTAGTTACCTACCACATTACATAATTTGTTTGTTTATGCAATTGTTAAAATATCTATTAAACATTTGTGAATGGTCACAACACTTTACGAAAAGCTGCTATTTATTGTTACACTTGTAAGTTGAACACACTATCGTAAACTAAGATGATTATTTTTAATGACATTGAATGTTGACAGTGAAACTAGACATTTACTTTCATAGTTAATTAATAAAATTAGCTGTAGCAGATGAATAGCATTATCCATCATTGACTGACAATGTTCCATTCGGCCTAGTGCAAGTATTATATCAACAAATGCTTCATTAAAATTTACCCATTAAGTGTAAAGTCACTGAAAATGGTTAGTTTCTTTCAGCATAAAGGCATGTAATTATTTTGAGTAGTTTAATTTGTCATAATGCCCTTTTAGACAATGGATCCAAATAATCCCGATAGTGTGAAAAGTCCTAACAATCTTAATTGGCTAAATAATAGTAAAGATTTTTCCAACATCGAACGAAAAAAACTGCTAGATTTCCTTCACAAAGTGAAAGACATGTCTCCACCAAAGTCGAAAAAGTGGATCGATTTACATCATTGTATGCATTATGTGTACAGAAATTTTGCAAGTGTTTCTCCCGATCCGGCCGCAGAAGTTCTATCACCATTTTTTATCGCCGAAATGAGAGAATTAGTTAAAAGGTACATACAAATACACAATAAAATATTCATTGAATTTTTTTACACACATCCATTTGTTACAGCTTACTTGAAGAAGACGAAAGTCAGCTTTATTTGAGAATATTGGCTTTACTTAGAGAATATTGCATTTTTGCGCAATGGAACTACACTAAATGCGATGGAGAAGAACACCTTATAACTAGTGAGTTCTATTACTAATTAATGAGTTTATTATTTATAAATAATCTTCCTATTTTTCAGAGTTATTTTATTATTACGAAGCTATGTTGTCTGCTGCTAAAAATTTGAGTTCGATATTTTCGGAATTTGAAGTCATCATTTACAGGAATTATTCCGTGTGTTGGATTGACTTTAATACATGCGTGTTCATAAGATACTTTTTCGAAACTGATTATGTTCAGAACAAAATCTCTCAATGTTTAAAGGTGAGTTTTATTTATGTTTATTGTTATGCGCAAATTTTCCATCTTAATTTATTGCAGACCAAAATCAGTCCTGGTGATACTCCGGCCATGTTAGGGTTATTAGAAGATTTAAAAAATTTGTGGATAAAAGAACAGAAGAGGATTAGAAAAATAAAGTATGTCTTTTATATGGAATAGTAATTTTTATTCATAAATTATTTTATAGTGACGACCACAGCTTAGTTGAAGGAACCGTTTCCTATTTTATAGAAGAAGCAATGATAGGAAACCATAAGAAAGTTTTAACTAGTAATTTTTGGATGGAAAGATCTCAACAAGAGTGAGTAGTAAGTATTTTTTCAGTAATTTTATACACCACTTTATATTGCAGGAAAAACGACTTAGATCTCAGGCGATTGGATCACCATTTCTTCAGGCTTCTGGGAGATCCCTTTTTCCATCCAGCCGGTCCGATATTAGACCGAAATGGCCAATGCATATGCGAGGAATGCCTGATAGCAAAGTACGAATTTATTTTGGAATCGAACGAAGACCACGTTAACGACAAGATATTGAAGAATCATTGTCGGTTAACTTACTGCAGGAGATGTCAGAAACTTATTGATCTAGACCATTTCCATCGGCATATAAATAGTAAGTAACATAACATAAATTTATGTTGCTGTTTCTTATGTTACTTTTTAGGTCATGCTGTGACTGATGGTAGTAACTTACTAGTGAACGGTATGAAGAATTTAACAGAGTTAGTGTCTGACAAAAATGATTGTATGACGTTAGGTAACGGATCTGATGAACTAACAAATGGTGAATCGGAAAATGATGGCGAATGTTGCCAAGATGGCGATAATATTAACGGCGAAGAAAAGCCGCTAAACATAACGAGCTTACGAAATACATGTGATATACATTTCTCTAAACCTCAACACGACCCGAGTGAGTTGCACTGTACTAAATTGGCTTTCGAGGAGTTCCTGAGGCTCAGAAGGGAAGCCGATAAAAATATGCAAGGTTCTAATAAAACTATCAGGAATTTTATAAAAATAAAAAAGGACATGTGCGGCAATACGAGCATTAGCGGTCAGCTTGTAATCAACAATATTTTAAAATCTCCTACAAGGCAAGTTAGTTTTTTTATTACGAATTTCTTGTTATTATCATTTTTATTAATTGTAGTTTATCGAAAAAAGATGACAAAGAAAACGAAGGCGTTAAAGTAAAGGATTTGCCGAAAAATTCGCAAAAATTCGATAAGTAAGTTATTCGCAATTGACTACTACAACGAGAATGTATTCGAGAACATCTTTTATTTGTCGATGTTTCAGATCGCGAATGTCATCGACATTCAAAACGACTGTAACGAAGAATGGCGAGAATGTCTGCAAACGCGAACAGGAACCTTCAAGTAAGTACTTTTTATTGTGCACTTCGCTTTTTATTTACGTATTTCCATTTCAGTTGTCTGCCAAGGACACGCAGGAATGTGTGAACACCAAAAGGAGACAAAAAAATGCGATTGTACTTATTGCGAAGTATTTGGATCGGTACGTAAACATGAAAATTTGTAATTTGAATTTACACAATAATAATTTTTAGGAAAAGTTTCCACCGGTAGCTTCCCATTCTCATAAAAGTAACGAATTGAGAGATCGATTGAGAATTCGCCTCCATCAAAGAAGAGAGAAAAGATCGAAGGACACTTCCAAAAATCCCCTATCCACGGTCAATTCGGTCACTATCAACGTCAATGCAACAAAAATAAAGACTGCAATTAGTAAAGTAGAAGAAAGGGTACCGCTACCCTCATCTCCTACGAATATTCCTCCAGCTCCATCGGTTAAATCCTCCGATTCGTCGATAGCAACGTCGTCTGTTGCTACTTCTAATGGCACCGATGACATTCACGGTTTAGTCAATTACATCGAGGGCAATACAGCTTTAAATAAAATGGAGCTGGCGCAAAAGAAAGCCGCCAAAAAAGCTCGACAACGTAAGAAAAAGGTTTGTCGCTACGACAAATTACGAGCTGGAATATTAAACGTCTTATTTTCAGGAGGAAGACCGGATTAAAGCAGAAGAGGAGCAGAAACGTTTGGAAGAGGAAATCAAGAAAAAAGAAGCCGAGAAAAAGAAGGAATTAGCGCGGAAACAAGCTGAACAAGAAAAGTCGAAAGCTGCTGCCGAGGCTGCTGCAGTTCAAGGTAGATTACCTTAATTAAAATAGTTTTATAACGATTCTTATAATGTATATTTTGCAGCTTTGAAAGATCTGAAAAAGCGATCAAAGAAAGAGAGACAGGCCGAAAAGCGAAGACTTCTGAAAATAGATGATAAAACGAACGTTGTCGAAGAAACGATCCCTGCAATGGTAACTATAAAAAGGATAGCAGAAAGCGGTAGCAGCACTCCAACTGTTACCATCACTCTCAAAGGATCGACTCCTGATCAGGACAAGTTGCTCTATACGCTCGTTAATGGTTCAGACGACGCAAACACCAAGCCAAAAGAACAACAGGAACTTAAGCCTGCATCGAAGAAGAAAAAGAAGAAACAAAAACAACAGCAAGAGCAACAGCAGTCGACTAAAATTAATAACGAGCCACCTTCGCCGAAACCGCCTCAAGTAGTGACCAAGGAGCTGAAAGTCACAGTTGCCCTCGACATGAATAAAAACCAGCATCCAGCCAATACTCCAGTAGTCAATCAAAAACCAGCGAAACCTAATTCTAACCACGTAGCAGATAAAAAGCCGCCGAAACAAAACCTCCAAAAGGCCGATTTGAGTCGGGAAGACTTGCCAATTCCTATGTTGCGTTTACCTCCAGGTAATTCTTACGATGAATGTACGATTAATTTTTAACTAAAATTCCTATTTTCTAGGTATTACAATTACGAAAGTGGAAGGACCCGTTTCGAACAGAAACTATCCAGCCAATAACGCCGCCGATCAAAAGGGCTCGTCGATAAACGTGAGCAAATCGGGCGTGATAGTCGTGGATACGGAGAAATTGGTGCAACAAAAACAGGATCCCGTTCAAACCAAGCTAAGCAAGAGCGCCAAAAAGAAGAAAAACAAAAAGAAACAAAGCGATCCGAGCATTATCGCAGCGCCGAACGATCTGAAGAAGATGGTTACGTTGAAAAATCCAGTGTTCCAATCGCTTCACCACAAACCGGAGCCGTTTATCGACAGAAACTCGGAGAGCTGCGGCCCGGCTGCGATTTTCACCAACGAGAACGGAATGGTGACCATAAGGAGCTCTCGCCTGCAGCAATCTTTGTCCAACGGTGGTAACATGGACAGCTCGCTCAACCCCCTGCCATTGTCTTCGATCTCCAACTTACTGCCAGACATTCAGAAATCCCCGACGAACGCGGGTATTCCCATGCCGTCGGAATTGGATAAGAAAGCGGATGCGATATCATCGTTCAACGCTCAGGAAATTTTATCCGGTTTACCGGGCATCGAGATTACTAAAGTCGACAAGAGGAACGTGAAAATCGAGCCGGAGGTAAAGAAAACGTGTCAAACAGCGCAATTGTCTATTATACCAGCTTCGAATGGCGGAGATAAATTTAATTTAGATAAGGATGATTGGCTATATGGTAGGTTCACTTTAGAGAGTTTAGTTTTATACACTGCAATAATGTCGGTTTGTAGATAGCGTTTTTACTCCCAGAGATGTGCTAGAAGACGACATGGATGCCGAGGAATTGGAATTGGAGGCTTTCAAACGTTTCTGTCAGCAATCGATACCTCCCAAGAGAAAAGAGAAGGTTGCTCATCTAAATGTAGCTGATATTGTTGTGAAGAAAAAAACAGACGTTAATTTCGTTTGATTTTCTCGACGTGTGTTTCATTTTATTTTTAAACGTCCTTTATTAATTGACATGATGTGATAATTTATTATTTTTTGGTCATTTACTATATTTATATGACATCTTGTAATAAATGTTCAGTTGTGACCCTATCAGCAGTTTTATTTTCATATAAATAAATTCTACAACTTCTTTGTACACCTCGTATATTATAGTTGTAACAAATTATAGGAACATTTCACTTTTATTCTGTTGTGTTGTCGGTATTGGTTGGCAGAGCTGTCAAAATTGTCAATATAAACAAAAAGTGAGGTTATTTTTCGTTTTGTGAATTTGTTTTTAAAAGCATTTTTATTTTGTTTGTGGTCCAAGATTAAAATTAAGGGGTTTGCTCTTCAATAATGAAAATATGAAATAGAATGGAAAGTGAGCATCATGAGAAATCTTCTTTTTGGAAGAAAAACGTCAAATCTGTAGCTGGAAGGTAATTTAGTTATTTGTTACTAATTGGTTGTTAATTGAAATAACATTTTCAGACCAAGCCCCAAGAGAGATGCGAAAGACGTTAAAAAGAATCCGGGTTCGACTTCGTTTCAAGATTTCCAAGCTTCCGTGAGCGATGCTTGGGATCTGGATGATGATGAATTTTGCGTTATATCTGGACTAGAAAGTAAAAATTCAAATATATTGTGCAATAGTCGTTTAACTAGTTGCATTTCAGATACAAAAATATCAAAGAAGGTTGCGCATTCTGCAGCTCTCAACGTACTGAATAGTCATAGGAATACGACTGAATCTGATTCATCTTTAGATAAAAAATCTAGCAAGAAAACGAATAACGGACCAGAAACAAATAAAACCAGTCGAATACCAGGACCAGGACGTCCTAAACCAATACTTAGAATAAATAGTGATCAAGAAAGTGTCGAAAATAGGTTAGAAAGGTTTCAAATTCTATTAGAAAATTCGACCGATTTACACGAATTATGCGGTCTTAGTTGGTCAGGTGTACCAGCTAAAGTGAGGGGTATCACATGGAGATTATTGTCCGGCTATCTTCCAATGAATATGGAAAGAAGAAACCAAGTATTGGAAAGGAAACGCAAAGATTATTGGTCGTTGGTCGAAAAGTATTATTATGTTGAACACGATGAAACTAATCGTGATATTCAACATCAAATCAACATAGATGTGCCAAGAATGAATCCTTCTATACCGTTATTTCAGCAAAAAACAGTTCAAGTGATGTTTGAACGGATATTATTCATTTGGTCTATACGCCATCCAGCCTCCGGTTACGTTCAAGGTATTAACGATTTAGTAACACCGTTTTACATAGTTTTCCTGCAAGAATATCTGAAAGACGACGAGCCTTTCGAAAAATGCTTTGTCGATCAATTAAGCGAAGAGCAACGAAGAATCGTAGAAGCCGATTCATTTTGGTGCTTGTCAAAATTCCTCGATAGCATCCAAGACAATTACGTTTTCGCACAAATCGGTATACAAAAGAAGGTGTTGCAACTCGAAGAGTTAATCAAAAGAGTAGATGAAACTTTGCATAAGCATTTAAAGGAACATAATGTTAGTTATTTACAATTTTCGTTTCGGTGGTTGAACAACCTCCTGACGAGAGAATTACCTTTAAGATGTACTATCCGTTTGTGGGATACCTATCTTGCAGAGAACGATTGTTTTGCTACCTTCCAGTTATACGTTTGTGCTGCATTCTTACTTTATTGGAAAGATCAACTGATGCAGCAGCACGATTTTCAAGGTCTGCTCATGCTGCTTCAAAATTTGCCTACCCAGGCCTGGACTAGTTCTGAAATTAGTTTAATGGTTGCAGAGGCCTACAAATTAAAAGTTATATTTGCTGATGCTCCTAATCATCTTCTAAGTAATAACTCTAGTGATAATTGAATTAGTTAGATTTTTATTGATATTAACAATGTGTCCAATGTTATATTTTTTGTATCGGGTTCTTTAATTACATTGTTAAAGTACAACTTTTTAAATTATTGAGTTTTACATTTTTTTGGGAGGCTTAGGGTGGATTAAATTTTTACAGGTTGATAACAAAAAACACGAAGTCTTCAACAAATATTTATTCGTTCTAACTTTCAAACAATACAAAATTAATTTTATTTACTGCTCTATTTGCACAGATGCTTGCTTTCTAAATCAAAGGATAATTTGCTTTAGTAGCCATAAGGATATAAAGGTACATAAGTCCAAGTTACGGTGATTGGTAGAATTATTTTTCCTTTGCCTCTTCTCCCTATACTCCTGTAACATTTTGGAGGCAGCATCTCCAGGTGGATCCAAACACTCAAATTCGCAGCATCTTGCACCAACACGAAACTTTTTACAGAACTGAAATATATCCTTTATTATCTAAAATGCTCCTGAATGTTCGCCGAACTTACATAGGGTGGATCGCAATAAATGGCCTTGCACCACATGGGTTCACTATGGTAACAAACGCACATGGTACATACTGCAGGACCTGGCACGTACAATACGCCATGCTCAATAGTTTGCCCTTGGAAATCAGTACAATCTTCCTCTATTGCCCCTGTTTTACGTTAAACAATCAGTAATTTATTGGATAAAATTAAAGATAATTCATTTTCGTTTTGTGAATATACAAAATTTTCTAATCGAACTCGATTGCAAGTGCGCATATATCCTAAATGTATAAATTTATTAAGTCATAAAACGCAGGTGATATTTCTAATTAATAACAAGACAATTTTCCAAAATACATACATTAAAAATGCTTAGAGAATCATAATTGCAACTCACCTGAATATTGAATAACGCAGTAGAAGTTGAGTATTAAAATAAACCCTCGCATTGTTGGTTAGGAGAGATGCAGATATTAAATCATATAAACTCTTAACAGGATAACGAGTTAATATTCCATCATTATATTATTGCAATTGTTCAAGTTCATAGACAAATACAAATATAGAATGACTAAAGTGGCATAGAAGCAATTAGCGCAATATGTTTGCGTCCGGCATGCTTATTGCTGTGTGTTTTCATTTGTTGACAACGCAGTTTTCTTCAAGTTTTCCGCAAATGTCTTATTGTCAGCTAAATTTCAATTTTATTCACTTACTCAACCTGCTCCCATCATCACCATCCGTCAGTTCAAACCCCCGCAGAAACATCCAATCTTTTGATTTTTGATTAATATGAACCCATTCTAAAATTTTAGTAGCGCGTTCTAAACTTACTGTTAGGTGTATTTATAACGCGAATAATAATGAATTTATTGAAAAATGTTTTATTTTTAAGTTAAAAAAATACAAATATAAGTATAACATACATATAAAAAATCTGACCACAAGTATCAACAAAGTAAAGTTTTAGAGGATGGTTGTTACTAATTCGCTATTTTTATACAATTTTATTTTACCTCTGTTTTAGTATATTTATCACAAGTGTATTTCTTTATTATATTTTCTTATCCATAAGGAATCCTGATAGGAAACTAAAGTGTCGATTTTTTGATGCACCAAAGTATACTTTTTATAAGATATAGGTACTTACATATCATTCGAATTACAATAGTTAGAACAGAGTGCATCTCAATTTATTTTCTAATTCAAGTAAATTCTAGGACATTTTATAATACGAATATTGCCAACAAACTTATACAAACTACTTATATAAGTGATCTGAATACTTTTTCTTTGGTAAAAACACATTCGCTTAAATAAGTATTTTTTTACCCATTTTTATCAGTCTTACATTTTTTTATGATTTCCTATAGGCATAAAATCATAGTGCTTTATCTGTAATTCCCGCCACCTTAACACCAGGCTCTTTTAGTATTAGTAAACCTTGTATAGTACATTTTTATATGGCAAAAAGTTAGTTTCTAAACAATTGGAGGGTTTATGTTTTTACAAAATAATCTACCCTGTACATATATTAATTAGACGCAGTAGCCCTAAGAATATTCATTAGGAATACAAATTTGTTGGTTGTTTAGATGTTTCAAAGCGTCATTTTGTGTTCTTTCTGTTTGGTTCTTCCTTAATTGCCCATTTCGTTTGATTCGCCTCCTTCTTCTATAAAACACTATTAACAAAATGAAAACCATGACTGCCAAAGTGCTCCCAACTCCAATCAAAATTGTATTAATCGTGTGTTTCAACTCGTTACTTTTGTACATTTCCGAGCACTTCTCGTGAATTAACAAATCCTCATTCGTTAAATCGTTGTCTAAGCATCCTGAAAAAACCAAAATTCGTTGAAAATGAGGTAATCAAATTAAGGAATACTACTCACTAGATTCAATTACTGTACATTTGAACAAGGTGAATTTCACTTTCCTGTTCTTTAACCACGTATTTAGCCTCCAGCAATCGCAAGGATCCTCGAATTCAGTGGTGACATTAGCACTATCCAGCGTTTTTAAATTACAAAACCCCATGAACAACGAAGGCGTTAAGGTATAATAATAATTTTCGGTTATATTCAACACCACTAAATACGGTAGAATTCCGAAATCGGGGAAAACGGAGTAGTTTTCCTCGTCGGTCGTCCTGCTGATGTCGATCTTTGTGAGAGGACTCTTCAATGGCCTGGCCATGTCCAGGGCGTCAGCGATGTTTATGTTCAAATTTTGCCCCAAATACAGGGATGTTAAAGCCGGCAGCTTGAACACGGACACAGGGACCTTCTGCAAGGCATTTAGAGACAAATCCAACGTGGTTAAACCACTCAAATCCTCGAACACGTCCTCCTCGAGATTGGTAATTAAATTGTCGGCTAAGTACAAGAATTTCAGGTAAGAAAATTTGGACATGTCCGTTTTGCTAACTTTTCTGATTCTGTTAAACGTCAGATCGATTACCTAAAAAAAAAACTATTTGCGTGAATATTCGACGAGATTGGGAAAGTTTTACTCACTTCTACATCTGTTGCGAGGCATTTGGGAAAACTCCTGAACTTTCTGTCGTAGCAATTTCCCGATTTCATTTTGTGCACACGCGTAATGGAGCACTGGGGTTCCTTCCTGCAATCCGATCCTCCAACTACATAGCAAAATAACGGCACATTTAGCAACAGCAACAGTATTTTCATATCTGGGTTCGTTAACGCTAAAAAAACGAATAAACAAGTTAATAACAGAAAATTCACTTTACGTTGAATATATTATAAGGTTTATTTTAGTTGTTTATAAATTATGTTACTCACGGAATATCAGAGTTTTCAAAAACATGCTTCATTACAGATAAAGTGTAGATATAGTATTTATTTTATACCTTCTATTATTATATCTGTACCAAGATAATTATTTCACAAATATTTCATTAAAAACAATTAGTTTATCAGAGATGAAGCGTTAAGTAAATATATATTACAAGATTTCATCATTTTCATTTGATCGTTACCTAAGCATTTTCAAGTTGCGTTTTTTTTTTTTCTTTTTCAACAGGGTCTAATGTGGCAGTGATCGTGTTAATAATGAGTGTATTCAAATACAATTAGTGCTCAACTATTGTAGGGATTCTTTTCAAAATTTAATCACCGCGAGTTCAAAAACGAATGGGTGCGCCTCTAAAGGCACAATCATTCATTGTAGTTCGATAATTTTTCCAATAAATTATAGCTATTTTGCCTATTACATAGGAAATAAAAGGTACGAGGAAACGTTAAAGCGCAACATTCGTTTTTAAATTCAATTTTATGGGAATTTATAAAGGCCGAGTACATTTTCTGATGATCTCTCTTAGTCAAAACAAATTAAGTTCCACTAAATATGATATTCCCTGATAAAATTATCACAGAATAATAATTTTATGACAGATCACGGGATTCATTAAGATTAAGATGACTTATTAAATGCCTGTTATCTTTTTAAAATTCGAGATTAATACACACTGGATTGGTTTTATTTCATTTACGTTTCTATTCAATCTATTCGACTATTTAGCGCATAAATTGCTGGGTTCAAATTAATAAAAGAAGTTTTTCTCCTAATCTGCGACTGTTTAATGCTTTAGCAATGAAATATTATTGATTAAATTGCAACAATAGTAATATTTGCTATAAAATTTATCCCGATAGGACAGTTTAAATGTATCGAATTATCGATATTTTTCCAAAAAAATCACTCTATTCTATTAAAAATCAATGAAAACGCATAATAGAATAAAAATATCAAACACTTACCATGATAGTATCGAAAAAAATAAAGAAAATTCAAAACGTTGCACTCACATCGAAGTGTACCAATCACCCACACTGGTTCAGAGTGAAGCCCTAATAAAAATTAACTAGCTAAATTGCGGAATGAGTTAAATAAACGGACCATCATACATACATCGAGATAAACGAAATACCGCGTATTTCGTACTTATTGTTATGGCATTTTACACTAAAACTCTCTTTGATTGTGAAAACCTAAAGGCATTCATGGTTTGTTTTCCGTCAATTTGATCGAGTCAAAAGGTTAAAATGATAACTGTAGGAGAGCTTCTCGAGAAATGAAGAAAAAGAAATTGTTTTATTCTTATCAAACTTATCATTAACTACACATTATAATATTATTTACGAAAGCCGCTCGTTTGGTGATAATTGTTTTTGATTTAATGGCAATATAATTCCTCGACTAGGGAAATATTGTTAAGAAACTCGCACTTGAAAGTTTCGTTAATGATTATGTTGCTAATTAATTTCATTTCGTTTGCCATTTTTCTTTATTCTTTTAATACAGTCATTTTATTTGTTCATTTACTTTTGTTCCATATACATTCATAGAAAAGACAGTACTAGAAATTTGATAGAAAAATTCATGCTTCAAATTATTAATTGAATATTATTGTTACACATTTTTTTATTAATTAAACAATGAACGGTATCCTTGTAGCATCTTGATCTCCGCTATTAGTCAGTATAAAGTACCCTGACCTTATCAATTATTATTAATTATAACTGCAATTGGTTAATTGCTGTTGCTAGAAGAACTTATTCATCGTATAGAATGTATACATGCTACCTATAAATATAAACATATTTTCAAGCCTTTTAATCTTTTCGTAAAATCTCCTTAATATTATTTTCCCCGATTTAATAAATAAAACAGTTTTTTGGTTCCAAATTTGTAGTCATTAAGAAATGCCGGAGTTTTTCCGAGTGTTTTCCATATTAATGCTTCAATTCTTCTTTTCAATAAACTTTCACCCTAAATTTGGTTGATTTATCATTTATGAAAAGAAAATATCATTCTTGTCTAATTAGCTGCTATTCAATTTTCATTTGAGTTGGCTGTATTCCTACGATGGAGTAGATTGTGTCTTTAAAACGAAGACAAAATAAAAAATTTATTGGACAAAAAAAAGAAGCCGAATTATAACCTCAAAAAATTGTAAGTGGAATTTTATCGAATGATTTAGCTCATTTAGCGTTTATTAAGAAATTAATCGTGGTTATATTCAGCTAAAATCATTTTATTTATTTTAAAGGTACAGGTATTTCGTTGGTTACATTTTTAGCACTGTCGACTGGTAAGAAACTGTTCTCCTTGTACCTTACACGGTGTAACACCTAATTTCAGGTTGTGTACATTAATTTCCAAATATAACTTAACCGCTTTCAAGTACTTAATTATCTTACGTTTCAGGAAAAAAAATGGATTCGAGTCTGGATCTTAAAAAGCAATGTCTCATTGTGCATGTGATGAATTTCTTGCAAGAAGAACTGATAAGTGGAACACTCAGTGAAGAAAAAAAAGAATCCGTAGAAGTAGCCATTCAATGTCTCGAAAGCGCATTTGATATTGACACTGATATTAAAAATAAGGCTGGAAATGAAAATTTGAATTTACTTTCTCTTATACCGTCATGTCATAAGGTAGATACGATAAAATCTGCTTGTTGTGTTAATAATTAAATTCGTTTATCCACAGGTGGTTGTCACTGAGGAGCAAATGAAAGAGGCTGAGGCTTGTAAAAACAACGGCAATATTCACATGAAAAATGCATCTTACATCGAAGCATTGGCCGAATATTCCAAGTAAGAAACTCTTGTAATTCCAGAGCCTCCAAATTATGTTGTATTGTTTTCAGAGCAATCACTTTGAACCCTAATAATGCCGTTTACTACTGCAACAGAGCCGCAGCGTTCAGTAGACTGGAGAAGCATTTCGAAGCTATAAGCGATTGCAAAGAAGCTATAAAACTAGATCCAAGTTACGGAAAAGCCTACGGTCGACTTGGAATAGCTTATTCGAATCTAAATAAATATGACGACGCTTGTCAAGCTTACAAAAACGCTTTGAAATACGACCCGGGAAACGCTATGTACGAAACTAACTTAAAACTGGCCGAAGACAAATTATATAATAGCATGGGTATTGTTATATTTATCAATTATTATTTAAGTCTTATATATTTCTTGTAGAAAACGCCGCTCCGCCAGAACATAGACCGTTAGATATATCCCAATTCATTAATAACCCAAATTTAATCAATATGGCCACGCAAATGCTCAGCGACTCGAACTTCAGAAATTTGTAAGTAAACTGTAGTATTATCGAATGATGTAAAAATTGATATTTTATTTCTAGGATGTCGAGATTTATGTCAGTGCAATCATCTGGTGATCCCAATTTGGATGTTTTAATTCAGGCGTATGTATTCGATCTTCATTTTGCCGGTATCCTCGGTAATATATTTTGTGTTACAGAGGCCAATCATTAGCTAGTAGAATGCAGACAGCCGATCCAAATTTCGTTGAAAATTTGAGGCGTTCTTTGGACCCACAGAACCTTTCGGGTCAAAATCAACCACAAGCAGATAGCAATGTAGGAACTGATAAGCCTAATAGTGGTGAGAAGAAACCAGAATAATTTACTTTTATGTATCAACCTGTTACATATTGTTTTATTAAACTACCTTTTTGTAAGTAACGTTTTTAGTACAGTTGGAGGATCTAGTATTTTATTTATTCAATTTTACACTTTAATTTCATTTTGACGTAAATTTAAATGTACGATACTTTTGTTATACTGGATTGTTTCTGTAAGGTAATAGGTAAATACATTTGATCTTTATGTTTAGTTAATTTACTGCACGACTGTCGATTATTCAATCAATACATGTATAGTTTATGTAATATGGGTAATTGAGGATTCTAATGTCTCCTTCTAATGAGGTCTTCATCAATTTTAACGTTTCGAATCTCGAAAGGGAAAATTTTAAGCTTTATTTTAACTTCCATCAATCGCATGAACTTGTTTTTACCATGCGCGTGTATTCCTTTACTGTTTGATGTAATTGATGTTATTGTGACTTAGTATTTTTTGAATAATAAAACATCAGCGATAAAATGTCATTTATTAAACGTTCACATTTAAAACTTTATTTGCACAGAATAAAAATTGATCTATCTGTCCAGCAATTAAACTTTCTACAGCTAAAATATTTTCAGTAAGAACTCATGTAACATGTACATTACAAGAAGGAAGGGTAAGAAAAACAAGCAAAGACATGTTAAATTTACAGCACATGTTGCAATAAACATAGAAGTTGTGTGGAATGTGACAAATGTGATGCAAGATTAAAATATATGAACATGTTCCTGTCTAATGACATTACCTATAAGACTAAATATTTCAATATTTTTATAAATTCATGATTATATATAAATATTCAAGTGTTTCTAAAATTAAAACAAGAAATAAAACCTCTAACATAGTAAATTTAAATTTATCACATCAGAAAAATACTAGACATCTTTAATGTAAATTAGTTCAAAAAATGATGATGACATAATGACGGTTCATTTACAAATTTTCGATGAAAAAAAAATAGAACATTGTTCATTTAAAACATGCCACGCAAGAACGATGTCACTTATATTATTTTAGTACCTTAAAATTAATAATAAATTAAAAAACTGGTTAGATCTTAAATGTAATCTATATTAAAAATAACACGTCTATTTAAAGTTCACTCACAAAAGTGTAACGGAATTAAATAGTGATTAGATTATTTAATCAATCAATATCTAACACACGAATCAATATTTAACACAGCACTATGAAAATTAAAAATAAATAATAAGTTTATCATACCATAGAGATATTAGACATGTGAAAAACCCAACAACTTATTGAAAATTTATAAATACCTACATCAAATATGTGGGTGAACTTTAAAATAAAAAGTTATATGGCAAAAATTTAAATTGTGTTATTTTTGTACTAAACTCGCATATTTTGTTCATATTTAAGTAGCCACTATGGTAATTCTTGTTTGCTGCGTATTCAAATCAGGTCATTTGATCATAATTCCGAAAAAAAATTAATTATTGTCAGCAATTTGATTTTATGTTAAACCAAACAATAACTACCATCGTTATTAAAAAACAAAAATACTCAGGTACATACAAAATTGAATTATTTTAATTGGGACATTAAAATGTCTTTGGTTGAACATTGAATTTGGGGATTGGAAGCTATTTAAAATAAATCGTTGTGGTGAAAGTCAAGAATTATTTTTTAGTGCCTGTAGTTCGACCAAAATAAGTTTAATTAGATTCGTTTTTAATACTGAAAAAAATAACTCTTGTTGCTATGGCCGTCTTATTTTATCCTTTTAAAATATTTGAGATTTTTTGGAAATAGAAGGAAATATGTTTTAAAAAGAGGAAACAACTATTCAATTTAGCTGTGATATGAAAAATATCCTTAATACGTTCTAACAGTATATAGTTTACTTAATTTATATACAACATTGCATAGAGTTTTTTTACTATATAAAAACTGTACATACTCCACCTGTACATATTTACAAATAATTTTATTTTCCTTATAATATAAACAAGAAAAGCGTTTTACATTCTTTTCTACAAAATCCTTTAAAACTTCAAATCAACTGCAACTGAAAATTCAGAATTCATAATCAATGCAATGATTTTTTTGTAATTTCTTTTTTGATTTAGAAAATCACATTTGTTGATCCCCATTTGCTTTCAAACACTATTAAAACATTTTGCAATCCAACTGATTTTAAAGGTTCCTGTAAAAATGTGATGGATGGTAATTTTGATATCTCTAATCAATCTAATGCAGAAAATTTACATAAACGAAATTGGCAAATTAATGAACTTGACAAAATTGAAAAATACAATTCGAATTTATCCTTTAACAGTTTAAATTTTCAAATTTGTTTCTGTGCAAATTGAAAGTTCTCTCTGCATCTGTTGAGGAAAAACGTGCTTTTCAGATTTGAGGCAAACAGTCTCCAGGACAACTTATGAGCAGGACATCTGCATTGGTGTATGCTTACATGTGAAATGAGCTCGTTGATATTTACATAAAATTTTAGATCAAAAAAATAACTTATATTATCTACATAATATATCTGCTTTTTTCTACATAAATAAGTGCGAATAGTACGATTAATTATTGTTAAAATATAATGAATTAAATAATGAGAGTAAATTTTTGTAAAATTGCATGAAATATACCTATCAGACTATAAAAAGATGTGCCAAATTTAATCGGAAAATTATTACAATTTAGATTTTAATACCATTATTGTAAAATACGCTAATAAACAATCCTTTACTCCAATCGGTACACTGTAGCCTCTAAATGACCACATTGTTAATAGAACAAATTATATATCTGTTTTGCTGTACTATCATTTTAAAAACCCTGTAAGAACAAAAAAAGCTATATCTACGAATTTATACAGCTCGAATAAAAAGTGACGTTCAGACATTTTCTAAAATTCACTTTTTACCCGACCTGTTGCTTAATATTATATATTTAAATCACATTTATTCATATCTTTAAGGATATCTCCAAGAACGTCAGTTGATTGAGGTTTTTGGATTTTAAGTTTCGTCGATTTGTCCCTATGTTTCTTAACAGGGCTCTCAATCAACTTTGCGGGCGTGTCGATCGATTTAACCGGAGTTTCCGTTAATTTAATCGGATTGTCTGTCGATTTAAGAGGCGTCGAACTCACTGATTCGGATGGTAAACACTTCGATGGAGTCTCCGCGTAACTTTGACTAACATTCTGATTCGAATCCATCGATGACAAATTCGGAATTTGTTCAGTTTGGTTCGTTTCACTTTTAGCGTTTACGTCTACTTTAGATTCTCGATCTTTGTGTGTGTTGTGGTGAGAATTGTGCTTCTTTTCATTGCTGTATTTATGATCTCTATCGTGTCTATGCGAATTGTGATGTTTCCTGTCTTTATCTTTTTCTTTATCGTAATGCTTGTCTTTGTATTTATCTTTATCTCTATGTTTGTCCCTATGTTTATCCTTGTGTTTATCTCTATGCCTCGATTTCTCTCTCTCCCGATCTTTATCGTCTTTGTGACGATGCTTCTTATCTTTTTCTTTTTCATCGCACGACTTGGCTTTCTCCAATCCAACGTACTTGTTAAAGTCCAATTTGAATTTCATCTTTAACGAGGGTTTATCGTCGTCGTGAGGATTCGACGTCTTCACTCGCGTTTTTTCGGGTTTCGCTGGTTCCACTTGCTTAACGGGTTGAGGAATCGTCCTGTCAATTCCTTCTAGTTCCTCAGTAGTATAATACTGCTTTAATCGAACATGCCAAGCTGCAAAAACAATGCATTAAGTAAAAACGAATGAATGTATAGACGATTTAAACCCACCTATACTAGTGACGGCTGTTACAGTACGGAACTGATGGATAATATTCCTCGGAAGAAAGTAAATATCGTTATCGTACAAATTTATTCTGGCGTATTCGATGCCATCTCTTCGCATCTGATTCAACTTTGCATCTTCTATCCACGTCACACACTGCGAAACGATAAATATATTAGTAATTTACTGCGCAAGCTGCAAAATCAAAGTAGCTACCTGCGATGTAGGCGGCTCGTGCAAGTCTAATTGGAGCTTCTCCGATAGTACGTCGAAATATTTCGCTGAAAAGGCTACTACGTCTTTTGTTATTCTATTTATAGGTGCCTCGTTTCTTCCCCCGTGAATTGCTTTTAATATTCCCACTGCAGCGGTAGTTTTCCTGTCCAATCCCGCACCCACATGATCAGCATGAGCTTTTGTTCTGTCTTCGAACAGGTGCTCTCGAGCTTCCGATATCCTAGGTAAGTACTGAAGGTTTCGTAATTCATTTATACCAGTTCTAAAATAAAAAATACACAATTACAATAAACTTTTATGATGTTTTTTTTGTATGTACCTTTTTCTTTTATTAGGAGTTTTTGAGTCAGCAGTGGGGACCAGCTGTTCGCCAGGTCGACACCACACGATAGGTCCGTCATTGCTTTCTGTTGGTTTCATCTGATCACATATAGATAAAGGTCCCCAAGGCATAGTCTACGGATACATTTCATTACACAGAGTGTCACATGTAGAATGCACTGTACTTACTAATTGAAGAAAATTATTCTCCTCGAGCATGCTCAATAAATCCGGAAAGTAACCCCCGACCTCCTCGGGCGCTGTTCCCACAATACTGATTTGATGTAAAGGTCCGTATCTTATCGTGCCGGCCTCGTAATATTTGCAAACATTCTCGTGGTAATTGGCCAATGTAGTGGTATCTATGTCGGAACTCTTGCTCAGCAAGCCGTTTTTGACGGTTAGAGAAGGGTAGTTTTCGGCCATATAAACCAAAATGTCTGGCAGATAAGTGGCCGAACCGTGAACGACGGCTATAACGAACGTGGCAAAACCGTCTTTATCTTCGTGAAACGCCAATTTGAAAAATTCTTTGGCCAATTCCTTGGAATCACTGGCGCTCAAATGTTTTATCTCATCATGGTACATCCTGAGTATTTTAGCGCCTCCATTCGTGTGCTGTTCTATGTGGTAGTACTTCCTAAATTTCAACGATTTCTATAACAAATATAATAGAAATGAATTACAGCCAACGTAATTGCAACACTTTACTTACATCTTCAGGAGGATAACTGTAGTTTCCATTGGTAAGAAGCCTGGGTCTAATTTCACTTCTGTGGTATGAGCGCCTGTCTCTAGAACTGTGTGTTGATTTTTTAGAAGAACTCTTACTTTTATCGTGCCTACTGCTGGATTTTTTATCATCTCTGTGTTTCCCGCCTTTACTCGATGTGGATCCCGAGCCGGAGGTGGTACTGCTAATGGCTTTCTCCGATTTGTACAGTTTGAAATCAATCTTAACTATTTTAGCATCGGAATCGTTTGTGTCGGCTGAATGTGCTCTTTTAACGCCTTTCGTAGGTTTACAGACGTCTTCTACTGAACGAGTTCGCGATTTCCTCAATAAACAGTCTTTAGACAAAGTATCTGTGGATGACAGTATGTGGTTTTGTGTTGAATTCATCTTAACATACAACGAATCTGTATCGACTTTTGCTGAATGCATATCCTCTTTGATAGTACAATTAGTGTTCTCAACCTGGGAATGATACTCTTTCTTTGGTTTTTCCTCCTCTTTAACACAGAAAGTTACTTCTTCCGATTTAATATTATCGATAGAATTTTGAAGGCCACAACCTACAGTCACATTTGCATTTTGACTGTCAAATGGACTTGTCACAGCGCCAGTAGTGGAATCACAGCCAGGTTTAGGAGAGTAACAGTTAGATTGCTGGGAATTGAATCGTTCGATTTCATCTAGTGGTAATAAATTGTTGGTATCTAATTCAGAATTTGTGCAGACTTCTCTGTCATTTGGTTTAAAGCTAAAAAAAAGGTAAAACAAGTTAAAACACTTTCCCAACGTACGATTAAATAAAACTTACGTATCAGTAAGGTGCACTTCAGGTTCTGATTTCACCTCGGAACTGTCTATTATCCTTTCTGTACATGAAATTTCATCTATGTCACTTGATTCCATCAAGTCACTTACACTTGCACATACGTTATCACCATTAACTTTTGGGTGAACTTCATTTTTGACAACATTATATGGATCTATTGCATCGGATTGACCTTCCGTGGTTTCTCTTGGATTTGCTATAGCCGTGTTTACGAAGTTATTTGGATTGAAGCCGACTGGAGTCTTATGAAGGTCTGCGAAGAGAGGATTCGGCTTATACGTACCCCTGTAAGCGTCGATAAAACTTTGTTTAATAGCATTGAAGTTGTGCCCATTTTTCATAGGTTCGAAAACTTCTTCTGTTAAAGAGGCTGAAAGAAGTAGGTATTGATTAGTAAATCGGATCTGTACACAGAAATTTACGTTTTTTAAATTGAAAAGTCGAGAATGTATGACTGTGTTTACAAATATTACTCACAGTTAGTAGTATTTAAAATGTCACTGGGGGTCACATTGCATGCACATTTGGAAAAAGGATATAAGCGCATGCTGCACGTAGAACAGTTTGGAACAGCATCATAACATGATTGTTTTTCAAAATAGGTTTTACTTTCATCATCGTTGCTTCCTTCATCATTCGACGCCATAACTTAAAATATCCAAGAGATGTCCCTTGTTTTGTTTGACGTTCCTCTTTGAACGGACGACACAATTCACATTATTCAAACGAAATTTACATTCGGAGATTGGCTACTTTTTCAAATGGTACATTTTCTTAACAAAAGATTACAACACATCAGTTAAAACTCACAAAACTAGTTATTTATCCACGCTTGCCGCCATGCTTAAACCGGGCAAAACGCAAAACTCCTACCAATTGCTGATCACCTAACAGTGACGTAGTTAAATTCAATTATACTTGCCCTATTTATCAATCGAATTATCGTAAAACACCCACAATAAAAAAATTTACGAAATTAATTAGGATATCAAGCATTAAAAAAATAAATGACTTTTTTATGGCTATCTTAGTTTCTTTCCTTTTAAATGTTTTATTCCACTTTCTTTTCTACGTCACTGATCTCTATTATACATTTCAATTATTTTGTTGATGTTTACAGGATAAAAAATTCGAAAATTATTTGAATTGCACATCAAAATAACGTTTTATGGAAAATTGGTATTATTTAATTAAGGAAAAGTGTAAAAAGTAAAATTATTCTGAAACATGTCTCAAGTCACGTATGTCCTTATTATACACATTTACCGCCTTGATAAACAGGTTAGCCACCATTTAGTAAAATAATTGTTACCAACTTCATATAGCGAATGTCACTAGTTTTAGAGGGAAATTTGAAATGTCGAAAGCGAATCCATATAACCTGCAGAGGTGATTGACCTATGAGATTTTTACGCTTTCCATTGTTCGATCGGGAGATGGAAACGTACTTTTTAGGAAATTTCATAGTTATTAAAAACAAACTTAATAAAAATATTTATTTACAGTATTAATTTTCTCATAACGATATAAACACTTCAATAAATTCTGTACATATATAATGCATAAAAAAGCAGTAACTTTGGGAGTAATTTAATTATTCGCTGTTAGTCGAGAATGATAAAAGTTAGTAGAATTGTAAATTGAACAGGCAAAACTTAAAAAATTAACCAACAATTTAACATATAAAATATCGTAGCATCTATCCAACAGCAGTTAAAAATAAACACGAATTTGTAAAACACAAAAAAACTACAAATCTCATCGGAAATTTACTTAACAATTATATTATCAGATTTATTCTTCAGGCTGTTGTATATAGTTTCTAATTGGGGCTGAACGTAGCCCAGCAAAGGCCTATCTGCTGGATCCGCCGCCCAGCATTGTTCCATTAGATTCCAACAATCCACCTCAAAATTCGGCAAACATTCCGGTCGAATACCTGTTTAAAAATATAAAAAATTACTTTCCAGTAAACTATCCCGATTGATTCCTACTTGCCTCTTCTTACGCTATTCCAAAGCTGCTCTTTGTTCTGGAACTGATCGAAGTGCGTCGGTAATTTGACTTGACCAGCGCAGATGTACCAAAATAAGATCCCGAACGCGTAGACATCGACTTTGGAATCGTACCTTCCGCTCAATAGCTCAGGAGCCATGTGAACCGGTGTACCTACAATACTACCCGACATCATTGCTTCTGGTATGCAGAATCCAAAATCGGTCAATTTTGCCCTGTCCTTAGTATCCAACTAGAAATAATACTTAGTAGTAAGTATACTCTGATGTCGTTTGTATTTGTTTACTTACGAGAACATTTTTGAGTTTGATGTCCCTGTGAACTAATCCCTGAGAATGAAGGTATCGAATTCCTTCTATTACGTCTATGGCAATCCTTAGACGGGCGAGCCACGACAGGCCGCTGCGAAGGCCGCAATAAAGGTCTCTAGTCATTCTCTCCATAATGAGTAAAACAGCTGGAGAACTTCCGCCTCCGTACGTGTAGTCAATTACAGATCCCCTAAGCTTCACGATCCTAGGATGACCCGGAATTGTCCTTCAACAAAACAATAAATTACAAACAAACCAAATAGCCTTCTGAAAATCTACCTGGTATAAAAAAATTCCATGGCTAAATCGTTCCAATGTCTGTCATCGGGAGGTACCACAGACTTAAAGGCGCACGGATTGATTCCTGCCCAAGGTTCGCAGGACGACACGACGCCGTACTGTCCCCTGCCGATTTCTTTAATTTGCTTCGGCATGCCGTAACGTATCAAATCGCAGAGGGACGTACTCTCGAGGGCCAGTCTAGCGAATCTCGGAGCGTGTTTTTTGCGTATCGCTATTCTCTGTTCCTCAGTGTGTTCTAGTTGATCCGACAACTGATGGTCCAATGATCGAATAGCCGACACGAACGATTCGTGCGATGACTTAATATGTTCTTTAAACTGCAATTGAAGTATGCTCGTGAACGAAACGTTTCTAATATTATACACTAGAAATTCTACCTGTACACATATTGTCTTCGCCAGTTTCGAGGCGCTCAATTTCTCAATCATGTTCGTGGCGACTTGTAGTTGCCATTGGAGATTGCACTGTACGTGGCCAGAAGAAGACCAAGGTAAGACGAAGGACGACAATATTGTCCTGAAGCGGTCCATTAGCGTGTGGACTATCGAAAACGACGACGAAGAGTTCAGATCTACGTTGTAAGCGGCGCTGACTATTTGCCTAACAGCGTCCGAGGCCAGAACGTTGCCTTCCAATTCGTGGCAATTTTTCTCGAGGCTTTCCAAGCATCGCTGTAGCGTTCCCGTGAAACTTTCCTGCAGGCATCCCACGGACTGGACGATTTGTGTAGCCACTGATGTATTCAGTCTTTTCAATACCAGCTGCTGGATTTCTATCGTAGCCGTTTTGGACGTTCTTTGATGGCCGTTATCTATAAAGGAACGAAAAATAATTTTGAATATAAATGAGGAATTATTAAATGTTTACTTGGATGATTATAACCTTCTAATACTTCAGCAACGTTAGATTTCATATCGAGAAGTTTCCTTTGAATTATCGCGGTGATTTCTTCTTGTTGTTCACAAGCTATTTTGATTAGAGTATCGTAAAGCTGCAATTCGATTTTTTGGGCATACTCGATGCGCTTTGGAGTTATTTGAATTTCGCGGGCCATGTCGAAAGCGCGAAGAATGAACTGCCGGAGACATTTGTTGTGAATCTGCGAATAATCGTTTTACAAACAAGAATGCGGCGGTTGGATTTAAAGATATACCTCGCTTAATATGGCGGCTAATTTTAAAATTGTGTACTTCAAAACGTTCTGTATGTGTTTTAGGAAATCCTCATTTAATCTTTTGTCACTTATTAAAGTGTCTAATGAACATTCCAAACACAAAGAATTTTTTTTTGATTTCATAATTTCAGTCTTTGAGTTATCCATATCATCTATAAATCCTGTGGAATAAGCGTTTCGATTAGTTTGATATTGAAGTTTTATTAACTCAACTTACCCAGTCTTAATAATTGATCACGTAAATTTGGTAAATTAGAAAATTCTTCTTGATTTTCAGATTCTAATAAATGTTGTTCAGATTCTGTTAAAGATTCTGTACTTAATTTTTCATTGGTAGATAAACTTATAAACAAAAACGGAACCTTATAAATATCTTTCAGTTTCTTGATTTCTTGAATATTCTAAAAATTACAAGTAGATATAAAAATTTTATTGCATGATATACATCTTACCGAATCACTCAATATGTCTTCAGAAATAGTATAAACAACAATAGGTAAAACCTTATCCATATATTTAAATAAAATTTCTGTCAACTGATCAATGGAACAATCAGGAGGTACCATAAGATTGATATTTTCTTTAAGAATTGAATGAGAAAGTTCGATTTCCAAAGAGGGACAATGGTCCAAAAGGGATTCATTGTCACCTCGTTGCAAATCAGCTTCAGGTATTGTTATCCATGATTTTTCATGCGCTTGGAGCTTCTCCACTATTTCAATATCGTGGTTTAGAGTTAAACGAATGGATTTCGCAACTCCGTATACAAACGTTACCTGAAAAAATAAGAATTAAATTCTTTAATAAAATCATGTGGAAATTTAAAACTAATTATTTGCATTAGAAAAGTCAAGTTCATAGTTACAATGGAGATATCAAGCAAGCAAGCGAATGAGTCATACTCTGTGGAATAGTAAATACAATTAATAAGTAATAAATATTTTATTATTTCAAAATTATTAACTATTTTCTTAAATTTTATTTATTGTTTAAATTAGTCAACATATTTTTATTTAATTTTGACTAGTATTGATGATTTATTAATCTAATGAGTAATCTCGTTATTAGAAGTCGCTACATGAAATTTTTTTTTTTAATTTATAACACTTCTTTCAGTTAATTAGAAAGACACCGAGAACAAAGCAAAAACTTTTTATCACCAATATTTACTAAACTGTAAAAAAAACAGTAAATTCACCATATTTAATGTAAATCCGCATGAAAAAAATAAAGGATAAAAATACTAAAAACTTATCAATAACTTCTTACTTATCAATTCAAAATTAGATACACAGTGACTTAAGGTTATCACTCCTAGGACATTGTCTTAGATTCCTTTTTGGAACTGAGTAATACAAAAATTTTCATTTTAACTTACATATCTCCACTTCGAGCTGTACAGGGGCAAAATGTTCTGCCCTAAAAGAAGGTTTACGAACAATGCTTTTGAATGGCAATTTTGCCCAAACACAAAAAGAGTTGGAATTCGCTCTAGTTTAGGGCCTATTTGCTCGATGTCTATCCTCAACAACTCTTCTTTCACCTCATCTAGAAGAAACACATACATTTTATCAAAAACAATGATTTAATTTTGAAGATAAGACTAACCGTGGATTCGAAGGGAATTGTGAATTTCCTCAAAATAATTCAGAGTGTCTTGAATAATACGCTTTAAGCTCTGGCAATGTTTTGAGTATTTTTTAAATTCTTTCGGTATATCAATCATCATAGCGATCACAACACATAAAATAAAAAATCTTGTAAATACTGATTTGTTGATTCCGGATGTAAAAAAAAACTTGGATTTAGACTAATTGTCTATCCAATTCCTCGTAAGAGGTTACACCGTCGAGACTTCATAAGGCTTCTTTCGCTTCTTCCGAAAACTATTTCTTAGCATAAGAATTAATTATAATATACACAACAAAACATAAACAGCACAAACATTTTTTAATACAAGACAACCCATAACCTCAATTTTTTTTTGGGAAAATCTAAATTTTTTTTGACAACTGTAAGTTTTTCGAAAAAGAAGAAGCCTTAAAGCTCCCTCTAACGGATAATTAACGAATTAATATCAATGAAAACAGTATTTTTCTGTTTTTTAATAATTGATTGGCGGCATTGCCTGTCAAAGCTTTAATTCATGTTAGTTTATTTTACAAATATAGGTTAATAAAATTGAGTATTTCGATATTAAAATCGAGAGTTGTGAACAAATGTGACTTCCATATACTATTTCTAATCATCTATTACCTTTAGGCTATTTAAGCGTGCTAAGTTGTTGGTAAGAATGTCTCAAATTAACTCGCCAACGACAAATGGCGAAAGGACGAGTATTCATGACATGTTAAAGGATACGCCGCCGAATGAAATGAAAACAACCACCCTGCCATCGTCATCTAATAACACGTCTATTTCAAGATCTGGTCCAACGAGTTTATCCCCAACTAGTAACCCGCCATCGGGGCTGAACTCGCCCTCATCCAACGATGAGGCCACATTACTCAGAAACAATTCCTCTCGAATAGAAAATATTAAAAATTGGTCAATATCTACGTACAAATGTACCAAACAAATCATGTTCGAAAAATTAGGGAAATCGTCAAGAACCGTAGATACTGGTAAGTTTACTTCCTTCATTCAATTTGTATGAAAATCTTTTCATTTATCCTGTAGTAGTTTAATATATGTACATTTATCCCACTATCCATTCCCATTGATTTTTTAATCAGTTTTACAGGAAATAAATGTTGTCAAGTTACCTTTAACTGATAACGGTTTTATTTCAGAGCTGGAAACTCGAATAGAACAACTCAAAGACACCCAGAAAAAGTACATAAACATTTTACGTTTGACCAGAACCTTGACCAACCATTTTTACCACGTTGTGCAAACCCAGGTAAATCATCTTTAACTTTTAATCGAACTGTGTAATTAAAATTACATCATTGTTGCAGCATGCGTTAGGAGAAGCGTTCTCTGAACTGGCTCAAAAGTCTCCGGAGCTCCAAGAGGAATTTCTGTACAACTGCGAGACCCAAAGAAACCTGACGAAAAACGGCGAGACTCTCTTAGGTGCTTTAAATTTTTTTATATCGTCGGTGAACACGCTGTGCAACAAGACCATCGAAGACACCTTGCAGAGCATCAGACAATACGAGGCATCGAGGATCGAATATGACGCGTACCGCACGGACTTGGAATCTCTATCTACGAAACCCGATGGCACTATCGGCCTGGAGGAAGCCCAGCAGAACTACGAGCTGCATCGGCAGAATTTCATGAAGCTGAGAACAGAAGTTACGATCAAGCTGAAATTTTTAGACGAAAATAGAGTGAGTTTGATTTCTAAAACATAAAAGTACCTAGTTAATGAGCACTGTTGTCCGTTTTAGATTAAAGTGATGCACAAACAGCTGCTCCTGTTCCACAATGCCATATCAGCGTATTTTTCTGGCAATCAGGCGGCCTTGGAGGCGACTTTAAAGCAGTTCAATATTAAAGTGAAGGCTCCCAATTCGACATTCCCATCGTGGTTAGAGCAATAGATTTAAGTTCATTTCGAATGACACTGTATTACGCATTAACTATCTAGTCATTAATTTCGAAGTTAACGTTTAATAATGTTTGTGTTAATTTATTCACCAGCAATGTAAAATGTTTTATAATAAATTGCAATTTTATGTAAACGGTTTCGCGTCATTTACTTGAAAAGTAATTTTGAAGCCTGTCCTCAATGTTTCTTTTATTTAATTTTTTTATCCGAAATATTTAAAGGCGTAAAATTAGTAACAAGTTAAGGAAAAATAAGTTTATTACAGCATAACAAAATCACAGATTATTATCACAGCTAATTGGTTAATACCATAGAGAAAGTTGGTGGGGTTTTTCTTGAGCATTAGAAATGATCAATTCTAATTTTATTGTTACAAAAAATCCACAAACTTTTCTATTAAACGGCAATATTTGTATCACAGATCCTGACTTTCAAAAATATTTTTAGTAAACATCTTACGCACACAGTGGCGTGAGTCTCTCCCCCGAATAGCTCAATTTGCTAAAGACGAAAATATCCTGTAACAAATAATTGAATTAATAAAGAATCCAATTTAACTAATTTATAGTTATTTCTTATATACCTCTTCGACCTTTAATATTAAAATCCGTTCATTTAGAAAAATAATCGATAAAAACTTTAATAAAAATTCGCTTCGGAATTTAGTTATTTAATAAGAATACTGATGCAGTGGAAAATTTGCGTCCACTTCTGTTCTTCGATAATATATTTTCGCCGGAGATCAATCAACTTCCAAAATTCGTACTCTTTAATTATTATCCAGTCGATTAAGAAGTATGCATAACACTGATGAAGTTTAAATGATGATTGAATGCCATGATTATAATAAAAAATTTCCAGATATTTAAGAAGTTCAGTTGTTAGGGATAATAAAATTGAGTTTGGCTCGAATGAATCAGTTCAAAGTAGAATTGTTAAGAAAGTATTATCCAAAATATATACATTTACTAATAGTCGTTTGCACTATTCTCAACGAACTAAAAATGTAAATTAAATATAGTAATTTCATTCATAGCGCCTTGATTGATTCAGCGTAATAATGGTAAATTAATAAATATTCATATAAAATTAATTGCGTACCTGAAATCCCTATATTGCATTTATCAGATATGGATCAAATAAAGGTGTTTATTTAAATAAAATACATAAAATGTACCTTTGTGTCGTTCGCAGCTCCTGCAAAATACAATCTTTGTCTTCGATACGATCTTGAAGAATGTTCTAATAAACGTGATTAACGAGTAAAAACAGCGTTTGCGTTCTAAACCATTAAGAAAAGAGGTGTCGTCGTAAAAGAACAGTTATTTAACCGAATTTAATATAAAATCGCCTGTCTAATCTTCTTCCATCTATTGTACGTTTTTAATTTTAATTCATTACAAGATGACGTTTTTGTTTCTGCAAAGCTTCCATTTCCACGAGTCATTGTTAGAGCTTAATTTAAAAAATAAGATGAATTATGGATGCGATTACATTTCAAGCAATTGTCAATCGATGCTGACAATTGCTAAAAAAATATGTAACAACCTAGTTCAGAAATTTATAGAAATTGTAATCTCATATTAAATAATTACAAACCGTTAAAGTTGCGTTATTGTTTAGTACTATGCTAATAAGTTTAATTATAGCAAATGATTTTATACCAACTATAAATAGTAGATTAACTGCATTTCTGTACAAATTTGAATAAAATGCAATACATGCAATATGTAACTAGAATTCCCGTACCATTTACCCAAAACCACCGTAAAAAATCTAATAGCAATTTGTCCAACAAGAAACCTTTCTTAACATATTTATTTTAAGTATTTTCCATTGATCTATATATTTCATAACAGTTCAACTTGTTTTTGGTTTCTTTTTGGATTAAATCAAAGTCATGCAAAACGACGAAAGTCTTCACGCCCGATAATTCAAAATTTAAAACGAATATAACACAAAACTTTTACCTTTTATAGCATAATTGCATTTAATACACCGATCTTATTTACAAAAACCGCAATCAAAATAAGCCAATTCAGATTAATCACGGCCAAACACTGACGAAACAACACGGTAATTGCATATTTACGCGATTTGTTTCTTGTTTGCTAGAATGACTCGTTTATTCCACGCTGTGTATTATATGAGAAATATTTCGCGTTTTAACGAAACTACAATTTTATAACATGTAGCTTTTACGATGGTTGTTTTAGGGAAATTTGATCTTGATAATTCTTGATGCAGGAATGGGCAAGTTTTGCAGATCAAAGCGGGCCGAGATTTTATTAGCTAGTTCGAAGAAGCTATTGCTCATTGAAACCAGTAATAATCTCAAACTAGCTGAAACTAGAGCAGTTGAGATTTGGCCGCTTTTTTCTGATGAACTACACCAGAGTTCGCTAAGCGATTTCTTAAATTAAAGGAATATCCAATGAACCAACGGGGAAACTTCAAGTTAGAGATGACCTAAAAAAAGTATTCTAAAAATTAGTAAAATGTCAAAAGAATATGTTTGTTGCCAGTTATTTCATAAAAATACCTTCTGGTGAAGCCATAGTAGATTTTACCCGACTTATTTTATCACAAAATATGTAGTAGTTGAAGTAAAATAAATAAAAATAACCAAATAAAAACTTTTTTGAGTACATATAATTAAAAAAAGGTCAGGAATTAAAATGTTCCGAATACTTTGTTAAAATAAATACAATGAGTAGGTGAATATTTAAAATTTAGACATCAAAATACGTTTAGAAAACTTTAGTAAAATAAATAAGGTATGTACTTAAAATAAATATGAAAACGAATTTCAAATTACTGGAAATTTGTAAATTTTAACTCAAATGAAAAGAAATACTTTTACTACAGGTTTAACATCAAACTAAAAATACTTCTGTTTGGCTTGCTTAGTCTGTATTTTAATCAGATAAATATAATGAGAGACAATTCCTATAAGCTATTTTTTTTTTGATAAACACAAGTAAACATTTACATTAATTAAAAAAAATCCAGAGAGTTCCTAAATACTTATTTTATAATTTTACGAATTCCAAGTGAACAACTTAACTATGTATATGCAATAATCAGATTTACCACAATGGAATTTAATTTAAACTCATAGTTGCCGCCTTTTATCAACGTTGTGAAGCGTTGCCAAGCGAGCCGGGTGAAAATGGAAAAAAATTATGATCTATATTTTCTCAAAATTTCCTCGTTTTGTACTTATTTCTGATGTCCAGTGAGCGATGCCGATATGTCAGTATCCATCCCGGTGCTTAATAAGAGTATAGTCTACGTTAGAATACGTTATCAATGCGAGTAAAACGACCGCGACGGTTTAATAAAATTCATATTGGAAAATCTAGACCGTAATTTTTCGGCCTCCCACCCGAAAAGTCCACCAAGTTTTCAGAGTATCTGGTTTCACAACACTAGTCTAAAAAGATTTCAACCAAACGAAGGTGTATGTTTCGTGTGGAGGAGGGCAATTGCTGATTTTTCGAAAAGCTTTAGAATCGCCGTCTTTTATTAGGGAAATCGTCACGTCGACTATCGTTGACCCAGTGTCCTCTATTTCCCATATTTCCAGTATTACGAGCATTGTCACGGTCGAACCTGTTGTTGCTGTGCCGCTCATATGAGCTCATGAATGCTTTCGGATCCTGGTCATAATAATAATAATAACAATAACAATGTATATACCAGCGCTATATAAAGCACAAAAAAAATATTAAACGCTTTCATTTATTACCATCCGTTTCAATTCTCTCAGTACATCAAAGAACCCTTTCACTCTGCCTCGAAAAACTATCCCCTAAGTCCAGACTGTGCAGTTTTGGTTTTAAATTTAATAAAAAAAATACTCGAGTACCACGAGCCACTCATTAATCAAATCAGTTACATGAACATTTAAATGAATATTAAGAAAAATGGCCAGTGACACTCTCAGTCGATTGTAGTAATAATTCGGATATTTCGCGGGAAATTATTTTTCTTACGTACGATCATACGCGAGTTTTTTCAAAAATAAGCGCGTGTTTCAGTGCAGCAGAAAACGTCTCGTCATCCAACAGTTGAAAACCAATTTTCAATAACCATAAACTCCTTTCAACGGCGATGACCATATTCTTCGTTCCATCTTCGATTCCAAACCATAGTGTTTAGTCCTCTTCTCTTGAGTACGCAACTAGATCCGTGAGAAATTTAAATTTATGCGCATTTATGTGTTGTATTAAAACCATTTATGATATTTCGGTAATAAGAATGTAATAATAAGCGATAGGTAATATTCACCCTCTATCCCATGCCCAAAAAATCGATGTAATAATCCGATGAAAATATCAGATATAAAAAAGTCATTAATAACGCGTATTTCATATTATTCTCGGTTGGTATATTTGTTCGACGTCTTAATAAGGCAATGAGGTATTAAAGTAGATGACACTCTTGCTGTGTCCATTCAATAAATTTGTTAAAATTTCAAGGATTTTCAGTAAATATCTTTCTTCAGCATTTATCCATAAATTAACCACACAGAATTGACAAGCCAGTATAGTTTTTCATTAGTGACTGAAAGGACCCTTAAAATGTAAAAAACAATTATTTTGTTTAAAATTTGTTAGTAAATCACGAAGATTACAAGAATTGTTTATTTGTCAGCCAAAGCGTCCAATAACTTCCGAAATTTATCAAAAATAGTAGCTAAATATATTATAAAGTAATATTTGTTGAAGAAATTCGCTGAATATTACTGAGAATATTTAAAACGCTTTGGCTAAACAGAGCAGAATTTTGCTTGTAAAATAAGTCATTAGAATAGTTCATAAAAAAAAGTTTTGTTAACAGTATGTTTGAAACATTTATATAAATTATTTTATCTAAAGACTTAGATTGTAGTATATTTGTTTTTTTTTAATAAATATTTAAAGGCTAGTTTGCTTTAAATATTCGAGGTGGATATTGATTTTAAAACAGAATTGATTTAAGCGTATAAATTTGATTTCTTTTTTGAAATAACTGCTAGAATTAGAAAAATATCAAGACGATGGAAAATGCCTTGTTCGATTATTTCTAACCATCTGTAATATAATAAATTTAAAATATCGAAACACTTACCATCATGTTGCCGCCATCTTCTTGCAATCCACCTGAAGAAAAACGTGCATGTAAATTAAACTGAATTTTAGAAATACGAATTATGATATTGAAAAATCCTATTAGTTACCTTGATTATAATTATTGGGTGCGTCATAAGCTTGTTCCTGCTGGTCAAGCATGGAGTCTAAATTATGAGCCTGCATAAAAAGTTTGTTTTCCTGCTGCCTTCTTCTCAATTCTTCCTGTTGCGCGATAATCCTGGATTCCATATCTTCTTGTGTTCTCCTCATTTGTTCTTCAGTCCGTAGCCTTTCCTCTTCTACTTGCCTTTGTTTCATTTCCCATTCGCGCTTCTGTCTCTCTTTGTCCAATTCCCTAGATCTGAGTTGTTCTCTTAGCATTTCAGTCTCGTGTTCGTACCGTGCGTATTCCATTTGGGCTTCGAGTTTCTCCTTCTCCAATTCGAGTTCCTTCTTCAAAGCTTCCTCTTTCTGATTGTGGAGATCGTACAATTGTTTCCATCGCATGCCATATTCGCTCTCAAACGAGCCGGGTACTGCGAACCTCGGGCCCACTTCTCTCTCTTTTTGATACTCCGGGTTTTTCTTGTTGATTATCTTCTCTGGGTAGCCATCGTTGTCGTCTACTAATTCGAAAGCTTCCACAACGCAAGGTCTCAACGAGCCGGTGAGGAAGAAACAGCCATCCGAGCATTTTCTAATTGCGTGTAAAGCCGAACCTTTTCTGGAAAAATCGATCACTGCTTCGCCGGTGGGCTTTCCTCGTTCGTCTACACAAACAGTGGCCCGTTCAATCTGTGGGAGATTTGATTTAGAATAAGATAAAAGTTGAAGTTGATAAAAACTCACCTCTCCAAAAACAGAGAATGCATAATGCAGTAATTCGTTTGTGACTTGGCTAGTGAGGTTTTTCACTTTGATAGTGGCTGAGTTCGGAGCAAAGCGAATCTTCAAGTTCCTGGATTTCAACACGGTGCCATCGAGTTCCCTTTTCGCCCGTTCGGCGTTACTGTGGTAATCTAATTTAATGAAGCCGAAATTTTTGTCTTTGTTAACGAAGACCTCCGCTGTTTCGCCGAAAGATTTAAACAAATCCACTAGCTCGTCTTCGGTTACCTCAGAACCGATGTTACCAATGTACAATCGATTTCTACCGTTGAATTTTTTCTCCAACAAATCGATCGGAGGGAGGTCGAAAGTCGAGCCGGATATTTGTTGCATTTTATCCAAAAACTTTTCGTCGGGGCCTCGCATGAGCCTCGGGCCTCTGTTGTTTTGGTTGTCTCTACCGCGACCTTGGTAGCCGTCTTGTTGATTATTATCATGATTATCATGATCATCATCAGGTTTACGTCCACCATGATTCCCGGCGAAACCTCCGCGTCCTCTCCTATTATCGAAATTCCTTCCGTCTCTATGACCCTACAAGCGCGTTTAGCGATTAAATTGAATTAAAAAGGGCTTTTGCATTATACGCACCCCGCCGCCTTGGCCACCGCCTCCTCTGGGACCGCCAAACCGGCCGCCTCTGCCGAATCTGTCGCCGCCGTGATTGTGATTGCCTCCGCGACCTCCGCGATTGAAGTTCGGCTTTTCTTGAACGATTACCGCATCGTTGTTAGAAGCTTCCACTTTAACGTTATTTGCTTCCTGTTTTGTTTCGTTTTCCATTGTTTCTCTACTGATAAGGCAACCAAAGCAACTTTATGGTATCACTCCGCCAATTCCAAACACACAAAACAAAATGGAGACGCGAACGAAATATAAATGACAATTGACAGGATTAAAAATGACAGGTTCAAAAACCTTTTATTCTTCTTATTTCTAGAGTTAATATTGACAACGTTAGTAAAGTTATTCGGCGCGCGAAATTGTTTGCAATATAAGATATGGGTGCAACAAAGACAACTTCCGTCAGACACTTATAAAGGAAAAAGAAAGGGTGATCTTTGTCGATTTGACAAATTTTACGTAATAATCTTTCTTTGTTCAATTCATGGAAATGACCATATTGCAACTTTTATGGACTAAGGTGTATAAGGAAAAAAAAGAAAGATTGATTGTGGGACTGCTACTTTCTTACTCTAACCACTGATATTTTAATAATCCTTCTTTGTTCAACTCGCATTGAAAACAATTTTGCAGTGAATAAGTGTTCTGTGATGTAAATGTGTGGGTGTTCTGTGGAAAGAAATGGTGGTTGCGCACTCTTTGGTTGAGAAGTGAAAATCTTTTAGGTCTAGTTTTCTATACGGTAATTAGAAAATGTGTCATTTATCTTTTTTTTGGTTGGTAAAAAGTTTTAATAGAATGCGCTGTTTTTACAGCGACGTCGAGCGTCGAAGTAAGCGAAAGCGACGCTGGCGGAGACATCGACAATGAGCTCTAGAGCAAAGTTCCACAAAAATACAGGCCGATAACATCCTATTGATTTTTCAAAACGTTCGTTGAACCAATCAGAGGGATAGAACTATTTTTAAAGGGTGAGGTTGTTGTTAGGTTTTTACGAAGCTAGTGCGAAAATAATAAGCGGGATGTGTGTGTAGCTTAAAAAGAAGTAACGAGCGTTAGCTCGTTAAATCCTCCGATGCAGGTGGCTACTCTTTTTCGCGAGTCCTCCACGTTATTGGGAGCGACAATGGAATCGGGCGGAAGTGGTGGCAGTGGCCAGGATTCAGGTGTCTCCGGCCTTGGTCCTGGACCATTGTCTTACGATTCCTACAACCACCCGGTGTCCTTTTCGAATAAGTACAAGTTGTAAGTAATTACACCCTCTCGGCCCTGTTGTGCTATTTGCTTGGTTTATTTCCCGCACGCGCTGCATGTAAACATTTTTATTTACTTATTTATCGCTCGTTCGCCGTTTATCGTTCGACGATTATGTGGTAGGCGATGAGCACCTGATCGTTTAATTTTTTTTTATTTCGTCGAACAATTTTTCGCTCGACTCGACGTCTCCATCTCCATCGCAGTGGGCTCGTTCGATTCGAATTAATCGGAGGTCGCCCGTCGCCCGATGATGGTTGGGGTCCGAATTTTCGCTCCGCAGGATTTTTTTTTCTCTATTATTTCGATTACGACGATGTCGATTCGTTCGACAAACGGTTTAGCTCGATTCCAAGCAGCCTTGTAACTATTTTCATTTTACTTTTATAGTTTAGCGAACAGTTTGATGACCACTGTACTATGTTTACACAACACCAGTTTGCCTTCAATGTTTACGTGTTGCCTAATTTCTAAAAAAAGAGTACATAGCTGAGTGAACACACACATATCCCTTCAGGCCTTGAATCCATATCCATCCTGCCTCCTGCCTGGCAGCCTGCATGATGTTTTCACATTACATTTGAAACACGCCCTCAACCAACCTCAAAGTATGTAAGTTATCAAGTGCTCTAGTGATGTGAGAGGAAAGTGATTGTTCTGTGAATGAGTCTATTATTAAATTTTTCCTCTAGAAACATGAAACTCGAACCCCACGATGACGGTTATGAAACTAGTGCTGATTTGATGTTGAACACTACCAGTGTTGCACACAATCAACAACATAACCATGAGGTTAAATGCGAAAAGCTCGAGGATCCTTACAGTTTCATCGACGATGATCCCATGCCGATGCTTCCGGCGGCTCCGGGGCCCCCTCATCTCATGCATCCTATGCCCCCAATCAATAATCAACTTATGCCTGGGCCCAAAAAGCGGGGACGGAAAAAGAAAATCAAACCCGAACAGTAAGTTATTTTTTTTTTGTTCTTTTCTAGTATCTAGTTACCCGTTTAATTCTATTATATAATGTAACTCGACAAAACAAATATTCTAACCTAAAACAAATTTACAATTCACTATAACTATTGATTTTTTTATTCTATTATTTTGAGTAAATAATAAAACTAATTAGGTACTTAATAAATTTAGCACAGTAGGTGCTGATATGTTTTCTTAATTTTATCAACTTATACGCAGTACTTTTGATTTTCTCTCATAATTTACTCCTTATTTTGTTTATATTCCTCCTATTTTTGCTAATAATAACTAATATTTTATACTTTCACCTATATCTGAATAAATACCTACAGAAGTCAATAGTAATTATTGAAATAAGTAAATATTTGTGATAATTCCTTTTTAATTAAATAGCTGCTTCTCTAAGTACCTATTAAGGTTTTTTTAAATATATTTTAATTCCTATCATATGTCTACCTCAACCCAGACTTTGTGTGATTTTATAAGTACACTTACATTGTTATTTATATCTCTTGCTCAAGATAAGACTTTTATTTGAATGTCTTTGTGGAAGGTAAATAAGAAATTGGCAAGAATCAAATGAAGTGAAAATAATTTAATAAATAAATATTATTATTCGTTAATATACTTAATATGAAATATTAAACAATATACTGATTTCCCAATTTTCTTTAATTCCATTGTTTTGATTTATGTTTGTATTTACAGCTTTAATTAATTTCTTAAAGATATATGAATTTTGATAGGCCTGACTTCAACCAAGATATGAACGGAGGAATTCAACGGCCTATAAAAGAACGAAAGAAACACGATCGCTTTAACGGAATGCCAGAAGAAGAGGTTTCCAAAAGAACACTACCAGATCATTTAACAGAAAACCTAGATATAATTATAGTAAGTGCCTGCTAGGTCTGGATTGAACTTGTAATAGAACCGTAACTTTTTTAAAGATTGGGATAAACCCTGGACTGTTTGCGGCCTACAAGGGTCATCACTATGCTGGACCTGGCAATCATTTTTGGAAATGCTTGTACCTATCGGGTTTGACACCGCAACAAATGTCTGCAGATGAAGATTACAAATTGCTTCAAGTAGGCATCGGTTTCACAAATATGGTACAACGGGCAACTAAAGGTAGTGCTGATCTAACTCGAAAAGAAATTAAAGAGGGTAGTCAAATTTTGTTAGAAAAATTAAAAAAGTTTAGACCTAAGATAGCTGTATTTAATGGAAAACTTATTTATGAAGTATTCTCGGGGAAAAAGGATTTCAAATTTGGCAGACAACCGGATGTAGTCGAAGGCACCAATACAGTAAGTCAAAACCACCGTTTCTAATATTATAATTATTTATAAAAAAATTTATTTTTACAGCACATGTGGGTGATGCCATCTTCTAGTGCAAGGTGTGCTCAGTTACCAAGGGCTGCTGACAAAGTACCATTTTATGCAGCATTGAAAAAATTTCGTGATTATTTGAATGGTCTAATAACCGAAATTGACGAAAACGAAATGGTATTTTCCGAACCGAGTTTGAAATCGTGCTACGAAGCAGAACCAAAGCCTGATCCATTTTCTCCAGAGCTCACTGACATAAGTAATGCTGTGATTCAAAATGAGGATGGTACGATTATACCATGCAAGAAGAAGAGAGGTCGCCCGAAAAAAATTAAAATCGAAGGTGAAGAAATACCACCGAAACCAGTAGTTCGGAAACCTCCGTCTACTCAAAATAATAACTGTGATTTTCCAAAGAAAAAGAGAGGCCGGCCTAAAAAGGTTAAGGTTGAAAATATCGACTTAAATCCACCAGATAACAATACATCGACCAATTTGTCTCAATGTTACTCGAACCCATCTCCAATCCAGTCTCCCAACAATTTTTATCAGATGGCCCCTGCCATGACTCCTCCTAATGGTTCTGCGAATTTGTATGCTCCCCAACCCCCTCAGAGTTATAACCAATCACCGAGACCTCCGTACAGTCAGTCTCCTCGACCTAATTACACCAATTCCCCAAGACCTCAGTATAATCAGTCACCGAGACCGCAGTACAGCCAGTCTCCCAGACCCCAGTACAGTCAGTCACCGAGACCTCCGTACAGTCAGTCTCCGCGACCCCATTCTCAACCTTTCACTCATTCGGACCTCAGTTCAGAAATCAGCGCGGCAATTAGCTCTGAACAATTAGGTTCGCCAGCATCACCGATTGGTCCTCCAGATTTCGAGCCGCCTACAAGCATGGCCGAAGAGGCTGAATGCCGTTTAGGCAGCCCGGCTCCTTCTACAAATAGCGAGCAGACTCATTACCATTATCAGTCCTACAATATGGACCCTCCCCATTCTCAAACAGAACCACAATATTCTTCTCCAAGGCAAAACCAAGATATTGCTTCCAAAAGTCTGTCAGGACTCGAATCATTAGTAGATCAGATTCCCAGTATAACAGAGAGTGATGTTCCATTGGGTGAAGCACCTGACCAATATGCCGGCCAGTTTAATAACTATAATGTATCATCGTCGTCTAGAGCTAGTCCAATTCCTTATAATTATCCTCCTAGTTCAGGTTATCCTCTTTATCCTACTCCCACGTGGAGTGGTCATTACGAACCAATGCCGATTGGTTATCCTCAAATACCGTATGCTCAGAGTTATGCACCTGGTTTACATGTACCGAGTCCAAATTATCCGTATTACAGTTACCCACAACCTACACCTACGCATCCGCCAGGTTATCCACCTTATTTAGGAGGATTCTGATTGGTTTCCGTCACTGTGTTTTCATGTTGTGTACCTGTACCATATGTTCAGCTAGTACCTAGCAAGTCTGTCCGCTTGAGTACAGTTGGTCACTTGCATTTTGACAACAACAGAGACTTGCACAGGGTAAATGGTGATATTTTTTTGTCATAAGTATTTTTCTCTAAACTTTGAATGTTAGATAGGCCAAGGGTTTTGTGCATTATTCTACATTCAGATCTCAGTTGAGTGTGTGTGTCAATCTGAGTGTGAGGTTCATCGTTATAGTTGTAGCCCATGTCATTCATTTAAAATAAACATTTGTTATAGCTCTTCAGGTCGTATTTTCTTGTTCCCTTGTCCTTTATCCCACATATCATTGCATTCAAAATGAACCATTACAAAACAGTATGTAAGTGATGGTTCAAAGAAAAAAAATTGAAAAATACTTTTATATAGTAACAGAACTGATATTTATTTAATAATTATGACCTATTCAATGTGTTATTTAAAAAATGACTTTTTTTATATCTAATGTTAAATTTAATACTCTTACTATAGTTTCACATTTTTAAGAAACGTCTATCCTCAATTTTTGTACTTTAACCAGTATTAGAAATTATGGAAAAATGATCAAATATTTTTTTTTCTTTAGTTCATCCATTGTATTTTATTTAAAGATCATTATTTATACAATAAACTTATATCTATCAAAATGTCTTTCTCATCTTTAATTTACCAATACCCCTGACTAATTAATTATGTTTTTTGCAATGGACAATTAGAAAATATTAAGCACTTTTACCAAAAAATGTGCAAAACTATTACGATTAAAAAAGTAAGACACATATATTAAAAAAATAGTCATTCATTCCAAGATTGCGGTTAATTCATCATTACTACACATCAGGTAAACAGGTAATTTCACCTACTATTTATATCGATTAATGAATGAAATATTATTAGCTGGTTTACGGAAATATATTTTTATATTTATCTCAAACTGCATTCCGTGTCAACGACAAGTGGTCTCTTAAAATATCTAATCGAAGGATTCAATTATGCGTTCATAAATAGTAATTGTGCAAGAAAATTTACGTCAAGACATCCGCCTTGTCAATACCAGAAATAAACTGCTCCTGAAATTACCCCAGTTCTTTCTCGTGAATTTCTAAAATAAAACAATAAAATCACGTGCTCTGCATCAGGCATAAAAACGAGTTTTTAATTTCCCTCGACTTTATTAAGTTTGTGGATTACATTTAATTACATCCTTTTTACAAAAATTTGCTTTGAAAATTCATCGTCTATTATGTGATGAAATAGTATAAATAAAATGTTATCCGGATTTCATCCGTGCCGACCCTGGGACTCTTTTTCCTGGGGAGCCGGGCTAGCTGCCCTATTTTTATTGATTTTATTTCACACTCCTACGTCACTTTTCAGCATAAATGATTTTCTATATAGGTTTAACGTTTAAACAATGAGTATGTTATATACGAACGTACATATGTACGTGATATTTGAAATGCATAACAACTGTATAGTATGTTTATCGAGCCTAGTATATAATAAATCAATACCTGCTTAAAATTAGGGAATTCAGTGAGAGGCTTTTATTTGTATGAAAATATAAGCTCCAACAAAAATACGTTTATATTTTAAAATAATTGGTAAAAATTTACTTAAATTTTACCAAACAATTTAAAAAATTGATTGCATTTTTTAATTGCATAAATTATTTACAAAATTTCCTACTTTGTTTAAATAATAATAAAAAATGTAATATTTTTTTTGACAATTGCTTGTATTTCATCAAGATTAACAAAATAGGGTGACTTGATTTGAGTGGTTAATTATTCATCAAAAATATTTCTATTTTTCAAGTATGTTTTTATATTTAAAAACTGTAGATGAATACAACAATTGTTCAGGCCACATTCTAATAAGATTTGTACTGATTGCATAACTATAATAGTTGTAGTCCAATTTTTCTAAGATTACTAAAGAAGAAATAGTAGGGTTAATCGTCAAAACAAATATTGGGATTGTCAATATTCAAAAAGTTTAAAGAACGAACGAACATACATACATAACAATGTCCGATTCAGAAGATGATTATATGTCTGTGAAGTTTTTAGTAGACAGGTTAGTTGGAAGAATTCTTAAAAAATATAAATGTCTATTAGGTATTTTTTAGCAACGATGACGTACGTCCAAGCCTTCTATACAATAGAGAAAAACGCAAAATGGATTTATTTAAGAAAAAAATCGACTCTTCTAATAAACGACAAAAATCCACGCACGAAATTGAAAAAGAAAAAAGAGCTATAGGACTAAACACAGCGATATCGAACGAGAACATAGGCTTTAAATTATTAGAAAAAATGGGGTACAAACAAGGCGAGAGCCTCGGTAAAAATAGAAGCGGCATTAAGGAGCCCATCGATATAGTTATTAAACAAGGTACCTCCGGTGTTGGTCGTGAATCTCACATAAAAGAAGTCGTTAGTAAGAAACAACAACAGAAGATCAGAAACATTAAGCAATATGAGACACAATTCAAATTAGCTAACAAGGAAAGGCAAAATCTATCCCAAATTAGGAGAGACTTTTTCAAAGCTCAAAAAATATGCGAGGAATTAGATTTTAGAAATGTAAGTTTAACATAAATGCAATTTGTAACCTATTTAACATCGTAATCAAATTGTAGAAAGTCAATGATCCAGTACAAGATTTCTTTTGGACCAAAGAAACGATAAAAAAACGTAGGAAAATCGAACGAAAAGAAGATTTTGATGATACAGATAGTAGTAGTGATGATGAAGAGTTCGATTCCTATATATCGGAGGAAAATTTGTTTCTTTTAATAGACTACTTGAGGACAACACATTTGTACTGCATCTATTGTGTCATTACAGGTATTGATATTAGGGATCTTGAAGAGAACTGTCCGGGGCCCTATAGATTAGACCACGATGATGAATAACATTTACTTTACATTGTATGTTGGTTAACTTTGATTTGTTCCATTCTAACATTACTTTCAAAATAAAAATATCCTACACAGGTTTAAATTACATCCAACCATTGTACTATAATAAGAGGCTATTGAACTGTATATAAATAACCTATTAATTCCTACAAGTAGAAATATGTATATTTATGTAGAAAACGAAATAAAACATAACTTACAAAAGTTAACTTTTATTGAAAACAGTATGAAATATTAAATTAAATATGACAAAATGCACATGACCTTTTAACAGTTACCTACAAAGCATTTATAAATTGAAAATGTTACTGGGACCCAGTAGACAGTAAAGCCAATAACCCGGCAGTCGTGCCGATGGATAGAGTGTAGTTGACAGCAGGAGTGAACGACTGGAGTAAGTAGAAACTGGCAATAATTACAATCGCTAAGAAGAGAGCGTTATTGTAAAAAATAGCGAATGTGGTAGCTTCGAAATCAGCAACTTCGTTCTTCTTCCACAGGATTCTTTCGTCTTTTTCTTTTTTGCTCATCTTCTTGTCGTCTGCTAGCTTCTTGCTCAAGTCCCGAGTGACGGCTTCTTCGCGTTTTACTGCGATTTTATGCTTCAGAGTAAATTTCGTGTTCCTGTATGCCATAGCCAGCAGGTACGTGGAAACAGCAGTAACAACAGTAAACAGAATCAAGGAAGAGTACAGGTCAATTATGTGTATCCTCCAGAATAACCATATTGGAACGGCGGATACAATTAGAGCGTTGCCGTAAAACAGCGCCGAAGATTTCGTGGAAACATTTCGGCTGAAATCTTGCAGAAGTAACTCTTCCTCTTTTGTAAAACCTTTGCTTTGTCCCTTCGACATTTTCGGATGCAATTTAATTCTTAAGAACACTGAAATTCCACCACTAATTTGGGTTTTTCGACTTTTTGACTGACCCCACACTCACACGTAAAGAACGAACGGTATCAAAATTCAATGGTAAATATGGGATAATTTGTCATGTCACATTTAAGTTTTGTAAGCCACGGCTACGTTGATCCACGTTGACAAAGAGCTGCGTTCCGATATTAATTCTACTGGAGCTAACTTCACACGTGTTTTAAGTTTGAAGTGTTGAAAGAAAGAAGAAAAAAGTGGTTAAGTTATACATCATTTGATTCAAATTTACTTTTCTGCAGTGGAATTATTATAAATAGGTTTTGCAACCTCTTTAATGCTTTATCATATCATTCTATTATCTTACCACACATCTTGAATAACGTAACAATAAGGTCATATAAAGGTCAAAACATATTGTAATATATAAACTAAATTTAAGTAAGTTTATGGTAAATAATTATTTGTATTGTGACATTACAGACGATTGTTTTTTTTAGCTTAGTTAACAATATTCAGTTACGTTCATCAGTGAATTTTCAAGTGAACATTATATTTAAAAAATGGGCGATTCAATCGATTACAGCAGCCCCTACGCCAATTACCGGTCTCCGTTAAGCACCCGCTATGCCAGCAAAGAGATGCAATATAATTTCAGCGATCAAAAGAAATTTTCAACGTGGCGCAAGCTATGGATAAACCTCGCCAAAGCGGAAAAACAGCTAGGTTTGAACATAAAGGCAGAGCAAATACAAGAGATGGAAAACAACATCTACAACATCAACTTCGAAGAGGCCCAACAGGAAGAAAAGCTGACGAGGCACGACGTTATGGCCCACGTGCATGTTTTCGCCAAGCAGTGCCCCCTCGCAGCGCCCATCATTCATTTAGGAGCCACCTCGTGCTTTGTAGGCGACAATACGGATTTGATCATCATCAGAGACGGCCTGGACCTGCTAATGCCGAGAGTAGCGACCGTTATCCAAAACTTGGCCAAATTCGCTGAGCAGTACAAAACTCTTCCAGCTTTAGGATACACCCATCTACAACCAGCCCAGCTAACAACAGTCGGCAAAAGAGCCACTCTTTGGCTGTACGACTTCCTGATGGACGAAAGGGCTCTATCCAGAGCAAGAGACGACCTTAGGTTCCGAGGCGTGAAGGGAACAACGGGAACCCAAGCTTCCTTCATGCAGCTGTTCGAAGATAGCAGCAAGGTACGTGCTTTAGACAAGCTGGTAGCCGAACTGTCGGGATTCTCTAAAACCTATCCTGTAACTGGCCAGACCTACACGAGAAAAGTCGATTTGGAAATCGTAGCAGCATTGTCATCATTAGGTTCTTCCGTTCATAAAATGTGCAGCGATCTCCGACTATTGGCCAACTTCAAGGAGATCGAAGAGCCGTTCGAAGCGAGCCAGATCGGCAGCTCCGCTATGCCATACAAGAGGAATCCAATGAGATCTGAGAGATGCTGCGCCCTAGCCAGGCATCTCATAAGTTTGTTTGCTAACGCAGCGAATACCCATTCCGTGCAGTGGTTAGAAAGAACCTTAGACGACTCGGCTAATAAAAGACTAACATTGTCCGAAGCCTTTCTAAGCGCAGACGCTGCCCTAATGGTGCTGTCTAATATCACCCAAGGTCTCGTCGTCTACCCCAAGGTTATTGAGAAACGAATCAACCAGGAATTGCCGTTTATGTCTGCTGAGAATCTGATTATGGCCATGGTTAAAAAGGGAGGAGACAGACAAGTGTGCCATGAGAAGATCCGAGTGTTATCGCAGGAAGCGGGAGCGCAAGTTAAACGATTCGGCAAAGATAACGATCTCATAGAAAGAGTTCGAGCTGATCCGTACTTCAAACCAATTTTAGCTGAGTTGGATGGTTTACTTGATCCTAGCACTTACACGGGAAGAGCGGCTGAGCAAGTATCGGAATTTTTGAGCGAAGAAGTTGAGCCTATTTTGCTGAAATATAAGGAATCTCTCAAGGACAGCTCTAATGTGGTTCTCAATATTTAATTTTCTTTGGTTGATTATAATTGATTGCATTTTTTGAATTCTATTTTGTTACTATTAAAATGTGAAATACAAATATATATATGTTAATTGTAATTCCCTAATTTCGATTAAGTCAGATAATGTTATCATTGTGGTTTCCTCTTTTCAAAAATTGTCTGTTAAAAGGCTATTTATAATTCTCACATCCACATTTAAATCAGTTGGATTTGTTAAATTTTGTTATAATGAAGTTCATCTTATTTGATTTTGTCTTAATTGCAGGTGTAGGTATGTTGTAAAATTACTTACCAATATTTGCTTAATTAACAAAAAAATCTTTAGTTTCTCAAGGGATAAATCCACCAGTAATAACACCTACTCCAACTACTCCTGCTCCTCCGAAGGTTACTACTCCAAATTATTCGTCGAAACCAAAAGACCAATATTGGCCTGGTAAATACAATGGTGGTGTTAATAATAGAACCGTTCTGGCCGATTGGCTTCTGAACGGTAATTGGAGTTCCAATAATGTACCAAGTGATGTCCACAAAGTGCACGAGTACCCCGGTTACGATGGTTGGTATAACAACTTAGCCAGACCCGACTCCGGTGCCATAGGTAAGTACATATTGATTAACAATAATTTAAAACCGGATTAGTTATAATTAGACACACAATGCAACTATCTTTCTTGAAACTATAAAAATGAAATCATTTTATAAAGAAACTAAATAGGCTTTCATCAGTCATAACTTATTGGCACAAAAAAAACATAAATACATTTTTTCATATTTATGTACACTTTTTGAAAAAGCACTTTTTGAAATGTTCAAAGCAAATTGTGTTGCCTACCTGCAAGACAATTGTTACCTAACTATTTATATAAAAAAAGTTGTACAAAATACAGAAGAAGAATTGACTGTTGACAATACATTAATTCTAACCTCACTTTGTATGTTGACAAATAATTTGAAATGAAAAATATTGAAGAACACAATTCATTTCAATTATGGTGAAAATAATCAACCTGATTGCTACTATTGCAGTTTCAGTTATTTATACAGCGACATGTGAATTACAATGCATGAAATTAACAACTTCTGTAACTCAGAAGATAGAACATGAAGGATTTCATAGAGATATTTGGTGGTTATTAGAAACTGCAGACGTTAATAAAGTGGTTTGGATGGAATCAGGATGTAATTTAGCTTTAAAATTAGATGTGTCTAGTGGAATGTTTATTAATCCAGACGAGATAGCGGAATTAAATAGAATAGGGGAGCTCAGAATTCACGTCGAAGGAAAAGTAGACGTAGAAGTCCCAGCACACGAAGCTACTGAACATACAGTTTACATTTACTTGAATAATTCAGAAATTAATAGAATGACCGTTACATTGCCAGTTCATTTGCGTTATCAGAGAAGCCAAATCACGGGCGGCTATGGGAAGATACCTCTGCGAAAACCAAGCCTATTAGCGTGGTGTCCTGAGACGTTGGACAAAATATGTGGTAAAGGTTTAAAGGTGGAAGCTCCCTGCACGGAAGAAGCAAAATCTACTTGTATATGGAAAAATCTAACTTATTTCTCCCATTTCGATGACTTGGAACTTTTTGTACCTGTGGGTGATTTAGACGACTATCCTTTAGTTTCGATAGTTACTTTACTGTTGGGTTGCGCCGGTTGCATTTATGTTTTATCAGTATTATCAACAACACCTCTGTGAATAAACACGTTCACAATTAGTGATTAGTGTTAGTAAAAAATTACATTGTGCACTAAAAAATATATACGTTTTAATAAATTTGTAAATTATGTATTTGTTATTTATAAGAACTGTTTTAATTCAGATAGGCCTCTTTTGAGAAGGTGGCCAGCTGCATATAAAGATGGTAGTTATCTGCCCGCGGGTCACAACAGGAGAAACCCGATAGAACTTAGCGATCAACTTTTAAGTGGTGAGATAGGACAGAAGTCGAAAAATGGAAAGAATGCCCTGCTTGTCTTCTTCGGTAAAATATAAGCAAACAAAAAATTGTGCTTTGTAAAAATGCCATATATTTTTAAGGTCAACAAGTGGTAGAAGAAATTTTAGACGCGCAAAGGCCAGCTTGTCCTCCTGAATATTTCAACATTCCTGTTCCCTCTTATCACAATTACACCACAGTCCCAGGCCATACACAATTGCCTTTGCTTAGAACTAGGTACGACATGAGAACTGGATATAGCCCTAACAACCCTCGACAGCAAGTATGCGCTCCATTTATTTCAGATTCGAACTTATTTACATACAGTATTTTTTAGTTGAATGAAATAACACCCTACATAGATGGAGGATTATTTTATGGTATAACTAAACAATGGTCAGACCAATTGAGACTGTATTCCAACAAAACACTCGATCCAGATGGCAGATTAGCATTTTCGCATGACGGTTTGTTTCCAGAATACAATACCGACAGATTACCCATGGCTAATCCTCCACCACCTCTATACCACAAGCAATTCGTAAACAACCATCAAACCGCACCTGTTAATAGATTTTTTAGTAAGTCTCTGTTCCCTACTAACCGAATTTTGATACAAATTTAACACCATCGGCAATTTACAGAGCTCGGAAATCCTCGAGGAAATGAAAATGCCTTCCTGCTTTCATTCGGAGTAATGTGGTTCAGATGGCACAATTACCTAGCGACCAGAATTCGCCACCACCACCCGCAATGGTCCAGTGAAATGGTTTACAACGAGGCGAGGAAGTGGGTTATCGCAACGCAGCAAAATGTCTACTTGTACGATTGGCTACCCCAATACTTAGACCAAAAAATAGATCCTTATCAGGGATACGACGCCAGCATCGACCCTCAAATCGACCAATTCTTTCAGGCCGCCGCCTTCAGGTTCGGGCACACTCTGGTAGTGCCGGGGGTGCGTTTCTAATTTGCGTTAAACGCCTAGCTAATATCCTGATTTCTGCAGGTGTATTTGCGAGGGTACACGAGGGAGAATTGCCCGACGAAGTTCGGCAATTGGAAAGCGAACGCCATCAGAACCTGCAACATTTTCTGGCGACCGCAGGAGCCGATGCTCAACAAGACCGACGACAACAGCAGCTTGATCGACATCGACAGGATTCTAATGGGAATGTCAGTTCAACTTTCCGAAAGGGAGGACCACACCATAGTCGAAGACCTGAGAGGCAACGTTTTCGGTCCTTTGGAATTTCCCAGGAGAGATTTAATGGCTATTAACATACAAAGAGGAAGGGACCACGGGTTGCCCGATTTCAATTCTGCTAGGAAAGCGTTCGGCTTGCCAGCATATAAGAATTTTGAAAATTTTACTCAAATTACAGATGAGGTAAGATATCCGATGTATTTTAGCTCCATTTTATAGCCTCTGTACGTTGTAGGTTCGTGAAAAATTAAGGAATTTATATAATAACGATATAAATAATATCGATGTATGGGTGGGCGGTATTTTAGAAACGGATACTGGACCTGGCGAATTGTTTAAAACTATAATCATAGACCAATTTACTAGAATAAGAAATGCCGATCGATTTTGGTTCGAAAATGAGCATAATGGGTAAGTTATAGTAAGTAATAAGGGAAGACCTTCCAGTAAATACCGTATTTTTTTAGCTTATTTACGAAACCCGAAATAGCAAGGATTCGTAAAATAACTGTGTATGATATTCTAATGGCTGTGACAAAAATGGACGACATAGACATCCCTGGTCAACCTTTCAGAGCACCCATTGGAAGAGATAGTGACCTAATAAATGTATGCAAATTAAATAAAACCGATAACTATTACCATTTGCCGCAATTGAATGATCAACTACTAAACGAAAGCTGCTTCAAACCTTATTCATACGACTACTTCAGCAACAGTGAATTCAGCTACATCTTGACATTTTCATTTGTAGTCGCTTTTATATGCGGTAATCTGTGGAATTTTATTTAAACGATTTATAACTACAATGGGTTTTTTGTAGGAACTATTGGATTCGTCTTCTTGCTTATTCGGCTTAAAGAAAAAGAAATAATGAAGCTGAATGCGGAAGAAAGCTGTTTCAGAAGGAAAACGCTGACGGAAAATGCAGTTAATTGGCCTCTCTTTATAGGTGATTAATGCATTACGTTTTTTTTTTTTTGAAATTAGTACTATGTATATTCGTTTTAGTCACTGAATGGGTTGGCCCAAAATACCCAACGAGGGAAATAATTTTATCATTCCAAGAAATGAAACTATGCGTAACATCATTTAATGGGATCATGCTTAGAGCGCTGGACTTCTCAAACGATTTACAAAAAACAGTAACTATATATCACATAACCGATCGACTAACATTAATTATACACACCAGGCACAATTACGACCTGGTAAGTATATTCGCGTATTTCGAAAAACCGAATTCAACGGACCATATTTTAGGTGATTAATTTCGAATCGGAGTTCCTGCGGAGCAATTTCATGTCCGAATTCGACAAACACTTCATCGACACTAACGTAGTAACGAAGGAAGTAGTGAACCTCACTTGGAGCGCGGCTTTGAAAGTCGTAGTGACCCAAGAAAATCGGCAGGCTCGACTGGAAATGTTCTTTCGCGTTGTCTTTGCGCAGGCCTTTAAGATCACCCATTCCAGCACTGAGATTCTGAAAGTGGACGCGTTCATCGCCAAGGAAGTCGTGGACACCGAGCTCACCATCAGCGAATTCGCCAGTTCGCTGAACATGACGCCGGCCAATGAGTTCGTGAAGAGGATCTTCGCGCTCATCGATAAAGACAAGAACGGGTTTATTTCGTTTAGGGAATTCGTCGATTTGATGATCATATTTGCCGATGGTACTGAAGAGGAAAAGGCCAAATTGCTGTTCGATATGTACGATATAGATGGAATCGGGCATTTGAAGCAACAGGATTTCGTTAACATGATCAAGTAATGCATTTTTGTTTAAATTGGTACGAATTGTTTATATCGATTTCAATTTAGATCGTTTTTGGAAACGGTGGAAGGCAAAATCGACGATAAAAACATCCAAAAAACCGTTAACGTGATGCTGAAAAATGCCGGGGTAGAACACAAGACGAAATTGACTTTTGAAGACTTCAAGAAGATGATCGGCGATGACCTGAAAAACTTGAACGCGGCGAAATTGGGCTTCAAGGGTATCCGAGAGGCAGATCATTCTTACTTAGCCAAAGCCAGGAATACCATTGAGAACATCTACGAGTAAGAACTGAAACCTCGAGTCCGTTTGATTAACTAACGGATTTTTCGCAGGAGCAAGCAAGAAATCGAAGCGAGGTTTAAAGGGCAGGGCAAACGTCCCACGGAAGCTGAACCTCGAAACAGCACAAGCATAATCGACGAAGGGCAAGAGGAGGTCATTAAATCGAAAAACTACAAGCAAAATGACAAAAAATACGCCGCTTTCAAATTAGTCGAATTAAAATCGAAGGAAATTTTTTGGATGACCCTTTACACTTTCGTGTTGCTCGCAATATTCGCCGAAAGAGCTTACTGTAAGCTTTATCACACCTTCCTTACTAGTTAGTAATGTGTATTTTTAGATTATTCCATTGAAAGAGAGCACAGTGGGCTCAGACAAATTGCGGGGTATGGAGTGACGATAACTAGAGGTGCAGCTTCTGCTATGATGTTCACTTATTCCTCACTCTTAGTAACAATGTGCAGGAATACCATAACCTACTTGCGAGACACTATCGCCAACAGCTATTTTCCCTTCGATTCGTACCTCGATTTGCACAAGTACATCGCTTATTGGGCTTTTGGATTTACTGTGTTACACATTGTTGGACACGCTTTTAATTTCTATCACATTGCAACGCAGCCTTCGGACGATTTGAGTTGTTTGTTTACTAATTACTTCCATGCGTAGGTGTTTGTGATTAATTATAGAATTATAGGTTGATGGTTTATTTGTTTTAGTACAAACGAAATTCCGAAATTTCACTACTGGTGCTGGCAAACTATGACTGGTTTTACTGGCATAGTTCTGACGTTGATCTGGATTACTATGTACGCTTTCACCTTGCCTATTACTAGGAGAAAAATTTACAATTACTTTTGGTACACTCATAGCTTGTACCCGCTGTTTTTCATCTTTCTGATTCTCCACGGATCCGGTCGTCTTATACAGGTACAAATAAAACTCGCCTAGAGACTGTAAGCTCATGGAATTTTTATTTTAGGCTCCTTTTACTCACTACTTTTTACTGGGACCCGTTATTTTGTTTACAATCGATTCGCTGATAAGTATTAGCAGGAAAAAGATCGAAATCCCGGTCATACGAGCCGGCATTCTGCCATCAAGTAAGTCACAGTAGCTTCGAAAGGAACGAATCGATGGTTTTATCTTTCAGATGTTACAATGTTGGCGTTCAGGAAACCGGAAAATTTCCAGTACAGAGCGGGCCAATGGGTCAGATTAGCTTGCATGAGTTTGAACAAAAACGAATACCATCCATTCACTCTTTCTTCGGCTCCCGATGAAGATACACTCACCGTACACATTAGAGCTGTCGGACCGTGGACGAAACTTATTCGGAGCATTTACGAAACGTCCCTTCAAACCAATTCGAAATTGCCTAAAGTGCGTGATTGAATTAATTAAGAGCAACCAAAGCTTAAATATGTATTTATTTTTAGTTGTATTTGGACGGGCCTTATGGAGAGGGCCACCAAGATTGGGATACTTACGATGTGGCCATTCTCATCGGCGGAGGGATAGGAGTAACACCATTCGCTAGCATTTTGAAAGACGTGGCTCACAAATCGAACAAACTCAGAACTCGCTGTCAAAAGGTGCAATATTTTCGATACATTCATCCTCGCAAAATTCAACGTCTATAATTGTCCTTAGGTGTATTTCATTTGGGTGTCGAGAACTCAGAAGCAGTTCGAATGGCTGGTAGACATAATCCGGGAAGTGGAAAACAAGGATACCAAGGAGTTCATTAGCTGCCACATATTCATAACGCAATTTTACGAGAAATTCGATCTCAGGACGATACTGTTGTACATTTGCGAGAGGCACTACCAGCGCATTTCGAACAAATCGCTGTTTACGAATTTGAGGGCCGTCACGCATTTCGGGCGGCCGGCGTTCGCTCAGTTCTTCAAAACTGTTCAATACATTCACGAATCGGTAGGTGCTGTTTAGAAGTTCAACAATTTTTATTCGCAAGTAACTGAAAACATTATTTATATACAAATAATTAACGATACAATCTTATATTTTAGTCGAAGCGGATCGGAGTGTTTAGCTGCGGTCCCCCATCAATGACATCTGCCGTGGACCACGCTTGTAGCAAAATTAACCAGCAGAGCGAACAGAAATTCGAGCATCATTACAAAAACTTTTAATTGCTTAGAATAGTTTCGCTATGATGGGTATCAAGAGAAGAGTGTTTGCTGCTTTCGCTAACGTCGCTTTACCGCAATCGATAATTTCATGTTCCTTAAAGAAATGTTTTTGAAAAAAATAAATGATCAATTTATGATATTTTTTTACCAATGGGTGTTCGTTGTAGCATCCGGATAGCCTTCTTCTGTGCATGGTGTTCAGGTACAACTTCTGGCAAGGCAGCAATGTTGTGTTTATGTACTCCGCTTCGAAATTGGCCTCTTCTGTAATGGGCGTTGGTTCTGTGGTGTATTTGGCCAAGCCTTTTAGAAGCGACGCGTTGACGGCCACAAAAATTAAATTACTTTTTGGAATCCTTTTTACATAATAATTTCTAAAAGAAGTGTTTTAGCATTGGTGGTGTTTATGGGCGTATTGCTAGACTCACCTTCCGCCTTCGTTTGGTATTTCCCCTTGGAACGAGTTGTCAATAAATAGCTCTTGTTGCAAAATGTAGAGATTTAATTCTGTTTCACAAGCGAAATAATCGTCTTGCGAATTGTCGAATTCTGGCTCCTCGTAAGCATCTGCAGAAATTTACATATTAGCATATTTATTTTTATGATTATTAAGAATCTAAACCTTCTTCTATAGTATCTGTCTCGTTGTCGTAATCTGGGTATTCTTCTTGAGCATATGTAAATATATGTTCGAAGTTGTTGAAACTGAGCTCCATGATGGAATAAAATATTTTCCACATGATCCATTCTATGCTCGCTTGAACGTACACAAAAGGCTATAAACGGAATATTTACTCATACATTCGATTGTTACTAATTTCTCTTACTTGAACAAATAAAGAGGATGCTCCAGATGCTCCATCAGATCCATTATTTTTCTTACAAAATGCTTGGTAATCGTACATAGTAGCCTCTTTAAACAACCCAACGTCAAGCATCGATTCCATTATATCACCTTCTATTTCACCGAAGAATAAACCGGTATTCTTACTATCTTCTGATGTTATAATGTATCCAGAACTATCCACTATATAACAATCTAACGAATCATTGCATCTACTGCAGTAGGAACATTGGTTCTAAAAAATGTGGGAAAATTACATTGATTTTACAGAATATGCTGTAACTTACTGATAGTTTGTTTGACGTCTCCTTAAATACAGCTTGTAAATTCAGCTGTGAAAATTGGTAACCTACAACCGATCCAGGAGCTTCGTGGCCTTCTTCTTTCGGGAAAATGGCGAAACTTCCCGTTACTAAAGGATTGTCTTTCAGAGCAGCATCGAACGGCACGGAATAAACGAAAGACTCGTCGTATTGATGTTGCAATACTGCGTTTTTGTACCATTGTTCGTTAATGGCGTACGGATGATGATCACCGAATTCTCTACAATTTCCAAGATGTAATTTAAACGGAAGATGTACGATGTGCGCTTACTTGGATCCTTTGGAATTATACTCCGACGGATCCTTTCCGAATATATAATCCCATCTAGTTAGCCCGCTCATGGTGGCGACGAATCTCAGAGAGGCGTTGAACCGTTTGAAAAGCTGCTCCTCTCTTGGTTGAAAATGCCATTTTTCATTGAAGATGCCGTATGTTAGCTTCGCATCGAATATCAACCTTTGCACCAAATGCATGTCGCAGTAATAGTCGTTTTCCTCTAGCTGCTCCACTTCATTTTCGTATTGACTTTCCCACCGGAAATTGCGGTGCATTTTGTGCACGAAATGCAGAAATTCCTTTTCGGGAGTCGAGAATTCGTGGCCTTCTAGATAGTGGTACTTGCAGTACACCCTAAACAAGAACCAATTGTATAAATCTATTAATTTATTGGTATTGAAAATGAATACCATTTGCGATTAAGCCTCCAATTATCACCAGTGAACAGTAGGGTTAAATTATCACCAGTAAGTATGCTGTTCCAAATTTCATCGCGAACTTCCACCGAATACATGCCGGTTTGGTGAGGAACGGCCAATCCGATTGTAAAAGGAGTTTTCTCGATGGGAGTGAAGTAATAATCGTATTTCGCTTCGAATACCCTCTTCATATTATCGTAGTGATATCGAAGGGTCACGTTTTTTATACTGCCCGTTTCTCCGTCGACCATAGCCTGCCTCAGCCTCTGGGCTGTTTCCGTTATTTGTCGAGGCCCTATCAGGTTCTCGTCCACGTGATGCTCCACCTGAGTGAGGTCTACGCTGTTGTAGTTAAACTTGGCAACACCTGCGAACTTTGTACAAAAAAATTAAGATTATGATTATTTTATTTATGTGATGTGTGCTTACCATTGGTCTAAGATCTGGGTGCATTAAAACGTATCCGTTATTGCTCACTATGAAAGCGTATCCGTTAACACCGATCTACAAGTACAAACCAGAAGAATGTAGAGTTGTAAATTGTGTATTTTATAAATTTACCTTGTAAGGTACTGTGATTCGCTCGAATTCATCTATAGGCACGTCAGTGGCTGCGACACCGAGTAGATAGGCCGTTCTCGTGTCATTCATTTTGTTAATTTTTGTATCATAGCAGGGTATGGCAACTGAAGTTAATAGTCTGTAGGGTTCTATGACGGTTTGATCCAATTTTCTGTCGTACTGAAAATAAAATTTGTTGATTTCTGCAATCTATATGTTTGTAGTTTGTTACTGTGACATCCGCATAAGCGTGAGTCCACGACACAGGATGGTCCTCCCCTTGTAAAACCAACGGTCTGGCAATGACATTCACGTACTGAATAACGGAAACGCTGACTTGTTCCAAGCTGGATACCGGCGTGTAATAACCTTAAAAAAATAATTGAGTTAATTCGGATGGCAGGGAAATGTCTGCGATTGTATTTCCACCTCGATTTTCGCAGCACGTATCCTTCATTTCCGGGGGATTCGTAACTTCTTTTCCGACCAGGTAGCCGAATATCCTAACCGGGATGTTCGTCCCGTTGTGCAGGTGGTTGTATTTTTGAACAATTTCGGTTATATCTTCGTTAATTCCGTCCGTAATTATCATTATGGCTTGGTTGCAGTTGCTGTTTTCGTCGCTGCACTTTCGCATCTCCCTGTACTGAAAACGTCCGTTAGGAAATTAATGTGATGCTAAAGTCGTTTGTATACTTTTGCGAGTAATTTGAAAGCGACTTCCAGCGCTTGCGAAACCTGCGTCTTCCCTTCGGGCTGCAACTTTTCAACGGACCTTTTGAACATCTGGATGTTTTCCTCAGTAGCCTGGGCCAACATGTCGGAGAAACAGGGAATCGTGTAATTAGTGTATACAGTGTAATTGAGTATGTTAACGTAATCGTTGTTCGACAATGTGTCTAATATGGCGAAGGCCGTCATGGCGCCTATGTGGTGAGGCATTCCTATAAAAAACATTCTTGAGGGTGAATTAAAGAGATCGAAGCGAAATCAAATACCTCGCATCGATCCGGAGTTATCTATTAAAATAACAATGTCTTTAGTGCACGTGGCTGCTTCTATGAACCACGTGCGAATCCGGCAATCGAATAACAGCAATTCTTTGGTGTTATCAGCCCATCTTTGTGCTGAAAATGTTTTGTTTAAGCGCACGTTCGAAATAAATGCACGTTGCTTAACATACCTGGATAGTGTCTCATTATACCAGTCATGCTTCCGAAGTATTGCCACGATAAAGCCGGATCGATTTTGTAATTGTCGGCGAAGACCTCATCCAGAGCTTCTGACCATTGTATGGCTAATGAAACGTTTGGATCTGAAAACAATTTGTGATCAACTGACTCTGTTCTTATAATTTCCAACTCACCTCTATCGTAAATATACAGAGGAACGTGGACGGAACTGTAGTTTGTATTGACTGCAATGTTGTAAAAATGCGTGTCGTTGTTGAGAGTCATGTTCCTGTAGAGACCTTTGTTCTTCTTGAAGATGTTGTAAATAGGCTTGAAAACTTCTTGTCCCACTGGCGAATATTTCGAACTGTAGTAGGTGAAATTTTCGCTCGGTGTAAATGACTCGGCCACCATTTCGGCTTTTTCTTGAATTTCCTAAATACATACAGATGTAAAAGAATTATTGTAATTACATTGATGAGTGTAGTAATTATTTACCTTTATGGCATGTATTTTTCTATTTATCATAATCGACATATTTGCTTTGATTTCCGTTAAAAGGGAAGCGGGGTTTGTTTCTTTAACTTTGGCGTTTTGGAAAGTGTATCCCTGAAATGATAAAAATATTAATTAGGGCATATTTTAAGATGGTTTCTTTACGTTTTGTATTTCAGCATGTCTGGTTATTTTTTGGCCCAATCTCCACAATTCATTGCCGATTGTTCTAGCCCATCTAGCTACCCTGAAATTAAAATAAGATTGTTACTGCAATTTCTAGTATTGTTATATGAACTTACTCTTCGCCCTGTAGAGAGGCACTTGTCAAATTTTCCCCAACAATTATACCTAGCAAAATCAAGTAATGTATTTTATAATACATTATCCTCGACTTCATTAAACATATTAACGTTAAAAAGAGTGATTTTATTCACTAAAACTAATATATTGGCTACATGTAGGCTAAATGATAATAAAACTTGCATATTTTTGGAGCCAAACTAAAAATAGCTTCTGTGTATTTAAAGCGCCGCGCCTGCACTATAGGCAATTATTCCATAATTTATAAATAGTATATTTCCGTAATCCCTCGAAATACGGCCTAATTCGATTGTTTATCAAATATTTTGATTATTTAATAAAAATGATATCAAATAAATAAAAAAAAATTAAAAAAATGAATTTATTTCTTTTAATCTTGTACAAACATTTATGAAGATTTTTCACTAGCAACAAAGTCTATTTCATCTTTTGAAGGCTTGGACAGAACTTTGTCTATTAAACCGAATTTCTTCGCCTCTTCAGGACTCATGAAATTGTCCCTTTCAATATTTCTTTCGATCGTAGCCAACTCTAGCCCCGTGTGTTTAACGTAAAGTTGATTGATTTGCCTTTTAAGCTTCATAATCTCTTCAGCTTGGATTTGTATATCAGTTGCTTGGCCCTGCACAAAATGTATGTTTGTAATTCATTATAAAAGGGAAATTAAGTGTAAAATTGAGTACCTGTGCACCCCCTGATGGTTGGTGTATCATAATTCTAGCATTCGGTAATGAATGCCTCATTCCTGGAGTACCAGCTGCTAGTAACAAAGATGCCATACTACATGCTTGCCCAACACACCTAAATTAAAACATTTTTTAATAAACTGTATTGTCTTTTATGTAAAAAAGGACAATTTTTATATAAGAGGAAATAAATATATGCTTCATATACTTTCAACTAACCATGTAGCTATTGGGGGTAGTATGTACTGCATCGTATCGTATATTCCCAATCCTGCTGTTACACTCCCTCCTGGCGAATTAATGTACAAATGTATTGGCTTGCTAGACGATTCCGACTGTAAAAAAAGTAACTGGGCTACTATTAAGGAACTCATTGTATCATGTACGGGGCCCATTAAGCATATTATTCTTTCCTTGAGCAGTCTCGAGTAAATATCATAAGATCGTTCACCTCGACCCGTTTGTTCTACAACTATTGGAATAAGACCTATATTTCGAGTAAAAGTTTTATGGGGGATCGCATTTTTCGCTTGTTTACCCTGAAAAAGTATATAATTATAAAGTGATTTTGAAATTTTTAATAAGCATTTACTTACAAGTATGTTTACTAAACTCCTAAACATATTGAAATAAAATCTAAATCCGAAAAAATTAAAATGTCATATCAAATTAGCGATGATAATTAATAACTTTGCTTTTAATTTGTGTTTTGAAATTCTGAGCTAACTTAACCTTAATTCTCGTCAATTTGATATTTTTGACATTGACGTAATAATAATAAATAGTTACTAAAAGACACTAAATATTTCACGGTTGGTAATGCTGTTGCGTGGGAAATTCGAATTTTTTTTAACTTTAATGAAGTAATTTAGTAAAAATAAAAAGGTATTTAAGAAATCACATGGGTAGAGGAGATTTAGAGTTCAATTCGAAAAGATTTCGAAATAAAATATTCAATAAACTAGACAGTAGTTGATTTAAGTACCTTAAAATAGCATAATTGGTCATAAGTTTAATGGTTTGTGCAATTGTTAAAAATAAATATGATTGTCTTGTGATAACAATATAGCATTATCAATCCCGTTTAATGAGTAAAATGTAATTTTTTACCACATAGATAACAGTTCAGAGAACTAACGAAAACCAGTTTAGCTACCGTTTTAAATTTAAAACCAAAGTAAGCATTTTTGATAGCGATGACGACACTCCATGAGTCCATAACCCACTTTGCTATTTATAAATTTAACATATGAAGAAAACAAATAGTTTTTTCTAGTGTTAATTTTACATGAATAATATGAAATAAGTACATTTTAAAAAAATTCTAATAAAAATTTACGTATCTTCGAATAAAAATCGGACATGAAAATATTTATCAGTTAGGGATTTGGTTATTTCGAAGTTGGCTACACGAATTCCACCGACCCGACAGACAGACAGCGCAATGTGTTCCTGTTTCTTTCTCGTACTACTTCATCTGTCCGAATTTGAGGATTTTGTTGCCGGGCTCGCAGTTCAAAGTTACGCGTGTTTGAGTATTACCAGTCGAATTTAAGTATTCTACTCTTTTAAATTGTAAGTACTCATTAATTAGCTGTTTTAATTGCATGCAAACGTAGCATTACGTTAGTTATTAAACGGGATATCGAAAGGACGCCGAAGAAACACGTTCATCTCCCTTCAGCCGCCATGATTAGAATTCGTGCATGACGATTTCATCGATCGCCGTCGTCGTCAAAGTCGTGACCAGTGATTTAGTCTTTACTCCTTGTTGTTCATAGTAGCGTGCACAGCGTCGGCTGGTACAAATTTTACCTAATTTATTAAAACAAAGTGTAAGTTTCGTTGAATTTTGTTCGTAGATTGTTGTTTTAGATGTAAACTAAGCGGTTTAATGAATAATTTAAGTTTTACTCTTGATTAACTGGATTTTTCGGTGCAGCCCGTGCATCATCTACCTATTGACCTTCAGCATTCAACATCTTTGGGAAATTTTTCGGATTGATAATAAATATCGGTATTTGAGTAATAACTGTGATAATAGACTTGTAGCAGGGTAAATTGTTTGTTTTTTTTTTTCGTTCGGCGTATAAATAAAGAACATTCTTTCGGGATGTATCACGTTATGGCGATTGCCGGATCGCGACTGTTCGTCGGCTAATGAAATTCTGGATTCGTTTTATTTTTCGCCGGCTTCGGTTACTTCGTTTTGTTCCATCACGGAGAGATTAACGAGCGTGTTTCGAAAAAAAAAAAATTCTTGGAACTACGCATTACAGTAAAAGGTGTGGCTGACGCCATATTGTCAATCCGTTGCCGGTGCCTGCCCAGTGAGTTAGCGCAGTTGTTACGAATCTCGCTGCTAGCACTGCCAGCTAGTTCGTTGCCGGTCTTTCGTCTTCTCGCTTCGAAGATCGAAGGGGTGGAAATACCGTAAACTTTTTTTTATCGCATCGCAAGTTATTTTATCGTACGTTCTATTAATAGATTTATCGGAATACCTGCCCAGTGTGGATTTGATCAATGCTGATTTGCTTTACTTGCCCGTTTCATTCCGTCCGATTACTCATGCCGACTGCATTTCACGTTTCATGCATCCTATTCGTACTTCTTGTAATTTATTGATTAATTTTGTTGTGCTCCACATACTGAATTATTTCGCATTCGGAAACTGTTTGATCAATCCGTTTAGTTCAATTTCACTTCTAATTTAGGTATTCTGTGTAAATTTCACGAAAACGCCGGTACTTTACACGCACGAAATCTGTTCATAATATAATTTGTGTTTCAGATTTAGAATTAGATCAAAATGTCGGCTCCCGATAAAGACGAGTTAGTACAAAGGGCAAAGCTTGCCGAGCAAGCCGAACGCTATGACGATATGGCATCGGCGATGAAATCAGTTACAGAAACCGGCGTCGAACTTAGTAATGAGGAAAGGAACCTTCTATCTGTCGCATACAAAAACGTCGTCGGCGCCAGAAGATCATCGTGGAGAGTAATATCTTCTATCGAACAAAAGACTGAGGGATCGGAGCGAAAACAACAAATGGCGAAGGAATACAGGGAAAAGGTCGAAAAGGAACTTCGAGAGATCTGCGACGATGTTCTTGTGAGTATAATACGAATTCGAATCGAACTAGACGAAATTTCATCGACCTATTCGCGCAAATAAGACCGTAATGTTCAGGGAATGTTATCAATTAAATGCGTCACTCTAATGATGTTTCTAAATAACTTTCGTTCTTCATAGAACTGTTGATGAATCTTTAACCATGACTGATTAGTTTAAGTATTTTAATGCGATGTAAGTTCGCTTGTACCATTGCTTAAGACGGTTTTTTTCTTTTAATATTATAGGGTCTCCTCGACAAATACCTAATACCTAAAGCGAGTAACGCCGAGTCGAAAGTGTTCTACCTTAAAATGAAAGGCGATTACTATAGGTACCTTGCGGAAGTCGCCACAGGGGACACGAGGAACAGTAAGTGAACAATTCCTTCATTTCATTCGCTTTTTAATATATTGTATAGAAGAATCCTGATGGGTATACAATATTTTTTTTGACATTATTTGCATATCGTTTTTAAATGTAAGGCATTCTTGCTTAAACTTTGTTTATAAATTAATTCCAGCTGTTGTCGACTACTCACAAAAGGCATACCAGGATGCTTTTGAAATTTCTAAAACCAAAATGACCCCAACGCATCCTATTAGGTTGGGATTGGCGCTCAACTTCTCTGTCTTTTATTACGAGATATTAAATTCACCAGATAAAGCGTGCCAGTTAGCAAAACAGGTTAATATTTAAAAAGTTTATTTTTCTATCTTGCAACAGCACTGGCAGAATTACACAGGAAGGCAAATGTTTCGCGTTTGTACAAAATTTCTCGTATTATCTTCTATAGTCAAAAATTATATTGGGTAATTGTGTTTAATTAAACAAATTGTTGTGATATCAATAGATAGCGATTTATATTTTGTAAACAATGTTTAACACGTAATGAGGAAAATTGCGTGCTTTATAAATAATGAGTTTTTCTTGTGTAGAAGTGGTAGAAGATTCGCAAAAGGCATATCAAGAGGCATTTGATATAGCGAAATCGAAAATGCAGTCCACTCATCCTATTAGGCTAGGTCTCGCCTTAAATTTCTCTGTCTTTTATTACGAAATTATAAATTCCCCGGCCAGAGCGTGTCACTTAGCTAAACAGGTTAATATTTTTTTATATATATAAAATATGGTTTGTGTGAATTTTTTTGCGATCATTAACTTTGCCCATGTGTGATGTAATTCTGCCTGTTTACTAACTACACATTTACAATGTAAGCTAATCCAAAAACACGAAATTATAGTTTTAATACTTTTTTACTTTGGTCCAATTATATTGAATAATTGATGTTTGCATTTTACTAATATTACTTACGCAGGAATGTTTTTTTTGTCGGTAGGTGTAAATTGTATATTAATTCCTTTAATACTAGAGGCATTAATATTTACACAAACTGGAATAATTAGGCTTGCGTAAATGTACTTGTATTTGTAGATGTATTCCAGTGCGTTCCTTATCATACACATAGTTTTGCATTTAATAAAGGAATTCGAATTGATCATTTCAGTTAATATGCATGAACGTAAAAAAAGCATGTAAATCTTACAATTTTCGAAAGAAACTGTTGAAATTTTAAAATAGATATCTTGAACCACTGCCAAAGGTGTGCAAACAAATAGGAATACTTTGCAAATTTCTTGTCACATTTGTGATTCTGGGTTCGCTTACAAAATAGGTTTTCAGATATAAACTTTCATCTGAAGACCTCGCAATAATTTTTTTGTTAAATTTGTGTTAAATTTCTATCTGTTTTAAAGGCTTTCGATGACGCAATCGCGGAATTGGACACATTAAATGAAGACTCATATAAGGACAGCACTCTTATAATGCAGCTCCTTCGAGATAATCTAACACTTTGGACAAGCGACACACAGGTATGCAATTTAATCGAAATTCAATTGAAGAAAATGATATTAACTTGAATTTGTTTTTGTTTAAAGGGTGAAGCAGATGAGCCTCAAGAATCAGGTGACAATTGAAATGTGACGCGTCGTCCTTTTTTAAAATTATTCGTTAAAAATGAAATTTCATGTAAGTTAACGTATTCGTGGAACTTGGTTGTGAAGTTTCATTGACAGTTTTTGAGTTTCACTTGATGAAACTTTTGATATTTAAAAATGTTTTTAGGAGATATGTAAATCGTTAAATTATTCCACATTATCACACAACCAGCATTTTTTTGTCGCAACAAGTAATTTAGCCATATACGAGATAAAGTAAAAAATAAAAGAAATGTGCAATTGTATATTTTATTTATTTTAACATATATAATTACATATTAGATTTGCTGAATGTTGTGTGATTAAATGTCAATTCTTCTGCAACAAGTTTGTTTTTTATATTAAAAAAAGGTTCTTAATTTTTTTTATATATTATATACCTCGTCTCCTTCCAGATGTGAAAATTTATTTGAAATTTCAGCACTTTTTTTAAGTTCTAACTTGTTAAATATTAAATTTATTATTTAATAACATTGTTTTAGTTTATCTTTTTTATTTTGTATTTTCCATTGTTGAACTTCTGCAGGAATTACTTCTTACTTTTTATTTTATTTTCAAGGCCATTCTTTTTTTTTATATTCGAATCTTATTCCACCAAATTCATTTTTTGCACACCACTGCATGGGCCAAAACCTGCCCCTCTTCTCCCTCAAAAAGAATCCCTATGTTTACCGTAAAACACTCACTTTGGATGTGCTATATATAAATGTATGAATATGTATTAAAAATAAACTGCTATCAAAGCTCTATTTGTTTTCTGTTGTATCTGTCAAATATAATTGTCGGATATCAATAAATTTTTCGAAATCCTCGATGGTTTTATTGAAGTAACCATTAAAGCCTGTACAAATATTAGAGTTTGGAAAAGAAAAAATGGTAGGTATGTCTATAAAAATATGTTAATCGAGAAAAAAAAATCCTCGACAGAAATTAACATCTATTACTGAATGTAAATATTTTTCTATAGATCAGTTTCTTTGCGTTTTAATAATCTGAGAATTATTTTTAACGCACTAATGTAGGATACAGTAAATACGATTTTTTTTGTCAGAGTTCCAAAAGAATTTGGCAAAAAAATTCAAATTTATAAATTAACCAATGCGAACGACGTTATCAAGGACGATGTTCCATTGACCTTAAAATATTAATATTCAGTCCTACTCCGCTCATAAATTATATGGGAACTTCAAAACGTATCCGCCGACATTTTTAATTCCAATGGAAGCTACGTAGGTGTGCGAATGTTTACCGACTGATTAACAGGTCTTTCCATCGAATTTAGCCATTACGTTACTGCATAATTTACATTCGCACATACAATGTTAATTGGATTACGACACGTTAATAGCGTCACGTTGTGGAAGGCGTTAATTATATTTAGAAAATTAACTTATTGATTAACTATCGGGTACACTTGTGAAGCTTATTGATTTTCAAGTTATTTTCCCTTCAGAAATTTAAATTATATACCTCCTTTCCAAGTACATACTTTGACAAAAAATTACTTGTGGATATAAATTTTGTACTCTTTTATGTCCGCGTGAAACAATTTTGTAATGTTTGACTTCAATTTATCACAAAATAACCCTGTAATTTCCATTAAATGGAACGCGGTTAGCGTGTCATCCAATGTGATTTTTAGAAAATATCCAGACTTTGGAGAGCATGGCTAGAATCAAGAGCATATACCAAGCGATGTTTCCAGTTTTTTTCGTATCCAAAATTTGTGGGTTGACTTCCTTCGCCTTAAAACGGGAATATACTCATTCGATTTGGCAATTTATTTACCCTTCGTTTTGCTTGTTAGCTTTTATAGCTGCGTCAGCTTATGAAATTCTCGCCAGACAGAGTATGGACAATGATATACTGTACAGTACTTTGGATACTTTACTTCTGATCGAAGCTTTCCTGAATACTGTAATCATTTTTTCGGCAGAAATGATCTATTCGAGAAAAGTAACGATTATTGCGTGTACCATTTCATTGAATTTATTATATTTGTTTCCAGATGGTTAAATGGCTGCAGAATCTTGAAAAACTGGATAAGAGCATTATCAGCACGAAATTGAACATCGACATGGAGAAGGAATTTTACAAAACAACGATAGGTTGCATTATCGGAACTACAATAGCCCTATCGTCGGCTTCATTCATTTTTATAGTGGATATTTTGTGCTTTATCCCACGCGATTTTTACAAAATCCTCAGCAACATCAGTTACAGCTTCCCTGTTGTTGCTTGTAACGTCATGTTTTTGAAATTCTGCTCTTTATTGTTGGTACTAAGAAGGAGATACCGGTGGGTCAACATTTCAATTTCGAACTGGAAAACCCAATTTCACCAAACGCCTGGCATAAATATCCTCTCTTTCAATCAGTCAATGTGAGCCAATCTTCCACTTACACAAAGATTTTAGTACTTTCAATTGGGAAAACTTGCTGGATAATTGAATCGTTTGCCCAATTAAAAGCGCTAGTTTCAAATAATAGGTACATAATCGCTTTTCTAGGTATTTTGGCGAAAGACAAATAGTTTCTTTAAACAACATTCGCACGAAACATTTGCGACTGAACAAATTAACTGAAGAATTAGTAAAAATGTATGCGTTACCTTTATTATTTTCGTTTCTACAAATTTTCATAACATTTCAAACGTACAGCTTGTATTTTATAAAATTACCGTCTACGCAATTCACCCAAAAGACAACGCCGCTGTACCAATATTTCGGCAAAGGAATTATCGCAATCGGAGTAATGCAATTAGTTACAGCGGCTTTCGTAGGATCCACGATATCTAACGAGGTATTCACAAAGACCATCGATACATCCGCAAGTAAATAGATTAGAATAAAGAACTCGCGAAACGCGAATTCGTTTCGTAAGCAGCAATGTTCTATTATAATTTATTTACTGCCCATTAATTTATTACAAAAATTAGACCAATGTAGATTTGTCGAAAATTTATAAATGCTCTAAATGATTTTTGCTTAAAAATTACCATCAACTATTTGTATTAAAGTTGAAAATAATTTTCGATCGTTTCCAGGCCTGCAAAACTAGCATTATCTTAAATGACATCAGAAGTGGATCAGATGAGCTGGACGAATATGTAAGTACGAATTCACCAATAAAGCTATTTTAAAATTTTCGACAATTAAGTATCGTTATCGATAACATTGAACACATTATGATCATGACAGTAGAAAAATGACCTGAAACTATAAATGTCATTAGAAAAAAAAAGTATTTGTCAATACGAATGCATCTACGCTGTTAATGTAGATTTTCCCCATTCGAATCCCACATTAACAAAAAACAAAACGGAAATGTAGATGCATTGCCACGCAATTCAAACGAACCGTTAGTAATTAACGAGCTTAACTTTATCACGGTCTTCTTTGTATCTGTCTTTAGAGCTTCTGCTCGGAGACGGCGATCGCCTGCTCCTATCTTTCCTCTCGCGCCTCCTTCGCTCCCTGCTCGTGCTCCGCCTTTCCTCGCTGCTCCTTCGCGACCTCCTCCGATGCCGCCTCGACTCCTTCTCTTTGCTCCTGCTCCGCGATCGCTCTTTGCTGTAATTGGAATCGTACGTTTGCGAGCTATCCTCCGAGTCCGAGGACGTCACGCTGTCGTTGGCGTGACGTTTCTCCCGCTGCCTCTTCCTCAGTTTGATCGCCATTTCCCTAAGCTCGTCCTCTCTGGTTTGCTGCTCGAGCCGTTCTCGCTCGGTTTTCGCCAGCTCCGCTATCTTGTCGGCCTTGAATTGCCTGTTCAGCAAAGCCTGTCTTTTTCTCTTGAGCCGTTCGATTATGGTTAAACTGGTAGATGGTTTCTTGGGCGCGGCCGAGCCGAGGTCCTTCTGCGGATCGCCGCCTCCGTTCGAGTTGAAGTTGCTCTTATCGTCGTCGTTGAGATCGCTCAGTTCCGAGGAACTGTCGTCGTTTTTCCGCCTGCCGTAGTACCTCGGTATGACGTCGGTGGAGGTTTCCTGGTGATGCGGCGCGAAGTTCGCTTTGTTCTTTTCCGGAGATTTCTTTTTCGGCGATCGCCGCCTGGAAGAATCGGTGCTGCTGGATCTCGGGTTGGATTTCGGGCTAGAAGACGAACTGGAGGACGTGGAATGCCGCCTTCTGAAGCTGCGCGATCTGTCTTTCGATCTGCTGCCCCTCCTCGATCTGGAACGGCTTCTGGAATACGATCTGCTGCGGCTGCTCGAAGACCTGCTCTTGTGCCTCCTGTAGCCGGATCTACTGTTGCTTCTGCTTCTTCTAGATCGGGATTTCGATCGTGTTCTACTTCTCCTGGACTTCCTAATGTTTTTACTGTGAATACTTTTTTTATAATACTTATCTTTACTTCTGGAACGCCTTTTGTTCGTAGAAATTGTTGGTGGTTTGTCACAATTTGATCTAGATTTGGATTTCCCGTATTTTAATTTATTCATAGGGGTTTTGCTACTGGATGGTGTTTCTTCGTCTTCTCCAAAGGAAGTTATGTAAGTAATTTTACCTGAATTTTCTGGAGATGGTGTTCGAGAATTGGATTTACTCTCCCGAAAATTAGGTAGCGTGGGTGATGCCTTGGCGGCATAACTAGGCGGACTTATGGTTCTATTGGCCAGTCTCTTTTCTCTATGATACCTTCTTTCCCTACGCGATTTTCTTCCGGAGAATAGCGCCTTTTCTTGTTCCTCTTCCCTGGCCTGCTTGACAGCCTCGGCTTCTTCCAGGTCGTTGATTAAGAACGAGTAAAAATCGTTGGAACTCATACCGTAACTTCTCCCGTATTTGTTCATTTCATTAGCCTGGGCCGGGTCCATTTTCGAAACATTTATGGCCAAATCCACGTCCAAATCGCTGTCGCTGTTTTCCTCGTCCGAAGTATCCTCGGCGGGGAGCTCCTGCGGCACGCCCGTGCTGTCCTCGTAATTGAACCCGATAGCCGCCCCTCCCAGTCGCGAGTCCTTCTTCGACTTGAATTCGGTATAGCCGAATTGCTCCTCCAGGTGCAACTGCTTCAGGAACTTCTCTTCGGGCACCCCTAGAAAAGAATTCTGCGCTATAATTCTGTATCTCTCGTAATTGAGGTGTCGTTCGTCCGGCGTCAGCTTCTCATCCTCCGGCTTTTCTATGGGAGGTATGTAATCCAAATGCGCCCTGACGTCGAAGCGATCGATCAGGTTATCGGTGTGGCCCTGCCACGGCATCATCACGGCGTTATCGGCCGCGGCCGCGATGTTCGCGTCCAGGTGGATTTTACATTGGCGGCCGTGGATCTGGAGAAACTGTGTGGGATCGGCTTTGATTTTTTCGTAAAAATCTCGCCGCCTCTCTGCGCGTCTTCGGTAGTCGACCAACATCCCCCGGATCTTCCTCTCCTGCCTCCTTGCTTCGTGCCACATATTGGCGATACCTGAAAAAATGCATTGTTTAAAATAAAGCCAGCCGAATAGTAGAGAATTGTAATTGTTCGAAAAATTCTCGAATGTTTACAAATATTTGCATTTCAGTAACTGAAAACGAAATATAAATGGTACGATTGTCACAAAAGTAACGAAATTTTGTTAGTACCATTTTTTAATATTCATAATTCTTTATTTTCGTCCGCAAAATCTACGGAACAATCGAATTAAAGCGAATATATATTACTTTAAAAAGAATTTTACTAGACTTTAAAATTATTCTGCTGCAGTTACAAACAGAGCGATGTTTTAGAAGCATAATATATACAATGCAATAAGCATTTCTTATGGTCTTCAAATACTATTACTGCACTACTTGTTTTCGTAGTAACACCGCACTGTGTGCAACAAATCTCGTAATCGTATAGAAATAAGGTATAATCAGGCTGCTAACTACGTTAACACTATGCACGATTCATGATGCGACACCCTGTAGATATAAATGGACCTACATTAAGTTTCACCAACACCTGAAATATCACAACCAAAACATTGGTTTCATTGTTTGTAAAATAGATAGGATTGAATGAAATGGGCACTGTTCACAAAGGCACAAGCACAGGTACCATGGCAGACGAATTGGAGGCTCTATTCGAAATTAGTTTAAATTTAACTAAGAATGAATGGAGAAATTTTTATTGGTTTCAATCTAACCTCACAAAATGTAAATTCGTTTGACGTTTCGTTGACAAATGAAGTTTTTGGAAGAGAAAAATATCGAATGATTATTCGATGAAATCGATTAATTTTGTATATTAAAAAAAAAAGAAGAAAAATCGCAAAAGTAATTTGAAAATTTTTGTTGAATGTCCAAGTATGTGTTTGTTTAGTTTTTGAAAGTATTGCGTTTTAATTAATTATATTTTTAGATAAATTATTTTATGTGCCAACTAATCCACAACAACGTAGAAATAACTGCCTGCAATGTATTTGAAATACGCGCATCTTTAATATTCACGGTGAGTTTTTGAATTTTTCGTTATTATCTGAATATCTGAAAATATAAACATTTTTTAGGTATTTAGCTCGTTAGCTTCTTATTTAGTGCTGATTATTCAGTTACATATACAATGAATTAATAATAAATTCTTAATCACTTTTCTCTTATATTTCCTTATATTATACTTTTTCTTATCATCTTTTCAACTGTTATTATATGGAATTAAAATTAGTAGGATTTAGGGTATTGAAACAACATTTAAATACAGATATAATTTTATTTATAAAATCAAGACATACATTTATAAAAAAGGAATCTTAAGTAATATTGCGAATATAATTATCATCGAGTCACTATCTTAACTAAAATGGTGTTCAAAGAAGACAAGTTGTCTATAAAGTATTCTTATATTTCTCTATGAATACAGAGAGCCATATAACATAACTTATCAATATAACTACTCTAATATCAAATAATAAAAAGTATCTAAAGATTTTACATCTTTCTTTTTTAAAAATAAATTATTCAAAATATGAAATATTTGTATCAGATCAGTACCATGTAGAATTTTCTAAATTAAAGAAAAATTCTTTGAATATAAAAAATTAAACATCATGAAGAATTGTACCCCAAATAAGTAGACTCAAGTAAGTATTTTAAAATTATATAAAGCCTTAGTCAGGTACGTTCGAATTCATGTCGGCATTCACGATGAATTCGTATTCGATGTATTTAACAAGTGCCTTTTATATTACGTACCTTTTTTCATACTTTGAAAATAGAAGATATTGAATTAAAAAAATCAGTCTCTCAGTTTATAACAATTATACTTAAAAATGAAAAGTAATATTATGGTTTAAATGTATCTCTTGAAGTCATTTCATAAAAAATCTACAGATCCTATTTAAACTAAATTTTATATTTCATAATCCACAATACTCATTAGTATTTCATATAAATTTTTTTTGAAATTCTATGGTTTTATAAGATAAAAAATAATTACTCTGTTGCTTATTTCAGTAATTTTTTGTTGCGAATCACATTGAAATACCCTTACTGAATATAAATGGCGACGAGTATATTATATTTAATGCTTCTTTAATTTACAAAACTTCAGCACGGATTTTTTAATGTGATACACAAGATATACATACATACTTTATTTAACAAAAGGAATATCATTTGATTCATTTGAAATACGCCAATAAATAACTAATTTGGCAATTAAGTCGATTTTTACATTACAATATTTATTAGTAAATAAAATTACAAAAATAAAAAAAAATCGATTTCTAGAAATTTACCACGCTATTTTATGTACCTACATGTGTAATTTGGGTTATTATCAGTAAATAAAGAAACACCCTCAGTGGTTGTTCAAATCTCACCTTTGTGCTACATTCTTCAAAAGCAAGAGGTTTTGAGTAGTTCTTATCACAAACACTTAAGGTGCGTTTACAACTAAGTCATGGCTGGTCATTATTTACAAACAACTTAAAGCTATATACAATGAAAAAAATCCCTTTTTCCCTACCCCTAGATACAAGACACTAGCGGTGTACTGTACATTACAACTTCAGATCATTTACATTATTAGTTGAATTTTGAGATCAATGGCGACCAAGTTATTAAAATTATTACGTATACAAGGTGACCCAAATTTCCAAAACATAGAAATAATTTAAAAAGCAAATTTTGTTCTTTTGACACCTTCGTCTCGGTGAAAATGTACTAATTTGGAATATTGGGTCACCAATTATGAATCGTGCAAACCCTAAATACTAAGTCCTTAATAAAGAATCTAAAATTCTCAGAAACAAAACATTGCCACCATGTATATAAAAAAATGATAACAGTAGAGTTACATTGAATGTAAATGATCACATTAATATTTCTTAAATATCAAGGTGATCATAATCCTTAATAAACAAAAAAAAAGAAAACAAAAAACTAACAATAACTTAGTTTGATTATAAATGATTGAAAACTCCTCGTAAAATCAACATTCTAGACATTATAAACAAATAATAAAGTTCTGTTCAACATTGTTCTTAAAAAATACATCGTTAAAAAACAAATCACAACAAAAACTGATTAAGTACGTAAGATAATATCAATGGCGGTTAATGATCCATCAGCTCCACAAACGTAACGTCGAATAGATCCTCATCCACTGCCTTCAATTCCAACAGGAACAAGTCTTCGTTACAATAATAAGCTACCATATCATCATCAATCTTGGCTATAATGCTGAAACAATTATTAACATTCAGTTAATTCAATAAACACAGCTCGAATTCAAGTTGAAAAAACCCAAGGCAGGAGAAGGAAAGGAAACCGACAAAACTAAAGTGGCTAGTTAAAATAGTATTAAGTAGTTAGTAAAATGCGAACTGTTAGTAATAAATCAGTTAAATTGTCCAGTTCACTATTCACAACTACTCCAAATATTTGTCAAAAAATCATCTCAACTTACCCTTTTCTGTTTTTGCGATACAAGTTATTTATGCTCGACGCGCTAATTTTGTACTTATTCTCAATCTGCAAAATAAGGAAAACAGAATTAATTTTTTTAGTTGGGAAAGGTAATGGATATTTCTGTCTTTCTTAATTTTAGCATAGATTTAGAAGAAGTACTGAGCTTTTTTTAAATACTATTCAAAATGACAACTACGTGGAGCTGCAGAATGTGAACTGTTCCCACGTCGGTGATTCGTGATTTGTTAAGCTTAACATGCCTGTTTTAGTTTTTTATTTATTTTAGTGTTATATAAATGGAATGAGATGTGTAAAAGCCCAGTACGTCCAGGTCCATGCATTAGGCTATAAGGGCTTCCAGCGAAAAATTATGTATATAACCAGAATTTTTTTAAAAATTCGTCACGACGCGTCGACACATCAAACAAATATCGGCATCTTCCTTGGTTAAATGTTAGTTAATCGGTCCATAAGTTTTAGCTGGATGCCCGTGGAAGCGTATTAAAGCTAAGCGTTAATAGTGCAATTGAACTTACTGCGTTTAAAAGGCCGGCTGTGTTTGGCGGGACGACGTGTAAAGGTGTATAAACATCCTCGTTTTCTTGGCGTACATACAGCATTACTCTCTCGTTCAATGGAGGAGGACCCACACCGCCCGGTCCTCCTATCATTTTAGGCCTCTTGTTGATCGGTGGCGAAAAGACGTTCCCATCGGACGACAAACTACCGTCTAATATGCTGTTTTCCTTTTTCTCGGCGTCCGGAGGGAAGTGGTTGTGGAATTTTAGTGTAGGTGTTGTTGGTGTCTTCGAAGCGGGATGCAGGAGAAACGGCGAGCCTGTTTTCACGTGGTCAACAGGACCGCTCAGAGATCCGTCTTCTTGGGAATAGAACCCTTGCAATTCCATCGAAGTCAACTAATGGAACATTAGGTTAACCGTTTGCTAATCGGCGTGTTGGATTAACAACTTACTTTATCTATATCCTCGGCCGGTGAAAATAATACAGGAGGTTTCGTTAGGTCACTCATCGTGTAAAATTCGGATCTTTCGCACATAGGATGGTATAATTCGTCCAATTTTTTTCTTCCTGTAGCCGTCATTTTCCTTTTGGCAGCTCGCCTTTCTTCGTCCCGTGTTTTTCTCTCTGCGCCCTAAAACGAACGAATAAACGAATTTAGTTATATTACAATGAAAAGTTAACGCAACGCTTACCTTATCACAGAAAACCTTTATTTGGCAGTAACCCCGGTGGAATATTTGTGTATCTCTGGGATCTTCGTAAGTGTCTATTTGTAAATGTAGAGGTAGTCCTTTTACTCCCTTTTGACTACTGAAGTCTGTGCTCAAGCATTGAACAGCAATATTAATCTACAAAACACAACAGATTAATTTTCATCCAATAAAGTTTGACTTCGTTTTACCTTAGCAGGACTTTCCATAGGATTCCAATAGATTGCAATAGCATTATGGGCCACTTCTTCGATGCATCCTATCAGGCCTACGCTATTTTTCGTGTCTGAAAAATTGAATATTTTATTTATCTCTCAAGTGAAATCTTAAATTTTAGAGTTACAAAAAACACGTTAATTATAGTGCCACACTAATTTCAAATTCTTATTCAAAGGTCTTTATCCTGTACATTTCGGCCTCTAATAGACAATAGATTTCAAATTATGTATTAGGTAAGTAGAAAAAAGTGTCAAAAGCTAAGGCAGTGCAACACACAAAAATCACACCAAAAACTTACCCTTACATTTTAGACGACACCTGTTAGCATGAAAATATAGTAAATTAATTGAATTTTATGGTCGATAAAATAATTGGGATTTCTTATATGCAATTAAGGAGATATAACTAATAAAATATGAGCTAGACTCAAATATAAAATGAAACGCAATAAGAAATCATTAAAGCCATTAATTGTATTAAATTGTTGCATGTTTCGAATACAATCAGATACCTACCTATCCTATAAAATTTTAAAATGAAACAGGATGCAAAGAAATGGAAAATTATTCAATTTACTACATGTTTGTATATAGTAGAACACACGTATGTGTATTCATTTTTGTCAAATGTCATTATATATAACTCCTACGCGACTGAAGAATAAAATAATAGAATCGATACGGCCCACGCGAAGCCTACACAACGAATATATATGTATATATCTGAAAATGCTAAAAGTACCCACATTTATGTTATACTTCTTTATTACCGCTAATACCAAACCTACTGGTACAATAATAATTATGTGCAAGATGTGAGGATATTAAACGAGTTGAAATGCCTGTAAAAACATCCATTTTTATCTCGAATCACGGATTAAATGAATAATTTAAAGGTTCTTTTTCTCTTATCTTTTATTCATATTGTATCTTAATCTTAAGTGCGTCGCAAGAAACTTAAAATTTATTTTTTTATAAGTTTCTCGTTGGACAAGGAGAAATGTAAAAAATACAAACCTGCGTCTAAAATTCGTTGTTTCACCGAATGTTGCCTTCCATGCCAGAATTGCCAGGCTTTGATTTCATCTTCCGGACTTTTTTCTTCTCGAAACATCAACATAACTATACTCTATAACAAAGGAAATACCAGTAAATCAAATGATTCGAAATAAAAAAAATATTTGTTGGTATAATAACAATGGTATTCACTTATTTACTGGAAGGGTTTTTTTTACTACACTTGCCAAGGTTGCACATTAATTGCATAATTTAACATTTACGCAAAGAAATCATAATATTGACTTTAATAAGACGGTATTTTACGTTTAAATAATTAGTTTAATTGGTTTAATTGCTAATGTTTGTATGTATTGGAAAACATGAAACAACATAACGTTTTACTCGAATTTGCTTTTCATATGATAATTTTTTACAAAATACCCACATGTTAAAAATGTTCAATTCATTTCATTGAATTCAATGTTTATTTTTCAACTTATATACTGGAAAAAATGTTTCCGCACCATCCTGTATATGTATCTTTAAATTCAACAGAGTGAACGTAACCTCTCAGGCATACTAGTCTGTCGATGTTGTTTTTTTCCTGCAAAAGACACTCGGCCTTATAAGGTTGACAAATGGCTAAAGTATCGGCCGCATTATGTGCTTAGATTGGATTTAAAACGCGTTCTAAAATCGCGGCTAAATAACATGTACACCCAATTTTTCTCGGAAACGCCGGTGAAGAATGGAGATCTATCATAATTAAAATCGTTCTTTATTAGAGAAAGTCGGAAAGTTTCTGAACTACCCGCTAAATAATCGTATACATAAAGTTTATAGTGTTCTGATCTTGATTATGTAAAAGGCAAAAAGTAGGTACTTTGATCGATAAAAAAATATACGAGTGTTTTATCATCGAATCGGCGTGTCTTTAGCGGAAACCTTTCAATTACATTAGCTTTTCAAGTGTGGTAGAAATGCCAGGTATCGTTTACGAGTTGTGATGAATCCGCCACTGCATCTGTGGATTATATTACCTCGGTGGACGTTGGGCAAAAAACATTCGGTGGAAATTCGACTTTTTGCCGACCCGTCCGAGATAGAATAACATTTTTTTTCTAAATTATGAGGAATTAATAATATTAAAGATTCCATTTGAGCATAGCCAATTACTGAATGAACATTCTGGCGAAAAAGAAAGAAAAATAAATGTAAAAAACCAGCACCATGGCATTCGTTACCTCTTATGGTGATGCAGTAATGATCAGAGTCTTACATCGTATGACAAATGTGGTAATTCTAATAAGACAATTTACCATTAAGTGCGTACCTATACAAAGTAATTAGGCTCCGGCCGACAAAATTATTCTTAATTACACCAATTAATACTAAAGTTTATGGACGTTTTTTAATAACCCCATAGCGATGTTTCTAACAACATACACATATATTTGATATTGAAGCTTATTGTGCATAACAACTGCACTCAAGACTTTATTTATTTCTTCATAATTTACTAAAAAACTTAATTCAATCCAAGCGTTTTTCGATATCTTGTTTTACATTTTAATAAAATTTCTAGTGTGTTTTAAAATTTCGACTATTTTTTAATAGTTCCGTGCAGTTGGTACGTTCTTATTAATATTCCATTACGCTGCATCGCAGATATCTATTGGAATTACGGTTGACTTTTAACTAAATAGATATTTTATTCTGTTCATATGGCAACGTATTAACGGAAAATATTTTATTTATGACCTTGCTTTTCTCTACTTTGTATCGTCTTATTGCCGAGTTGATCCCATTTTTTCTAGCGGGTACTTACCTATAATGTTCTTATTTCTATACCGTTTGAAACTTTGTTAATAGAATTACAACAAAATGTTCATTTTTTTAGTTAAATTTCTATCTCTAGTTTATTAGTATTAGTAATACCTATTAAAATTCTTCGTTTCAAAGTAAACTTATAACTAATGACAATTTGATTGAGTAAAAATAAATTTTCGAAATGCTAATTTAATATCATCACTTTAAAGGCGATATTTTCCATTAAAATGTACTTAAAATAATATTTGTTGTAGGTAAAAATATGTATTTAATGAATTTTAGAAAATTGAAAAATTTTTATTCATCGCGTTCTATGAGTAACGTTAAGTTTAAATATTTTAGAAATTTATTTAATCAAACAAAAAATGAGGTGTTTATATTTTTAAGTGGCCATGCTACCGTTATATCAACAGCTCAACATATCCACAAATCAATCATAAAATTTATTTGATGATATATTCTTATTAACATCCATACTCTAAAATTTTTTATTAACACGTCGCTAGACAAAAATGATTTTTTTTCCTTCAATCTAAAATCCGAGAAATCCTTTTATTTGACGGAATTCGAATCTCAATAAAAGAACTATTTCGACCGGGCATTAGTAAAAGTGACGTTACTAATGATCGCATTGCACATTGTAAAAATGATTTACAATTATAATACGTGCAGGATCTATTGTATGTTGATTACATTAGCATTCAGAGGACTCGCCTTTTTTATTAATTCAATCTATAAAACGATTTGTCGATCTAATTGTTTTAGTAGTAGTGTGGGTTTCACGGAATACCTATAACGCATATAGCATGAATATATGGAAACAATGATATAATATTTAGTATTTTAATGTCACGATGGTGAATTAAATAATATTAGAGTTGTCTTTACTCACCTTAACGGTTTGTGATTTGAGCTGCTTGTCTGGATCCGGTATATATTCCAGCGTGATTCCGTAAAATTGCCCTTTGTTTATGTATGTAATTCTATCGTCTTCTCTTCGTTGCGATGTCGATATTGGCGTCTCCAGGTGATATTTAAAACCAACGGGAGAAAATCTGTAACAATTGTAATCATGTGGTTGATGAATCCATCCTGTTGGGTTCACCCAAATTGCCTCAGAATAGTAATAATATGTGGTTTTTTTGAAAGTATGTAATTACAAACAAAATCTCATTGACTGGAAATAATACGCACTACAAGTTACTAGAGACATAGTAAATTTTTTGACAAGGTCACTTTCTCACTGATTGATAAATCATTCATCGGTGTCTTTCAATAAAATAACAAAATCTATGACCCGCGGGTCGATTAGCGAGACTAACAAGCATTCATTGAGCTTGGAGATATCCAAAAATGGTCTCCGACATGAATTGTACAAAAAGGAGATCCATTGTAAATTAGTTATTATTATTAAACGACCCTAGTATATTGGTCAAATAAATTTCTAGATAAAAAGAAACCTGCTCTATGCCGCATACAAAGGCGGTTGAGCTGTCATGTCGACCCGATGACCTTAGATAAAAGCGTAAAATTATAAAAAAAAAGCTGACACTTAACGAACTTCGCTATGTATTACTGTACTCGACAGTTGTTGCATGTACAAGTATACCGTTTTTCTAATGGATTTTTTATTTGTAATATCTTCATGTGACATGACAATATAATTTTTTGCCAATAGATCGGCTCCGTTAGAGCTTTCCCTCGATTTGAATGTACTTACATTTTGGGTATTTGTATTTTGTCGGCGTCGTTTTGTCGACCAAAATCGTGCCAAGGTCGACTCCGTGTCGTCGTCTGCGTTCCAGGCGATTGAGAATTGCTTCTCGTTAACGATAAGGGATCCAATATGGTGGAATTCGATTGGCACAAATCAGCATAGTCGAAGGACTGCAAAGACCAAACGGAAAACAAACAAAAAATCAGTAAAGAGAAGTGCGACGGAGATGATAATGCAGTGACGCGCGTACGACACGAATGATAATGATAACAGAGTGAGCGTGAAGGAGGTATATGCATAAAAAATTGAACATATAAATATAATCGTCGTGCTAATCGCAGCCGCTGCATTTAGTTAATTTTGTGGGGTAGGTCTAGGGCTCACCTGCTGCAGCGTGTTCTGGTCGCGCGGCGTGATGGCGTCGGCGCCTATTCCGCTATCAGGACTCGGAAGATCGACGGTGAGACCGGCGGCCGCAATGACGCCTTTGCCGTGGTACGCCGATTGACGGACGTACCTTTCGACGAAGCTCGCCGTCGTGCCGCCGCCGCCGCCCGTCTCATCCCCGTACGCCAGTTGGTTTTGTCGCAATTGCGTCGAGTACACGGGCTCCGGCGTTCCCGCCCCCGAAGACACCGTCGTGAAATATTCGCGATAGTACGGGTCCGACACGGAGAACGTCGTCGAGCTGCCGGGCCGTCCTGTGGACGAGTAAATCGTGGAATTGCCGGCGACGCTCCCGCCCGCTATCGAACTCTGCGTATATTGGACGTGGTCCGTGTAGGGAATGGGCGACGGCGTGCCACTGCCGCCGCCGCCGCCGCCGTGCTGGGCGTTGCTCATCGAGGCGAATATCTGCGTGGTGTACATCGCCGGTTTGAGGCCATTCGCGGATATGAATTCGATGGGCGCCGCCGCGGCGCTCGACCCGTCCGCCAGGAGGCTGCTGTGCGTCGACGTCGGGGTGCCGTTTATGGAGCGGGAACCGTGCCGAGGCGACGTCAGTCCGTGGTGGCTCTCGTCTTTGATCGAATTCACGTCTACCACCAGGTCGCCGGAATGGCCGCCGCCCGAGGACACTAGCACGACCTATAAACCACCAAGGGGATGTTAGCGCCGCATGCCTGCCGCCCTGGGTGGGCCCTAGAGCTAACCTACTTTCTTTTTTTTTTTCGTTTTTTTTTTAATCATGCACTAACCAAAAACGTACTACGATACAACAAACTAACAAATTATTGTAAACTTAAACCGCTCTCAACAGAATGACCAAAGTAAAAATTTTCTCATTCTGAAGCAACTTTCATACTCGAAGCACACACCGCGTTTTGTCACAAAATAACACATCCTCGAAGGGAGATGGATACGAAGGTGCATATAAGAGGATATAAGATCCAACACTAAATTAGGTATACCACAAACGTCAACAAAAAAATCCACCAAAATCAATTTCACCGAATTAAATTTCATTCACCTTTGCTCTCGATTGCTTGGGGATGATTATCGAGCCGTCGAGGCTACCCGAACTGGGCGAACTGCAGTCCAGCTTCCGGTGGTGGCTGAGGTCCTCCGGCTCCCGTTTGACGATCTGCAAATTTTGTCCGGCAGTAGCGGCCTGCGCATACCCGACGTGCGGACTGAATAAGCCTTGCAGCTCTTGAGGATTGAGCTGGCCGGCGCTGCCGAGAGGCGGGGTCGACAACTCTAAGCCGGCCCCGCTCACCAGGCCATTGGTCGCCTTCAGCTGCGACGTTAGGATGCCGCCGGTCTGGGAACCTGCCCTGCAACGATACGATATTACGTCATAAACATTGATAACGTACTTGCACTATAATTGGGTTTTTTTTATTCCCAAATTATTCGATTTATAGTTGTACCGAATTTAATAAACGTGGGTGACGAGTAATGAAATTCAATTCTGTGTTGACTATTTTTTTTTTCTATAATAACGTTTGAATGTATAACAATAGGAGGATAATTTCGAACAAATTACGTATTTTTAATCGTTATATGTTAAATGGTATTTTATTGTTAATTATATAATGGTTATATACATAGTTACGCACTATTTTATCAATATTTTTGTCGTTTAATTCGTTAATGGATGAGTGTCTTTACTCTTGATGGTTGTTACAATATTTTGTATGTTGTGATAAGTTAAAAATGCTGTATTTTTGTATTAAATATCCACTTAAACCCAATTTACCTAAACAAATAATATTGTAATTTTATACTAATAACATCGTTTTTAATTAGCAAAAAATGCATTAAATTCTATAAGTACGTATACATAATACATTTCAAATTAATAGGCATTATATTTATATAGATATATTTTTATAGGACCACATGAATATTCCTCTGATTAAAAATCAATATAAGACTAGAATATCATTTTACTTTAGATATATTCTGAATTAACCTCCAGGTGATTCATCAAAAAATCAATCATTAAGTTTTTATTACTTTTTTAATTGATCACATATTATTGTTGATTTATCCACTAATTTTTAATGATCAAATTCCTAATGTTTTATACATTTTTTCCTATAGGTATGTTACCCGCCATTAAAAAACATTTACTTTTTAATCGTCGAGAAACGACACAAAAAATTAATTTAACGAATTTAAATTTTTTAATAAATTACTGGCATAATCGCTATTTTGCTCCGGCGGTGACCTTGGCAATGAAAAAATTATGAAACTCGAAAACATCTTAAATTATAGAATCGAACCTTGGCATGATCAACTTTTTTTCATAAGATTATCAATTAAACATGTAATACCTAATATAAAGGAATCATTAATCCATCAAGAAATCAACAAGTGTTTGGGAACACATTTTTAAGAAACACACTTTCAAATCACTCAATTAACAACATTCGTATTGTGTTAAAAATATACCCATTTGTAAGATATTCTCATTCAGATTTTCCACAATTTCGATTACATTAGGGTGCCAATTCCGCGACTCCTTATTCTCAGCTGCATATAGAGGAATAGGTATATCAAGTAAAGGACTCAAAAACGGATAAAAGCTGGTCAGGTTGTTTTTATCTGGCGTTAGATCTTGCGGAGAGTCGTCAGACGGTCGGCGCTAATCGTGATTACAGCGACCTGTACCCGGTCACCTTCACAATGCCGTGAATACACGCGCCAATCCGCACGGACACGTGAGCATTTCGTACGCCAGAATAGAAATATTTTCCATTTAGGAAACTGGTCAGTGGTCTAGTATGCGATGCAATGACTATGGTAATTTGTATTAAATAATACCTATCAAGACTTACCTATAAGTAGTTTTAGCTAGGTGTTTGTTTACTAAACTTTACTAATGACTATCCATAGAGAAGCTTGTAAATAAATTTTTTATTTGCTGTTCTTGCATCCTTGACTTAATTTCACTAATTGTTTCCTTTTGTACATTTGAGTGGAATTTGGCTTGTATTTTTTTATATAATTGAGCATTATAACGAATTAACAATATTATTTTTCACTCTACTATTATTTCCACATAGTTTAGCAGCAAATTGAGATAGAGGTAGGTGCACCTAATTAATTAGAAAACAATAAATAACAGTTTTTATAAAACGTCGCAAAGTGAAATTTGCAATATATTTTATATAAGCGATCTATTTTTTATAATATATTAGGGTGACACACCCATCGAATTAGATAAAATTTGTGATATTTTATGGCTAATAATAATAGATGTTGAGGCGTGAAAGAAGAAATACGATCTATTAGTATAAGAAATTAAGGACAGAGCTGGTTCGTTCGAAGTGTGTGCATATTTTTTATCCTCGCATACCTATATAAAGATATAATTTATATTTGACGTCGGCTTTCGTATATCGATTTAGCAATTATTTAATTACCCACAATTAAGTTTCTAATCTATGAAAAAAATGGGACACTATAGGAACAAATTGAAATATTCAGTAAACATTGGGTGTCACTTACGCCTCTTTGTCGTCAGATTTTGCATAAATTATTTGAGTGCTTACAGACTTACCGTTACTTAATAAATATTTATTACTCGCTAAGTATTAAGACTTCTATGCTAACCGCAAACGAACGCTATAAATACGGTAATAATTATATAATTTTCCGATTTGTTTATGTTCGATTGCCCAACCGACTCTGTCAGACCTATCTCGCTTCCTCTACTACCTCCAAGCACTTGGAGTGATATTTCGGTTTTTCGGCGGCATGGAGTGCGCATCAGCGCTGTAATTGCGCGTTGAAATCTCCAGGGCGTCGGATTTCGTTCCGAAGGAAGCGCTCCCCGAAATCGCTAACAATATATTATGCGTTCGGTCGACGTGAAGGACGCACTTTCATGAATAAGAATAGCGAAGTGCACAATGGCGCTGAATTTGTATAAGTAAAATCGAAAGGGTTGCTCCGCAACAAGTAGAATAATAATGCCCGGGATGAGTGATGACACTGTCAAAAGCGCGTAGACAATCGTCATCTGTGCAAACTTTATTCAAATCCTCCGAGGGGAGCATAATGCGAATAAAAAACACTTCTGTCGTAAAATTCCTATTCTAATTTATAAGAGACGACTTATCGCTTTCGCTCGATTTGATACGGATTTCAACCCAAAATTCCAACTAATGGATCACAAAATAAGATCTTTTAATTTCTATATCATCACATTTAGATTATCTTCTTCTACAAGAAACTCTTAGCTTCATAATAAATCCCACATCGGAAACTAAATACTAGAAATGTATGCAATGTATACCCGGTGTAGGTATTAAAATAAAATAGTAGGAAATAAAGAAGTCGGCTTTAAATAGGCAAAAAAAAAATAAAAATAAACCGTTGGAAGTTTGTTTTGGTAGCGGGATCCTAATCCTGAGCCACTTGCGAGAGGTATTTTTACCATCCTAGATAAATCAAGATGATTCAAAAGAGCGTGATGGCAAAATTAAATTCAATGTTTACTGGCATACCTACTTCCCATAAGGGGCGTACGGGTAACCTTCGGGCGAGTCTTTGGGTCGCCCGACAATATCCTACATATGTAATTTTAATCCCTTTTATTAAAAAATGTTATCTCGGATCTGCATAGTAACGTGATACTGATAGTATCAGGTTGAAGAACCCTTTAAAGCTTCGGTACAAATTATATTTTGAAAAAGACTTTTGAAGATCCCCCGACGTGAGATTTATGCGCTTGTTATTTTAAACCTTAAAATATTCATTTCGATTGCTGTTTTTTTTTTTCGCTCTTTCTCCCGCGACTGAATTTATAAGGTTTACTTTCAGCGTTCGGAAAGGGATCGTTCGATAATACGATTTTTTTATTATGGTAATAAACTTTCGACTCCCATTTTCGCAACGCCCGTAAATTTAAATATCCACATATATTTTCGTTTAATTTCCAATTTTATTTATTTATTATCGGCACCCCAATTTCCTTTTACACTTTCGCAGTCACATGCCTTCGTGTATATCAAGGAATCCTTTTTTCGCTATCCCCGCTTATTTCTTTTCCTTTTTATACGGCGCTCAATATTTTAATGTGTTTTAGGTGTTGTGCCCCTGTCATTTTGTCAATTTACAGTTGTAGTTAATACCGGGCATTGTTAGAGAATAAATAAAATATTCGAATAAATGAAACTGTAAAATAGTAAATGATTGTTTTACTGATCATGAGATTAGAACGAAGTGATATCTAAAACAATAAAACGCTTACTATGCTTCGTTGCATCGATTCAAATCTCGCATAAGGCCTAAAGTCTTCAGTACCTCTAGTGTAGGAGATTCAATTCGAGATTTAATCGGCAATAATTATTTATATAGAAGCGCACATTAAAAAAATAAATCAGGACGTATTGTTTAGTGCACAATTCATATTATTATTATCTCTTCAATCTCATTCATACTAATTTTTTAATTCCTTCAAACGAAAATATATATTACCATCACAAGACAAACTAGAGAACCTCATACACTTATGCCTGGGTAACAAATAACAAGATAAATAGCCAGGAAGAGTATGTAAGACTTATGCCAGTAAACGAAAGAGAGTAAATAAGGAATAAATTGTGTACTTACGACCAAATGTCGGCCAGTTTATCTTTGGGATCGGGTAGCTTGTAGTATTCGTATATCAGTCCCATCGTTGCCGATTGATCCTCGGCGCCGCCGCCGATGTTCAGCATGGCTGTGGTGGCGGCCGTCAGGGGGTGTTCGTAGAAAGCGCGCCAATTCTGCTGGTCCTCTGGAGGCGCTGCCCCCTCGGACAACTCTGCCATACCACGTTGGCCGACTACTGGTAGATCGCCAGCCGCGTGCGATGACGTCGAGTCTAGGCTCTCTTTTCTTTTCCTGCAAACCAAAATCCAACGTAGAATATTTTTCATTCGCAACCCTTTGTGATACGAATTTTAACCGACATTTTCGCAATTAAGTAGTCGCGTTTCTTTTAACCTTTATTATGAGAAAAACGGACACGAATTTCAGCGGTAGAATTTTGTTGACTGCGGCAATAAACATTAACGTACAATTTAATGTTTTTCCATGATGTTTTATTACGGGTTGACCGTTTGATAAAGTGCCTTGCATTACGATTATTATGGTTCATGTTTCGGTGTGAAGCTCGTTGACATGAATGTAAAAAAAATTGGAATTGTTGTTTTGATTGTGAAAAATTAGAAACTGTTATGTTAATAGCCTTCTTATATTATTGTCGATTGTACATTTCACGAAAGGAATTTTTGTGTGGAATGTTTCATTTCATTTTAAATTGCACCTAAAATTTATTAACTACGAAATGAAATATATCCTAAATACAAACGGTTCGCCTTGACTAACCGCGTGTCAACATAGAACTAACAAAACGTCCAAAAATGATTTAAAATTATTCATATAGATCATTCGAAATCGGATATTTCAATTTAGAAATAGAATATAGATTAGTATCGATCGGATTGACATTTAAAATATATTAGATTTATAACTAGATCCATATACATTGTCGTTGGACGCGGGAAAGTTGTTTTGAAAATGACAAATAGCCAGATTTAATAGATTTACAGCGAAATAAAAAAATCGGACCGCACCCTCTTTAATTAGTGCCTGCCTATAGAATATCACTCCGCAATCTTCGAGCGCATAAGCGTTCGAACGAGGAAGGAAAATATATGATTCCGTGAAATTCTATTTTCTCCCAAGTTTTCTTTACGCACTTTCGAATCCTATCTGTATACATTATGCGTGCAAGGCACTTTCAACGGCAATGTTACCAGGCGTTCTACAGAAAAAAAATCGCCATATATTACGTCATAAAGCACTGTGAATAATTACAGTACAATTTGTACGTACGTACAAGTGATAATTCATGCCCTAAACAGATCATTACGAAACGTCCATAAAGAGCCTGAGAAAACAATTATTAATTATTAAAGTGTCTGACGGATTATTTTGCCAAGTTCCTCGGATTGCTAAAGAGAAACTGCATTAAGACTCATCTTGAATTATTTGCTAATTGAATGCGAAGAGAAGAGATTTCTTTCGAACAATTAATAATAATCAGAGATTACGATTTTTTTTAGGAATGAACGGATTTTTAATTCTACGACATTAACTTCATGGCGGGTTTCATTTGGGGAACTCTTTAAAATAATCACAAGATTAATTTGTCCTAGAACTAAGTTCATATGGGTAATGAAAAGATTTATAGTTTAAATTAAGATCTTATTAATGAATATTTTAAAATAAATTTCAGACACGTGGAAACGCTTTCAAGGTAACGTTTATTACTTTTCGGAAGAAAATGTGTCAACATATTTAAAAATGGATTGGATTAGTTCAAATGTGCAAAGAACGAACATATTGATGAAATTATTGACCCGATTTCATCAATCATTCGATATTTGCATAATTGATTAGGAGTAGTTTTTTGTTACGAGTAAATATATTTTTTATATTATCTGAAACATTAGTTTCTGAAAATACATAGTTAAAATAGTATTTAAATTTCTATAAAACTAAAATTATTTTAGTGAATCGGTATGCAACAAATATCTGCTTAATTAATTTTTGCTTTTAATTTTTTTGCAATTTTCCATAAAAGGGTAATGTGATTGAGCACAAGGTAGAGAATTAAATAATAGATTTTCGCTCTAAATTTGGACGAGGAAACAATGTCAATGCTTGTTTGTCCGTTCACTTTTTTTAATACGCAGAATGCCCGTAGATCTTCTAACATATGAATCCCCGTATATTTTTGTTGGTAACGAAAATGAGATTATTAAAAACTATTTAAGCAAATAACCTATCAATCAATTATCCTGCGAATAATTCAATGAGATGCCTACTTAAAGGAAAAAAATACTTCGCTCTAAATTTTAGTAACAACTCTTAGAAAGTAATTTACAGTTAACCTACATTAAATAAATCATTCGTCATCCAAATCTGATTAAACGAAAATAATTACATTAATTAATACAAATGATTCCATCTAAAAAACTTTTCCGTCTTATACGTGCGTTGCCTCTAATCGATCTTTGTTTTATAAGCTATTACATGCTAAAACATAACTGTTCTTTCTTTATATAAATATTATTAAACTTATCCTTAAATGTCCAGATTGAGATTGCGAAATTCTGTAAAATTTCGATACGATCAATAGCAACGAGTGTTTCTGACGAGCCTTATTAACAAGACTTTTCCGATTCATTAATCTATTTCGTTATGGATAAAATATTCCTACTGTGCATAAATATTTAAGAATATTCTCGCACTTAAATTTTTAGTTTTTTTTTATGAAAAGAAAATGCAACAAAACGACATTATAAAAAATCGTGATGAATAAAGATTTGCGTCTTGTGTGTGTGTAGTTAATAAGACATATGGTTTATTTAAAAACCATAAAACCGAGAAAATACCAAACCGTGACTAAAATTTCTACATTTATCAAATACGTGAATTATAAAAATTCCACATCTGAATCAAATCAGCTCCTACGCTTTTTACTGAATTGAATAACAATAAGGTTCTCTTCTACCTGAATCTTTGGGCATTTCTTTTATACCCTTTTATATTTATACTACATTTCTTCATATGCTCATAATGGAATGACACTACCAAAAATACACAAAGGAATTATAATTGCATGGCTAAAATTTACGAGTAAGGCCTTCGTGCAGTATTCATAAACATTTTATATTTTACAAAAATCATATTTACCTAGGTGTACATATTATTCATAAACTTAGACTGTTCCCGCAATTATTCATTAATTTGTGCTTAATATATTTTATGCATGATTTATACTTGGGCGTGGAACAATAAAAAAATAATAAATTTCTCTCACACAAATAGAACTGTATAATTTAATATCATTCGGATATATTTAACTGGCAAACATAAATTATTAATAAAATAAAATTTTCCTATGTACGAGATACTTCTCGCTAGCTTTTTTAAAAAAGCTTATCAGGATATCTTAAAAAGGATAATGTTACACCAAATAGAAAAATACTAATCTTTGGAATTTTCGTTACGATAATAACGCGTAAATCATTAGTGAAAAAAACTGAAAAAATTAACGAAGATCATACGTATGAAACGTATGATTAAAGCTCAGAACTATTAGCGACCATCCGGTTTTGAAAATAATAGTCCTCCAATTGATATATAGCCGATTAACCTGTTAAGTAGTTTAAAAGTAATTACAGACTACCGAGCTTCATTTTTGAATATGGCAGTGTAGCACAATTTTAATGAAAATTATACCTTATACGGGGCTTGGGTAGTCCCTTGTTTGGTAACGTTTTATAATAATAATTCATCTATCTTACGCTTTTTAAATACTATTCGAAATTTTATAATAAAGCCAATCTATTATTCAAATTAGGCGAATATAAATATAATATTTTCGTGTGAGGATACGAAAAGCCGATCCCATAAGTTCGTTAAAAAACCATTAAATATTAGCTTTTTATGTAAAATTTCCCCCGCCAAATTCACCTGTTAGGTTATTTAAAACGAATCGAAAAAATATAATGTTCGCAATAAAACAAAATTTGAAATTCAAATCGATTATTGATTTATTAGTATCCGGAGAATTCGAATGGATTACGTCAAATCTCAACCGTTATAGGCATTTTGTATTATTTTATAACACGCACGAATTTTTTTCTGTCCATTTCACGCCTATATATTTGCTTTTTCAGAAGTTCTAAAGTGACGTATTTATTTCGATAATGCGTGTTAAAAATTGTAGAATAAATTTAATGAAATTGTCACAGTACACAAATAATTTCTAACATTTTCAAAGGCATATTTATAGATGTAAGTATATCGACTCAATTTATTGTTAGTACACAATACTCGTTCAAGTATAGCGAAGTTATTAAACTACCTATAAGATCCTATGCATAAATCTTTCCATTTTTCGATAAGTTTTATTTACTGTAAAGCGTTACACATTTATCTGCTGCATGTAATTGTTTAATAACTGCAATTTAATAAACGTTTCATGTTTCATGCTTTGTAAACTCCGTTCGAGTTTTTAAGCAATAACAACGTACATTCCGCATTGATTGAAATGATAAAATTAACATTTTTTACTCGAATAGTAGCAAATATGAACCATATTTAATAGACGTTATGTTAATTAAAAAAGTGATTAACGGAACTAGTGACAAGTCTTAATTAATAGATATATAAATTGTGATAATTGCATGGATGAACTCGATTATCAAATATTTTTTTGATACCTACGTCTCTCTATGTCCAGTAAATTTATTCGGAGACTTATCATCGGAGGTTGCAATAATACGGATAATTATTTGTCTTTAATTAGTGGCAAATAAGTAAACGCGGAGTTTTTAATTGGTCGCTCTGAGGTTCATCAATATTCTACATGGCGCGTTTGACGAACAGTGTAAATGCCTTGTAGCAAAATTTAATTATTTCGTACACCATAAAAAGTAGCTCGATTCGTTTTTTTTTACTCAATACCATACGGTTAATTAAATCTCGGTTCATATCGCAGATTGAAAAATTTTCTTTTCCCACACTACGAACCAATTTTTAACAGGGCATATAAATAACCAACCTGTTTTTAGTATTACATTAATTGATAGGCCAAGACGGACTTTTATATTTTGCTTTTTAATCATTCCCATCAAATGCATAAAATTAATAAATTCATTGTTGGGACGTCATTAAACTTAACGATCAATTTATTTTAGACGCTAATTGATTCATAATATGTAACTGTCGAAATGTCGGTAACGTATATGTAATTTGTCGATCTGATATCCTCTATCAAAATTATATTTATGTAAACATCGGGATTAAACAAGCGATTAATTAATTAAGTTGCTCGGTTTCACTATAAGGGTTAAAATCT